TGTAACGCCAATGTATAATGTTTAGTTGAATTGGAAAATTGCTAATATATTGGAAAATATGAGGGAATACGGATTGAAAAATTAGGATTGAGTGGAGGGGAAATGAACCTTGGGAAAGGGAAATAAAAATAGGAAGGGTAAGAATGGAAATAATGGTAAAGAGAAATTTTTTAATTAAATTTAATTAAAAAATTTAGGATATGGAATGGGCGAGTAAAATGCACAGGGAAAAGAAATCGGGATGCCCAAGACCTAGAGGGGGTTGAAACCATCCGGTGCTACCAGTTATGCGCTGGACCCTCCCGGTCCAGGCACCTTCAGAGCGCCGAATGTGTATGGGGGAGATTTGGGATGGTGAGGCGCAGAGGACTAAACGAATAATTAAAGACTAATTCATAATATTTATTTCCATTTAAAATACAATTAAATGGGCAGTGTTTTTAATAAGGGATTAATTGATGGGGGCAATAACATGGACATTAATATTGGGATTGAATAATAAATTGAACTGGAGATGAGGATATAGTTAAGTGATTAAATAGAGGAGAAAGTGGGTGGGATATGACAAAGTTTATAGGACAAAATGTGTCTGGGAAAGATGGGAGGAAGTGTATAAAGTTGTTGACAAAAGGATAAATGTAATTGTGATTTATGTTGGGAACGGAAGAAGGTGAACAATATATGAGAGAAAAGAGATAAAGTGTAAAGATAGGCTGGGAAGGAATAAATGGAAGATAAATATAAACAACTATGGGAAATATGGTCGGGGTCGGGACTTGATGAAAAGGGCAAGTATCGAGTCTCGAGTCTTGGGGGTAACACTATGTAAATTTTTTGTTAATTTTTATAAAAATTATAGGGGAAACCTTACATTAAGACACAGGGTAAAGAACTTGGAGCAGTTCCCGGCTCTATAACTTAAAGAGTAATGGACAATTTTTAATGTACTTGGAATTTTAATGCAATTAAATTTTAATGTATTAACATAGTAATTTGAGTACCTGTAAATGCCTGAGGATACCGCAAGATAAAAAGGAAAGAAACTCTAACGATGAAGGTGTTTTGGGCAGCCCTAGTTATAACGAAAAGAGCTAAAGTAAATGAGTTTCACGTTTTAAATGCTGCCAGGCTTATAAAAAATTCATAAAAATATCATTAATGGTATGTATGTACATATATAAAACAGATAGAATAAGTCAAAAGAGTCTCTATCAATTGGTACCAAGCGGATTAAGAAGCGGTCATCCCTTCATAAGTTATAGGGCTGTGACTTCGATAAGTCGGGACTCAGTTGAGGTATACTGTTAGTTTATTTTATAATGAGGTGTATCTTAAAAAGATATATCGCTTATTATGAGATCAGAAAACCATACATTCGTATAAGAACTAACAAAAATTTTTACTTCACACAATTCTCGCCTTTCCTTAAAACATAGAGAAAAGTGTAGTTTGAAAGGAACATTCTTAGTAAAGGAAATTTTTCGTTAAATTATAAGTAAAATTTTTAGGGTATATTATAATGAGATCTGAATTTAATATATCAATTAAAAATATATTTAGTTGCTGTAAGAATGGTTGTAGTAGTTCAGTTGGTTGCAAGTAATGAAAAGATCTATTTCGAGTGAAAAGGAATATAAATTTTGATGAAAAGATGAAGAAAAGAATAATAAAAGATAAAAATTATGTAAATGGGACATATGTATATTTTTAACCTAAGATTTAATGTGACAAGAAAAATAAATATTATACACTACTTGGTTTTGCCAGAAAATTTTTGGGTACTTTAATTAATTCTAAAGTTAAGTAAATTTTTATTTAATTTTTTAACACTTTAAAATAACATCTATGCCCATTTTATGAGTATTGTGACTTAAAGTTGGATAAAAATTTATTTAAAATCTTTATTTTTTATTGAAAATTTTTTTCCAAAAATACTAACTGCTAAACATAAATAAATAAATTTATTTGACAATGGCAACTTTGAATTAAGTTTAGAAAATCTTCGATAAAATTTTTGGCTCTATCTGAATAAGAGGGCGCTTTGATTTTTTTCATCATTTTTTTCCTACCTTAATATATAAATAATGGCCAGTCTTTTCTTCCTCGTCGATTCCACTCTTTTTACCTGTGGCATATTCAAATGAGAGGACAGACAAAGCTCACACACGGACAGACATAGCACGAGTGTTTTCTGTCCGAGTCCGTCCGTGTTTGTCTGTCTGTGTTCGTCCGTGTTTGTCTGGTCTTTGTTCGTCCGTGTTTGTCTGTCCGTCCGTGTTTTTCTGTCTGTGTTCGTCCGTGTTTGTCTGGTCTTTGTTCGTCCGTGTTTGTCTGTCCGTCCGAGTTTTGTCTGTCTGTGTTCGTCCGTGTTTGTCTGTCCGTCCGAGTTTTGTCTGTCTGTGTTCGTCTGTGTTTTGTCTGTCCGTCCGTGTTTTGTCTGTCTGTGTCCGTCCGTGTTTTGTCTATCCGAGTTCGTCCGTGGTCAGTCTTTTCTTCCTCTTTGAATCCTGCCATGTTTTGTCTGTCCTCTCATTTGAATATGCCACAGGTAAAAAGAGTGGAATCGACGAGGAAGAAAAGACTGACCGTTATTTATATATTAAGGTAGGAAAAAAATGATGAAAAAAATCAAAGCGCCCTCTTATTCAGATAGGGTCAAATTTTTATAATAAATTTGTAATAACTTTTTTGTGCCACTTTGAAAATAAATTCCTTAATGGTGACATCTAGATGACATTTAGTGCCGTTGCAGTTTTTGTAGCTCCATTAGAACTCACTCTGGTTGCACTGGTACCTAAATCTCGGTTTACAGGCATTTCAGCCTTAGAGAGTGGTACCGTCAGCTCAGATGGCTGAGACAAATCGAATGACATTGTATGATTCGAAAGTTTTCTGAGTGGTTCCTCGACTAAAATACATCCGAATGCAGAATCTGCAGACAATTGAAAAGGTCCCAGGAGAAAAACTGACTGGGGGCGGGGGGGGTAGAATTAGAGAAGAGCCCTGACATTTAAAAAACTGATGGTGAAGGAAGCATAACAAAATAAAAACCCGCAGACGGTACGCGGAGTTGGAAAGGAAAAAATGCGGAATTGCTGAGACTCAAGACGATTAAATATTTTGAAAGGCAAAAATTCTCAAAAATGCCCTCTGCCTAGCGCTATTGCCTATCAACGTGTTTTACATTGAGAGAAATAATCATAAGGGCAAATAAGCAATAATAAGAGGGCATATAATCATGATCAGGGGTGGGATAATAAATAAATTCGAATCGAAATTAAGCAAATTAAATATTCGAAAAACCCGGTTTCAAATCTCAAAGCAAATTTAAATCGTAAAAATTTACTCGGAAAAAGTATTTTTTACAAAATGTTTAAAAAATTAAAAAATATAACCAAATCTTTTAATATAATTTCTGAAATACCGTAAATGCTCTAATTGAACCACACTCCCTATTTGAAGCACACTCCTTAATATAAGCACACCCTACGAGGGGATCGAAAAATAGAAGCACATGTGGTTCTATTAGAGCATCTAAGGTACTATTCATTTTTATTTTTTTTGCTTAAGAATAAGTTTCTTTAAAAGAGACGAAATAAAATATTTTAATTTGCCTTTAAACGACTAAGGTGCGAAACTGGGGACGAAATTTCGATCAGCCCTAGATTATATATAGATGTTTAACTGACAAAGGGAGCGACTATCTATATAAAACCAGATTGAATCCCCCTCAACTTATTCATTTAAAAAATTTTTTTAATTAAAAATCTAATTCAAAAAATTTAAAAAGCTATAGAAATCATTCATTTAAAAGAGAAATGCGGGTAAAATTAAAATTGTTGTCAATTTTTGCTTTGATTCTCGCTTCGAATTTTGATGTTGGCGCTGCTATGGACAACTTTGATGAAGGTATTGATATTTAAAAACCGGTTGTGTAAACGATACTCGAGAGATATGTTTTTCTGAAGCAAACTTAATATAGATATAAGTTGTTTTTAGTAATATTTTTATTCATTTTTATAGATGGACTTTTAAAAGAAAGTCGCATTAAACGCTTAGAACAAATTGCTGAGATAGACATTTCAACTGGAATGCCTCGTGGAGGGGTAGACTCAACTGATTCAATTAAATTCGAGGAATATAAATATCTTGAAGGAAATGTGGAGTATAAAACCCTTTTCGAGACATTTAATAAAGCTTTTGAAAGACTTGTAAATAAAGTTGCCCAATTTGCTCAACTAAATTTAAAAAATATTAATATATCTCTAAATGAAACAGATGTTATTGCTAATGAATTAAAAAAATATGATGAAATTGTAAAAAATAGTAAAAATGTTGATGAGATGTTAGAAGAAAAGGTAATGAGTAGAACTGGACACATAGCTGAGAAAAATTTTTTTAATAATTCGTATAAAATTTTGGAGATCCATCCGACCCTATTTATTCGAACTGAATGAATTCCATCTATTTTTAATTTCCTAAAAGGGCATTCGATTGGAAGGTCACTTAATTATAAATTTCAAGGAATCTGCTACTTCGTCGGTTAGAGAAAACTACTTGGAATTGATAAATATAATTATAAAATGCAAAACATTTATGATAAATTTACATACAACCGGCTCAGAAGGCTCTTTGATTGATATTTACTCTTTTATGGAAAAAGCATCCTCTTTAAACTACAAGGAATCATTGTTTAATTTTACCGCAATAAATGTGTTGAAATTTATTTTTAATTTATCAAAAATACAAAGTAAAGAAATGGATAAAGCTATTAATGAAGAAATCTACAAGCAGCATTTGGAAAATAAAGAGAAATTGAGAAAAGAATATAAAAATGTAATTGTGGAGAGTGAAGGTCTAGTTGGTTTATATGCTGCCTTCGAACTCTTTATGGGTATTTTAATAAATTTTGCAGGTCCTGGGAGTCTGCATTGCCTAGTCTGTATTCTGCTTAACACTGATCTTTTATAAAGAGTCTATAATTTTAATTTTTAGAAGGAATGAATGTAACTACAGTGAGTGGATACTCTAACATTCTAGACGATAAAATACATCTTAACAATAAATTTTTGTCAAAAATTCGTTTCATATTGGCTACTGAATTTGATAAATTATTTCTTGAAAAAGAAGATTCGTTAATAAAATTGGCTGATAATGAAATTGTTCTAAAGCTAAAAAATTTTGAATATGCGCTAGAAGAACGTTTAAACGTTTTGTCAATTTTTGTACAGGAAAAAGGGCAAAATTCGGTTTTGAAATTTATAAGTGATAAACATGTCTTGGATATTAATAATGTGAATGAGCAGCCAATGGCTATTTTAGATAAATTTGATGAAATAAGGAATGATGAAATTCCATTTGACTTATTTTTCTGTGATTTTACAAAACAAATGAAATATGGTGTTGTTATCATCAACAAAAAAGATCACAACAAAAGTATATACAAGGAAAGTAAATTCTCCATAAATATAAAAATGAGTTTGAATATTTTATTCGAAAATTTAGGAAAATTGCTTAATATATCATTTTTCCTTTCTCAAAAAATTAGAACACGTTACTATAATATAGTTATGTTGATTTGTTTTGGCATGACTTTGGTAAAAAATAATTCTCAAAGTTCGTTGACTAGAACAGGCAAAGTTTATAAAACATTCCAGGATGGAAGCCTTTGGTTTAAGAATCATCGAGGGAAAGGTGTAAATATTTCTGCCCAAATATTTGAGACAAAGACAGGAATACAAATTGAATCAGATATACCCGTGGCAAGTGTTGAATTAATTGAAGAAGTTAAAAATGAAAGAGAGGAATTGGAAGAGATGAACGAAGCGGAATTTAAAAAGAGATGGAATGAAGCAATAATCGACGAGTTAAAATATAATCATGATGAGGATGTTGCCCAAAGATTAAAAGTGATAAGAAGTGAAAAATACGAGATTTTTAAAGACTTGAAAGAATTAAATATAAAATATGAGAAAATTGAAAAAGAACTAAAAGAATTGAAAAACATACGCAAAGATTTAAAGGAGTCTAAAGAATTAAAAGAAAAAGTGGACAAGATAGATGAAATATTTGAAGAGATAAAAGATATAAAAATGGGAAACAATAAAGAACGAAAAGGAAAATTTAGTAAAATATCTGAAATGATATTACACAAGGATACTTCAAAAAAACCCAACATGTCTAAACACAAATATCACTATGAAGGAATAAGCAATAGATATGAGATGATTAATGGCAGTGAAGAAATCAAGAATATAGAAATCGATAATGATAAAAGGTTGCTAGAAGAACTACATCAATTAAACGACAAATATAAGAAAGGTGAAATAAAAAAAATAAATATTGAAGAAAATAAAAAAATAAAAGAAGAATTGAAATTATTTGATAAATATAAGAAAATAGAGAAGGAAATTAAATTATTGGAAAACAAACTTGAAAGTTTAGAGGTGTCGATAGAATTGAAAGAAAAAATAAACGAAAGAGATAAAATGGCGAAAAATATAGAAATTAAAGACAAGAACTATAAAGAATTGGATGAAAAGTTAGACATGATAGAAAATGAACAAAAGAAGATATGGGAAGAAAAATTGGAAAAGATAAAAGCTGAGAATGAAAAAATTTTGAAAGAAAATTTGGAAAATAAACGTAAGGAAATGTTGGAGAAATATAATGATTTTATTGTTGGATTAAAAGAAAGATGGTTTAGAGCTCTTTTTTATCATTTACCTGATGAAGTATTAAAATGTGGAAATAAAAATAGTGTGATAATTGAATTAAGTAAGGAAAACGAAGAAAAAGAAGAAGCATGTACTAGCACTAAAACAATTAAAGATGAAGAAGAGGAACATTTTCTTTATTTTGACAAAAACAGTCTAATTGGTAAACCATTTTTGCTACACATTTATGGAAAAGAAAATGCAATAAAATTGCATAAAGAAAAAAAGGATTCGGCGATTTTTGTGAATTTAAACGATAAAAATATATTTGAAGTGAATGAAGGCAAGTTTTCTAAAGACAACTACATAAATAAGATTAAATGGTACTTTATGGATATGTCACCCCCTCCTATTTTGAGTCTCAGAGTTTTCCTTATGCGTAGAAAATGGTCAGAGATTATGTATTTTCTTCTCCATGTCAATCATTTTTTCTTCAAGCAAGATAAGTGAAATGTGGAAACGAAATGAGTGAAATGTAAGTACAAAATTCAAAAATATGTGAAAAGGCAAATAAAAAAGCGAAATACTTGAAGAAGAAAAAATGATTGACATGGAGAAGAAAATAATTTCTGACCATTTTCTACGCATAAGGCTAACTCTGAGACTCAAAATAGGAGGGGTGACATATCCATAAAGTACCGATTAAATAACCATGTATTTGCGAAGCACTAGTCGGGACTGTCAATTGACTATTAAAATTTTTCGTCATACAAAAGCGGATAGCTCAATTAAAATTTTTGTTTTAAATTTTTAAAGGTTTGATCGAAGTTGAGAAAACAGTTTCTGCTATTAAAGAATACAATAGAAATAGTGAACAAAATGATTTAGCAGAAATGTTAATGAAAGTTTTGAAGAAACCTGAGATAAATTAAAAAGTATTAAAAAAAAGAAGAATCGAAGAATGTAAAAAATGTAAATTTATAAAAGACAGATTAAAAAAACAAAAAAAAAGAAAGAAAAACATTTATTAAGCCAAACTAAACGATTATTTTTTATTTAATTTTTAAAGCAAACATTTAAAAAAATATCCGTGTAGGGCAAAACATATTCCATCGGTCCGATACATTAGATAAAACTAAAAATTTTAGAGATAGTAATGTAGTTACTAAACAAGAAACAATATACGTAAGGATATTAAGATAACATATATCGAAATGAATCTAATTTAATATTGAAAAAGTGGACAGTGTTTTTTAATTTTATGTACTTATATTTTGGATGGAGTGTGTTTTGTCCTTCACCCAAAGATATCACATACGTTATTTATCAAAAAAATTTAATTATTGCCCCCTGTAAATATTCATTCCAAATGCTGATTAAAATATCATCCATGTCCAATCCCTTGTATATTTTTTAACCTTGAACTACCCTACCGACAACCGTTTTTAAAAACTATTTTTTATAAGCATTATTATTAGATTTGTATAAAATTTTAGTTACAAATTTAAAAACATTATGTTAGATAGATACAAAATCGATATGGGGAAAATATTATTTTATATCAAAAAATGTTTAAAAGTGGAAAATCCATTAAACTAAATTCAGTAATAATAGCTAGTTTTCGTTTCGTTGAGTGAAAAATTTCATTTTCGCCCAGCTCTGGTCTCCATCTGAATGGCCCCCTCTAATAGAATGTCCCCTTGGAGGATGATCGAAAAATAGAATGGCCCCCTACATTTGAATGGCCCCCTCTAATAGAATGGCCCCCTAGAGAGTGATTGAAAAATATTGCACACTTTTTTAGTGATTGAAAAATATAATTTTTTAGTGATTGAAAAATATCACACAATTTTTTTAATTTTTTAATTTCCTTTTATACAACTTTTAATTTAACTCAGTTTTTTTCAACGCTTCCACTAACATTTCTGTTAAATCCATTTGTTCGCCGCTTTTATTATATTTTTTGATTGCTGAAACTGCTTTCTCAACCTCGAGCAAACCTTTGAAAAGTTTAAATAAAAATCTTAATATGTATGCTTCACGTCTTATAGTCAATCGGCACAGACTTGACTACATAGTAGTGATACTCGGGAGGAAAAAAACTCGGGAAACGGGAGTCGGGTCGGGAAATGACCTCGGGAGTCATTTCCCGCCCTATTCCATTAAACTTTTCACCTTGTATCCGAAAACCGAACTATTGCAGGGAACTTTTCACATATTCAATCGAACTTTTCACCCTTTAATCTTTCGATATCCCTCTTAATCTAAAATTCTTTGTCTGCGCCGCAAGCGAAAATTTCTTAGTTTGGAAGTCTAAGATCCAGACTTCTTTTATTTACCGCCGGAGGCGAAAATTCTGAGAATTGGAAGCCAATGAGTTATATTTCATCCTTTTTCTGCGCTGCAGGCAAAAATTTAGAAAAATTTGAATACTAAGAGGCCAGATTTTAAAAATATAATTTTTGAAAATTCGAGACTGAATTAATTTTTCTAGTTTTTTCACGTTTACTAATATTAAAAAAATAAATTTGCAATTTTAAAATCAAAATCAAGGTCAAGAAATATTTATTTTGGGGATTAAAATTTATTTAACTCACATTTCACAACCCTGGATTCGAACCCAGCCCCATCAGAATGAGTGAATTCACACCCTAACCACTCAACCATCGTTCCACATAGTTAGGTATCTTGGAAAAATGTTGTATTTTTTATTTTCCCTTTACCTTTTTTATTTTTTCCCTTTATTTTTTCCTTTCAAAAATAAAATTTAATCAAAAAAATCCATACTTAGGGGTGTAAAAATTTCCCGACTTAGTTGGGAATTGACACCGGGAGTCGGGATCGGGAGGCCAAAAACTCGGGAAATATTCCCGAGTCGGAAGTCGGGATACCCGAGCATCATTACTACATAGTGCTCCGAGGTAGTATCAACCAAAAGACAAGAACAAGTAAAATTCAAAATTAGAAGTATTACCTTTGGGGTGATATTTCACGTACAAAAATTCAAAAGTCGGATTTCGTTTCCGGGCTTGATACCCTGTACAACATGAAAGAATACCGGATACCGTGCCCAGAAATGTGAAACGTCGGAATGCGTATCTATCTCGCTCATTTTATGTTGAAAAAACTTACCTCCATTTATCTTGTCTGTAGTATTTTCATCGTTTATACTCACAAGAATTCCTGAATCTCTTTTGTCTTTAACTACATTATCTTCTTTTCCATAAATTTTTTTCACAAATGTCTTTCTAATTAAACTGTTTTTGTCAAAATAAAGAATATGTTCGTCTTGTTCTTCCTCGTTTGCTGCAATATTACTACTACTTGCTTCCCCTTCTTTTTCTCTACTTAATTCTATTGTCACCTTCTTTTTGCCTTCACTTTTGTATTTAAGTACATGATAAAAGACGGCTATAAACCATCTTTCTTTTAATTCAACAATAAAATCGTCATATTTTTTCAACAACTTTTCATGTTCTTCTTCAATGTTTAATAGCCCTTTTTCAAATAATTTATCATTTTCGATTTTTATATTCTTAATCTTTTCTTCCAATATTTTATTCTGTTCGTTTTGCATCTTATTTATTACTTTGAACTTATAGATTTCATATTTTAATCCTTTACCTCCGTATTTTGTTTCTATCTGTCTTAATTTCTCACCAACTTCATTATTATGTTTATATTTTACTTCTTCAATAATTACTTCATACCATCTTTTCTTAACATCCGCTTCATTCATCTCTTCCAATTCCTCTCTTTCATTTTTAACTTCCTCAATAAATTCAACAATTGCCATAGGTATATCTGATTCAATTTGTATTTTTGTCTTTGTCTCAAATATTTGGACAGAAATATTTTCACCATTTCTGGGATGATTATTATACCAAAGTCTTCCATCTGAGTTTGTTTTATAAATTTTACCCGTTCTAGTCAAAGGAATTTGAGAATTATCTATTATTTCTTCCATATCATAGTGAATCAAGAGATCCATATAATAATAACGATTTCTAATTTTTTGAGTAAGGAAAAATTTATTTCTAATCAAATCGTTTAAAATGTGTAAACTGCTATCAATCGAATCTGTTTTAAAAGACATTTTCTGCTGATTTTCTTTGAAAATTTTTTTGTTATGTTTTTTGTTGAGAATAGCAGCACCATATTTAATTTGTTTAATAAAATCACAGAAAATCAAATCAAAAGGAATTCTTATTATTTTATTTAATTCAAACATTGTCATCCCTTCATAATTTGTTAATATTTGCTTTAAATGTCCAAAATCAAAGGATTGAGGACGATTCACTGGAGTAACAAGGATGGCCAAAGGCTTTTCATAGTCTGTATTTATGTCCAAGACTGTTGTATTATAGATCAAATTCAAAAATGATTTTCCTTTTTGATTTTCTTGTTGAATTTCCTCTGTAATATCATGTTGAATTTCCTGATTTATTCTTTCGTCTTCTCTTTTATTTATATAATTTGATAAATTTTTTAACCGCTCTTTCAAAACATTTTCCAAATTTTTTATTTTAACAAGCACATCGTTTTCAGCAGGAATTCCTCCCAATGATCTCTTTCCTTTTTTATTCGCAAAAAATAATATATTAAATTCAGTCCCCAAAATTAGACGTAATTGTGGCATCCATTTTCGATCAAAAAATATATCTCGATTTCGTGTGTAATCTTCAGAACGATTATTTACAAGAGTTACATTCATTCCCTCTAAAAGTAATTAATTTTTTCAAAAATAATTAAAATACCCATAAAGAGTTCGAAGGCAGCATATAAACCAACTAGACCTTCACTCTCCACAATTACATTTTTATATTCTTTTCTCAATTTTTTGTTTTTCAAATGCTGCTTGTAGATTTCTTCATTAATAGCTTTATCCATTTCTTTACTTTGTATTTTTGATAAATTAAAAATAAATTTCAACACATTTATTGCGGTAAAATTAAACAATGATTCCTTGTAGTTTAAAGAGGATGCTTTTTCCATAAAAGAGTAAATATCAATCAAAGAGCCTTCTGAGCCGTTTGTATGTAAATTTATCATAAATGTTTTGCATTTTATAATTATATTTATCAATTCCAAGTAGTTTTCTCTAACCGACGAAGTAGCAGATTCCTTGAAATTTATAATTAACTGACCTTCCAATCGAATGCCCTTTTAGGGAATTAAAAATAGATGGAATTCATTCAGTTCGAATAAATACGATATAGCTATATTTAGGGTCGGATGGATCTCCAAAATTTTATACGAATTATTAAAAAAAATTTTTTCAGCTGTGTCCAGTTCTACTCATTACCTTTTCTTCTAACATCTCATCAACTTTTTTACTATTTTTTACAATTTCATCATATTTTTTTAATTCATTAGCAATAACATCTGTTTCATCAAGAGATATATTAATATTTTTTAAAGTTAGTTGAGCAAATTGGGCAACTTTATTTACAAGTCTTTCAAAAGCTTTATTAAATGTCTCGAAAAGGGTTTTATACTCCACATTTCCTTCAAGATATTTATATTCCTCGAATTTAATTGAATCAGTTGAGTCTACCCCTCCACGAGGCATTCCAGTTGAAATGTCTATCTCAGCAATTTGTTCTAAGCGTTTAATGCGACTTTCTTTTAAAAGTCCATCTATAAAATTGAATAAAAATATTTCTAAAAACAACTTATATCTATATTAAGTTTGCTTCCAGAAAAACATATCTCTCGAGTATCGTGTACACAACCGGTTTTTAAATACTCATACCTTCATCAAAGTTGTTCCCAGCTGCGACAACATCAAAATTCGATACGAGAATCAAAGCAAAAATTGACAACAATTTTAATTTTACCCGCATTTCTCTTTTAAATGAATGATTTCTATAGCTTTTTAAATTTTTTAAATTAGATTTTTAATTTAAATTTTTAAATGAATAAGTTGAGGGGGATTCAATCTGGTTTTATATGAATAGTCACTCTCTCTGTCAGTTTAAACATCTATATATAATCTAGGGCTGATCGAAATTTCGTCCCCAGTTTCGCACCTAGTCGTTTAAAGGCAAATTAAAATATTTTGTTTCGTCTCTTTTAAAGAAAATTATTCTTAAGCAGAAAAATGGATATTATTTCAGGAATTTTTGGTAGAAGATTTGGTTATATTTTTTAATTTTTTTTAAACATTTTGTAAGAAATCGAGATTTGAAACCGGGTTTTTCGAATATTTAATTTGCTTAATTTCGATTCGAAATTTCGAATTTATTTATTATCCCACCCCTGATCATGATTATATGCCCTCTATTTATTACGTATAATTGCTTATTTGCCCTTATGATTATTTCTCTCAATGTAAAACACGTTGATAGGCAATGGCGCTAGGCAGAGGGCATTTTTGAGAATTTTTGCCTTTCAAAATCTTAATCGTCTTGAGTCTCAGCAATTCCGCATTTTTTCCTTTCCGAATCCGCGTACCGTCTGCGGCTTTTTATTTTGTTATTTTTTCTGCGTTCGGATTTATTTTAGTCGAGGATTAAATACAATTTGTAATTTAAACCCTGAACTAATGAGAGAGAGTTTCCCTTGCTGGCACTCAAAATCTGCGATGAAGTTAGCACTCAAGTGGCTTGCATTGGTGAGAAAGATAATGAAGTTGGCACTGAAACGGCTTGCGTTTTTTGAGAAAAAAAGCAAGAGAAGTCAAAATGTAACAAGGAATAAATTTTTCATAATACCTAAATTTACGAAAATTAATTCGGACAGTTAACATAGGGTTTTCCTTATTTTTTGAAGCATTTTTACATTTTTATTTTTTACTTTCTAATTTTCACACATTAACTGCACTTGTAAAAATTCTTGGAGCCTCACCAATTAATTTATTTAGATTCAATCAAAAAATGGATTTTCAATTAAATCCAATTTATTTATTTTACCCAAATTTAATTGGTTATTTGCGAATTATTTTTGCTTTATTTTCTTTTGCTGCAATGCCTACACGTCCAGTAGCAGCTTCTATTTGGTATTTTTTGAGTGCTTTTTTGGATGCTTTTGATGGATATTTGGCAAGGAAATATAATCAAAGTTTGAAATTAAATTTAAAAATTCCATATCGGGGAGCTGGGATTTTATTTTGGGGGGTTTTTTGGTCTAGGTTTGAAATTTACCGTCGAAAAACAACGATTCCGAATCTTGAAAAATCTAGGGTTCCGACAAAATCCATCAGCTCGGTCTTTGAACTCATGAGAAAGGGAGGGGACCCGTAAACTCGGACTTTTTTCGATCCGAAGCCCGATCCGGGCAAATTTCCGAGTTTTCTCAACCCGTGTACAGGCCAAGAACTAATGGTCCCTTACTTCCTAAATCAGCAGACTAATTTGTGGCTGCAGAAAAGAACCTTTACTGGGGAAAATTTTTAGAAGGAACCCCTTGGCTACGGGCCTGATTGTGAGTTGTCCTAGACTGTGAACTCCCAGACGTGAAATATACCAGAAAATAAACTATTCCGACTGAACTCTCGGACATTTTATTTCCCAAAAAAACTTCAATTTTTTAAAGGTTCTCGTTTTGGAGCAATGCTAGACCAATTAACTGATCGCTGCACTTTTCTCGGGCTTATAATGGCACTTTGCCATTTTTATCCTTCTTGTATTTTTGTTTTTCAATTTGTTGGAATTGTTGATATTGCTTCTCATTGGCTTCATTTACATGCTGGGGATTTGACTGGAAAGTTGGTTTTTTTCCTATAAATTAGAAAAACAATTAAACGATTCCTAGGACCCAAGGGCGTAGCCAGGAGGTCGATTTCAGGGGGCTAATATGGGGTGTGTGCCAAAATTTTGGCGTTTACTTTGGTGTTCCGAAAGCAAATTTTTTGTACATATATTTTTTCAGCGCCCCAGGCGAAAATTTTGGTAATTTTTTAGGAAAATTTCGGAAGGCCAAGAAGCTAATTTCTTGCATTTGGGCGCTGAAAATTTTCAGTGCCCAAAATTTTTTTCACTTTCCTAGTTTCAGGACGGCTATAGCCCAGAAGCCCCCCTGGCTACGCCCTTGCTAGGATCAAGATTTCTTTAAAAAATCTTGCTGACATTTTTTTGCGGAGAATAAATTGCGGATGAAAATTTTGGGCTAATACAATTAAACGATTCCTACAAAATTACCAAGTCCGCAAATTTTTTGCGGACTCACCCTAGTTATTTTCACATATTACAGATTAACCCACAAAGAATCAAAAAATCCTCTTTTAAATTATTACTACACTTCAAAACCTTTCCTTTTTGCAATGTGTTTTGGCAATGAAGCATTTTATGGACTTTTATATATTTCTCATTTTTGGCCTGGTCCAAGTCTTTATTTTGTTAATTTTACGAATTTATTGGCTTTTTTGGTTTTTCCTGTTGCTGCTGTTAAATCGGCTATTAGTTTGGTTAGTTTTTATTTTTAAAAATTTTTGCGGATTTTTAAACTTGCGGACTTTTCTAGTCTCAAAAATTGTAAGACCGCTGGGAACTGGATCCGTTCGGTTTACTTTCTAACTAGAACTTGCCATAGTAGAATTAAATTTCTTTTCCTGGATATTTCCTCTGTTGACAAAAAAGAGCAAGCATTTTTTCGGTTTAATCATGAGACTGGGTTTTTTCCTGAACTATTTATGTTAGCATTTTGTCCAAGCTACTGATTTAAATCAGTAGCTTGGAAACAACAAGGTTAAGAATTTCTAAAATAATCACAAGGTCTATTTATTCCACCTGAGAATAGGTACTGATCCAATCGAGATAATAGGGAAAATATCCGCAAGTCTTTGCGGACAAAGAGAATTAAGCGACAAACAAAATTTCATATTTCTAATTTCATATTCGGGATAATCGGGGAAAAGAGCCGCAAATATTTGCGGACGAAAATAATTCACCGACAACAAACAAACTTTCCCCCAAAAAAACAATCTTAATAGAAATCAATTTTCTCATTTTTCCAGGTTCATCTAGTTACAGCAGCACAAACATTGGCTACACATGATTTGGAGAATTTAAATCGACGTCAAAAATAATTGGGAAGGATTTTTAGAAAGGATTTTTTCAGTTAAAAAATCATTCCAGATTTTCTTCTTTTTTAGATTTTTTTAAATCTCAAAATTTTTAGTCCTAAAAAATTAATTTTCATTTTTGAAAATACTTAGAATTTAAGGAAGCTTAAAAAAATTTTTGTAAGACGATCTCTCCCCTCCTTTTTAAATGCGATATTTTGTAATAATAATAGATTTGTAGCCAAGAAAGTTTAGAAAATTTCTTTTCAAGAAAATATTTTTAGTCGAAAAAATTTTGGAAGACTTTTGATAGGGTTGTCGGTTCCTGGAAATTCTTAGGATATCCGAAACCGAAAAATTCTCTGTTTTTCGGCCAGAACCGACAATCCTACTCTTAAGAATAATTTTTGGCAATAAAAATCCTTAAAAATAAATTAATCAAAAATCAAAAAAAAAGTTGCGGACTTTTTTTGCGGACAAACGAAAATTTAAAAATTCAATCGGGATAATTGGGAAAAGAATAATTTTCGAATAAAACTTTTGAATAAATTGGCTACAATCTAAAATAAATTTTTAAAATTATTAAAATTTATTTTTGAGTACTTTATTAAAAACAATTTATTTAGACAGAATGTATAGTAAATCCTCCAAATTTTTTAAAAATATTTTTTCCGAATAAAAGGTTGTGCAATTTAGCAAATTTTTGTAACTTTTACAGCGTTCCATGCTTCTTTTTTGTTCTAACCTGTTCCGATTCATTTTTTTCTTCTCCAAGCATTCGTTTTCGAATCATTCCTTTTCTGGTCATTGCCTAAAATTTTGGGGAATCTTTTTTTAATTTTTAAAAATTAGGAAACCTCTTCAACAATTCTAGCATTAAGAGAATAACTTTCGAGAACTTCTTTAGCCTCTACTTCCTCTTCTTCATCATTAACTGTACTTACGGTTACAGAACCGACTTTGCCTGAAAATTAGAAAAAATTTTGAGAGGAAAAATTTTTTGAAAATCTCTAGGGAATTAAAAAGCTGTTGTTGACTGGCTGGAAAATTGTAGGGGTAGTAAAGCTTTGAATAAAGAATTTGAGGGAGGGGAGCGTGTTGACATGGCGACTTTGGGGGGTTTTGATATTTGGACATTACGGACTAATTGATCTACCAAATTGTGGTCCTAGACTACCACAACAGCAACAACCACAAATATCAGGTTGGATAGACTAATTGAACGGTGGAAGTAACCCCATTGCTTTTCGGCAGTATTCCTCCCTTTAACTGGCATCATCCTTTGAACGACTCCCCTCATCTTTTTTAACCCACTAAAGAAAATTATTTAAAAACAAAACCTTGATTTCTAACATGTTTTTTAAGCATAACTTTTTGTACTTTCTCCTCTTCATTATTTCCAGTAATTCCCCCAATTTCATTAGCAGATAACAGCGCCGATTCAAAAATGAAGGTTATTTGAAGATTAAAAGGGTGTTGATAAAATATTGGAACTGCACATTTACGACAATTTCTTTAAAAAATTGTAATTTTTTAAAATAAAAATTTAAAAAACCTTCTATATTGTTGCTCCAAACCTTCTGGACGGCGAATATAAACAGTATCTCCATTGTCATAAAACTAGAAATTATTTAGATAAAATTCTGATTTTTTTAATAAAAAAAAGGTAGGCTGTGGAATGGTAAAAGGGAAGAATCACCATTATGCGCAAATTTATTGCAGACAGTCCGTAAAATTTTTTTCGATTTTTGGAACCCTAGACTACCTCCCATTTTACCTTCCTTTTTTTTTAATATTTAATGGACTTTAAAACACCCCTTAATCTGAAAAATTAAAATCAATTATAAATTTTCGTTTTTTGCAGTGCTTTGCCGGTCAAGATAAGACTATCGATGGGATGGGAAATTTAAAAGCAATGTTGTCAGGGTTGAAGAAAGTTGTCTCAGGGTCTGGCACGGATTTTCAGATTTTTTTCGAATCTGGTCTAAAATAGACCTAAAAATACGGGTAACCAAACTAGCCCTATAAAATAACCCAAAAGTTTAAATAAAATAAAAATATAAAAAAACCATTTTTGCAATTGTCCATTTTGGATCAATGACGCGCGCCCCATCACGCTTTCTTAAAGGCATCCTTGCAATTGGAGTATCAGAAATTAAAGACATTTGACCACAATGACAATAATAACTGAATAAATTTAAATTAAAGAATTCAAGAAAAAAAATAAACGTTATCAACGGCTTTACAAAAACTTCTTCTCGGCCATCTTCTGATTCAAGTTTACCTCCATCCGTAGCCAAAGGGTCATCATCAACTTAAGAAATAATTTTTTAATGCTCCGGGAGTGAAATTTAAGGCAATTAAAAATGTTTTTCCTCATATGGAACCGAACCCAGGACCCTCTCCCAATAAGGACAAAATTACTACCAGCTACACCAAAACCTCGTTAGATAGAATTTAATAATTGGATCCTACACCTTGACAAAAATCAAATAAAAAAGAAAAAGCAAACCGTGTTCAACACCAATAGGGTCTTCATCAATAATTGCAGCCATTTTATTTAAATATTAAAAAATTGATTAAATTTAATTAAAAATTAAAACAAATAAAAAAATATAACAAACTTAGAAAATTCAAAAGTTTAGAACAAAAAGTTCAAAATTTTTACCAAAATAATTTTATAAAAGCACACAAAGAAAAACAAAATAGTTTTGAAGTTAAAATGTAGAAATGTGATTTTATTTGAAAATAATAAATCAATCCTAGTTTCAAAAGTGTCTAAACACCAAAATAATATGGCTTTTGTCGTCAAATTGTCCAAAATAGGACCTTGGAAGCATGAGACATTTCGTCCCATAATTAGAAAATAAGGGAAATTTTGACATTGAGCTTAATGATGCGTCCATTATCCCTCTTTGTTATAAGGGGGAATCTAAAATAAATAAAGAATAATGAAAGGTGGGGAGACACTCCATCCCAAAATGAAAAAAAATTCTTTAAAAAATCACATCCCTACCACTAAAATAATTATCAGAAAATTCTGAATAGCTTTTTAAAATAGATAAACCATACAATCTCCAACTTTAAAAATATTAAATACTTCTTTAATCACTCTTCTTATCACCTCCAGCAGTTCCTGCATTTTTGGCCTGAAAATTAGTTAAAATAGAAAAAGAAAGTTTTTTAAATTGGATTCAAAGGCCCATAAACGAGAAAAAAATTTTAAAGGAAAAAGTCATCGGAAAAATATTTTGAAGTCCTTTTTTGTCAAAAAATTAACCACACTCCTTCTATAAAAAATTGAAAACATTCGGATAGGATTCATTTCTATCCTCCCATAACTAAATCAAGTTTTTATTAAATTGACACTTACAGATTGAAACCTACGGATACCCATCCCTTTTTCTAGCTTATATTAAAAGCAGTGATGAGTACTAATATGGGAACATGTCTGATTAACATGTCACACACAGAAACTTTTTCGACCCGGAATCCGAAACACGATTAGAAGAAAATTTTAAAACACAGACCAGACTTCTTTCCAACCCATCCCCGATGAGTATTAAACAAACTAAACCCCGCCCAGCAAGACCCTTCCAAGTAGGGCTCAGCTATGTCTCAAAATCTCGGTTCCCCAACCCCAAATCTTTACTTTAAAATTAATGTAAGAAACCTCATATTCTCTCAGCTTTGCAGTAACACGTTCATATTCTTCTTGGAGATTCTCAGATTGAGCTTTCATTGCATCACGGTCAGTTTCCGCCTTTTTCAACTTCAAATTCATTTCCTTCAAATCTTCTCGCAATTTTTTGTCCGTCTCAGTTTCCTTTCCATCACTCTAAAAATTAATTTTTAACCTCTTCTTTTAAACAAAAAACGCCAAAGATCAAACTTTGTCCATGAGATCTTTGGCAGCTTTACCAGCCCCTTCGGCCTGTTTCATTGCTGCTTCCGCTGCCAATTCCAAATAGGCACAACGTGCAAGGAGGGTGACAATTCGACGAATAACACTTAAAATGAGTGAAAGGAATAAATTAAACATAGAAGAAACAAGTTTACAGTGCAAGCAGAAGTGAGAATCCGCTAATGTAGAGATTGCGCTGGGCCCTGAAAAATGAAAAAAATTATAAATTGGAATAATTTTAAGCTGAAACAAGAAAATACACAGGGATCTAGCTGACATGAGTCTGGTTAATGTGCATAGGATTTTTCTTAACCAAAGCCCGGATCTTAAGGATAAAGTCACAAACTTACAATTTAACAATAAGGGAAAAAGGTTCAATAGTTCACAAGAGACTAACCGCCCGGTTAATTTTTTCCTGTGGCGGGTCAAAATGGGAAGAGAGAAGGGAAAAGAGAAAAAAGATCCCGCCATAGGGACCGGGCGGTTAACCGGTTTTGTGTTACTCTAATTAGGACCTGATGTGAGCTGGGTATGGCTAAAGCCTGAAGGGTATTTCTAAACTAAAGAACAGACCCAGGTCCGTAGTCAGGGTGGCCCATAAGATGTTCACTTAATTCGAAGAAGGGGAAAAACAAATATTCGCCCACAGGAAAATATTAGAGATCGTAACTGGGCAATAGCCAGACTTTTCCAAACCAAAACCCGGAACCAAACATTTTTTGAGATGGTGGGTCTTACATAACGAAACTTCACAGGATCCTGCCCATGCCAATAAACCTAAAAATTAACCTAAACAAACGCATATGAATAACAGCATCTGCATCAGCACGAGCTGGGATTTCTTTGGCAATGTCAATGTGGCTGTATTTGCGCACTTCTCTGGTAGCATCTTTTTTAGAAAAATTAAATTTTAAACATCAAAAATTAAAAAAATACCAACAAACAGAAGAAGCAAAACAAAAATAAAAGCGTAGGCATAAACATTCGAAAAATTCTTAAAACTGTGAACTATTCGACTGTTGAAAACCTTCTTCCACCTTTAAATAGAAATGAGTCCAAACCTGAGGAACTATTGACATTGAAGACATACAACCTTTCAAAGGGAATAAAGAGAGGGAGTTGGGGATAAACACCCAGATTTATGGAGATAAGTATCCAGTTCTGTATTTATGGGGCGGTATTGAAAATGCGTAGCCATTAGAGATCGGTCTGGGTCAGGACCAATGCCTGGGTTTTTCCTGTACCCAGGTCCAGGCATTTTTTGACCTTCCTGGGTTTTTCCTGGACCTGGGTTTTTCCTATACTAAAAGCCCAGAATACAGTCCAGGTCAAAAAATCAAACCCTAGAATCCAGGAACAGGTCCAGGCTTTTCTAAACTTCCGATCTCTACTAGCCATAACTCCGGGTGAGCGGAGATCTTTATCCCCTTCAATCCCTCCAACTACATCGATACTCCCTTAATCCCCCCAGCCCCCTCAATATCCCCTTTTTACATTTCCTTTTCAAAAGTTGTAGGCTTCAGATTCAATAGGTCTTCCAGATTGTCCCCACAAAAATAATAAATTAATTAAAAATAAAATTAAACATTGTCGGTCGAATCCAAGGGAGCATAAGTATAAGAAGTACAAAAATCTCCGCGTAAAGAATAAACGCAATAATAGTCCATTGAAGAGTCATTTTTTTGTTTTTTAGAAGATTTTTAAAAATAAATTTTCTGAAATTAATTAAATTAGTGGGGAAATAAAGGTTAAACTTGTTTTTATAAAAATATGAGAATTTTCAAAAATTTTCGAGCTTAGAAAAGAGAACGGCCTGGATTGGGATCCTGCCGTTGATTTTTCCTGGATCGTGAGTCAAGAATCTGGTCAAGGTTCTCAACAACTATGAAAAAACGGACTCATAATGTGTTCAGTTAAGTTTTGGAGCTTTGTAATTTACTACCAAAAAAACATTAAGAATGAGAAGTGCTGTTTATTGCACCTTTTTCCCTAGAGTTAAGAAAAAATTATTAAGAGAAACTTCTCATTCTCTCTCTTATAAATAATCAAGTATTTTGAAACAGGTGTTTGGAAGAATGAAAAGAAAATTAAACAAAATTTCAATAAAAAAATAAATACAGTGCGGTGCATATGTTTATCAACTTTTCTTTTGTAATTTAAAAAGAGTCGAAATTATCGGAATTGTGAAAGTAAATCGGAAATTTTTCAGCAATTTAATACATCCATATATCTAGTCTAAAAATCATTCAAAACTTTTATTTTATCACCATAAGAAAAAAAGTTATAGCAATTTAAATGTTGCTACCCTAAAATCTGCCGGTGCATATGTTTATCAACTTTTTTTAAATCGAAGAAAATTTTATATTACAATGTTTCAAAAATTCCACAAAAATTTATGTGGACTTTTCCATCGATATAGTGTAGAAAACTAAAAAGAACGAAGTCTGTAACTTTTTTCTTCATCGAGATCTCGAACCCCAAAAATCAACGGAAAATGGAGGTACAGTACTTTAAAAAATATTTTGACCCCCTAGAGCTTTTATAAAAAATTTTCTTTTGGGCTCATTTGAAAGCCCATAAAATTTGCTACAAAATAGCACAGGTTTGATTTATTCTAAAAAATAGTTGTTCGACTTACATCGACTTTCACATAAAAATGGTCAAAAAACCCGTAAAATACCCCAAAAATGTTAACTTAAAAGATTGCCCTATCTCCATCTCTATGAGTTTTTATTAGAAAAATAAAAACTTTGATTATTTTGTAGCAAATTTTATGGGCTTTCAAATGAGCCCAAAAGAAAATTTTTATAAAAGCTCTAGGGGGTCAAAATATTTTTTAAAGTACTGTACTGCCATTTTTCGTTGATTTTTGGGATCTGAGATCTCGATGAAGAAATAAGTTACAGACTTCGTTCTTTTTAGTTTTCTACACTATATCGATGGAAAAGTCCACATGAATTTTTGTAGAATTTTTGGAACATTGTAATATAAGATAAATAGATGTATTAAATTGCTGAAAAATTTCCGATTTACTTTAACCTATTAGGATAATTTCACCTCTTTTTAAATTACAAATGAAAAGTTGATAAACATATGCACCGCACTGTACGTAGCACTAAATAATAAATAAATGAAATTAAACTCAAAAGAAATTAAACAGAGACAGAGAACATTTCTCTTATTTTCCCCTAGTCTTTTTTAATTTCTTTCTATATTTCCTCTTATTTTACTGTACTCTCTCGTCGCTTTTTCTCTAAAATTTCTTTTTTGATTAAATGACGGGCTCCCATACAAAACATAAATTCTTAAAACATCAAACTCTCAAAATATCTAGACGAGTAAAAAATCTCAAAACATATTCTCTCAAAACATCAAACTCTTAAAATATATTTACGGGTAAAATATCTCAAAATATCAAAATATATTTTTTAATTAAAAGGGACAGTTGAGTCCCATATTTCTTCCTTGTATCAGGGGTGAATATATTTTAAGATGTAGTACTTCAGGACCAATTTTGCATGAGTTCGACGAGCTGAATCAAGTGAAACCAAAATCAGCTCGATTGGACGCTTCTGAACAAAGTTATGACCAACAGAATCTTCGCTGGAAAAACTGTTTTTGTGCTGCTACGGAGGGTAGGCCGGGCATGGTCTTCGCTACACGATGGCCGTGCTTCGCTGCGGTCGTGCTCGCTTCGCTCGCGGCGACCGTAGCGAAGCGGCGGCCGTCGTTCCGCTCGACATGCCCGGCTTCCTCCGCAGCGGCGAAAACTTTTTTCTGCGGACTCAACTGTCCCTTTTAATTGAAAAAATATATTTTGATATTTTGAGATATTTTACCCGTAAATATATTTTAAGAGTTTGACGTTTTAAGAAAATATATTTTTAGATTTTATAGCCGTCTAGATATTTTGAGATTCTTTAACCGTCTAGATATTTTGAGCTTTTTTACTCGTCTAGATATTTTAAGAGTTTGATGTTTTGAGCGGGCACGAAATGACGAATTTCGGTAGGGGACCATATGATAGGGGACCATATGATGAGGTGGGGTATGATTCAGCGCGCACGATTCAGCGCACACGATTCAGCGCACACGATTCAGCGCACACGATTCAGCACCACCACGATTCAGCGCCCACGATTCAGCGCACACGGTTCAGCGCCAGTTATAGAAGGCACGTTTCAGCGCCCATCAATTCATTTGCATGAGTTCGACGAACAGAGTCAAATTACCGATACCAACTTGATTTGTAATTATGCACAAGCCTATGACCAACAGAATCTTCGCTGGAAAAACTGTTTTTGTGCTGCTACGGAGGGTAGGCCGGGCATGGTCTTCGCTACACGATGGCCGTGCTTCGCTGCGGTCGTGCTCGCTTCGCTCGCGGCGACCGTAGCGAAGCGGCGGCCGTCGTTCCGCTCGACATGCCCGGCTTCCTCCGCAGCGGCAAAAACTTTTTTCCGCGTAAATTTTTTGAATTGAAAAGAAAAATATTGAAGCAAAGTTGATAAGTTGATAAAAAATAGAACTTTTAAAAAAAAGTTGATAAAAATAAAAAGTTGATAAAAAAAAGCTGATAAAAAAAGTTAATAGACTGGCGCTGAACTATAACTGGCGCTGAACCGTGTGCGCTGAATCGTGTGCGCTGAATCGTGATGGCGCTGAATCGTGTGCGCTGAATCGTGTGCGCTGAATCGTGTGCGCTGAATCGTGCGCGCTGAATCGTGTCTAACCGTTGTGTACGGCCGTTTGTGTACCGCCGTTTGTGTACGGCCGGTTGTGTACCGCCAGTTGTGTACTTGGCCGTTTGTGTACCTGGCCAGTTGTGTACCGCATTATATAGGAATATAATAAGGGAATGTAGATTATATTTCCCAACTTAGAATCTTATTAGAAAATTCGAAATGCAAATTCGACCAAAATTGCCATGATTTAACAAATTTGGACAAAGTTACGATTCAAAAATAAACCAGTAAACCTATGGGCGTCGGCGAGACGCTTGTGCAAAAGCCCGCGCTTCGCGCGGGCTTTTGCGGCACGCGTCTCGCGGGAGTCAACGGTCGCTGGGTTCCGTACCAGTAACATAAACCTATTCCTTTTATCGATTTTTTGAGTTGAAATGCCGACCTATTCTTTGTAGCAACACAAAAAGTTCTTTAAGTGAAGATACGGCCTAAAATCCCCTGATAAAGTAACCTTGGGTCTAATAAGATTCTGAATTGGGTGATATAGTCTATATTTCCTTACTATCTTACCAGCAATACTTTCGTTCTGGGATATATAAAGACAAAAATTCTTAAAAATGCGGGTACACAAACGTCCCCATTTGGGTAGGTACATAACCGGCCGTAGGCAATCCCGGAGAATTGGGGTTTCTTCGAAAAAAAAGTTTAAAAATAAGAAAAAGGGTTTTTCTAGGGTAAAAAAATATGCTGATTACGAATCTGAGCTCGGATTTTGAAAAAGTCGAATCCCGGACCCGAATTCGGAATTTGACCCCGGACATTGTCGGACATAGTACAAAATGGTCAGTCTTTCATATGGAGGTGGAACTCGTCGAGATGCATCGAATGACACCAAAATCGATGAAATCCGACGTGGTTGGACCGAGATACAGACCCCGGAATATTGAAAAACCATAGGGGTGTGTTTTTGGAGCAAAAAAAAGTTTACGCAAATGATAGCTCGTTCGAAAGAGCTCGTCAAACTGAGTCGAATGACACCGAAATTAACGTAATCGGACGAGTTTTGACGAAGTTATGACATAAGTCGACGACTCCTACAGTACTCCCATAGGTCTACTTTATGTCACAACTTTGTCGAAACAAGTCCAATCACGTTGATTTTGGTGTCATTCGATGCAGCTCGACGAGCTCTTTCGAACGAGCTATCATTTGCATATTCGAAATCCGGGTTCAGGGTTCGAAATTTGGTTCGGGTCCGGGATTCAACTTTTTCAAAATCCGAGCTCAGATTCGTAATCAGCATATTTTTTTACCCTAGAAAAACCCTTTTTCTTATTTTTAAACTTTTTTTTCGAAGAAACCCCAATTCTCCGGGATTGCCCGGCCGTACACAACCGGCCAGGTACACAACCGGCGGTACACAACTGGCCGTACACAAACGGCGGTACACAAACGGCGGTACACAAACGGCGGTACTCAATGATCGCGTTCCGGACGAATTTAAATAAACATTTTGCCAAAAAAGATAAAAATACACGCCAAAAAAGGGAAATATGTGAATTTGCCAAAATAGCTTCATAAACTAGTTTGGATGTTTTTGTGCTTTTTTCTTGTTTTTTCTTTGTATTTTAATGTTATTTTTTTAAATTTTTCCTTTCATTTTCAGATTTGTTTTCTAGTTTATTTTTAAAATGTCTGCCAATGTTGATAAGGATTCTAATGGAGTTGAAAATGGTTTGTTTTGATTTTTTGATTTTTTTTCTGTTCCCTTTCTCCACACTTAAGTATTCCATTAGTTTTAAAGGTAGGCCTGTATCCAGGCCTTGATTTTTCTTGACTTGAGGACAATAATCTGATCACTGTCCTCAACCAAAACCTAGAAACAAGGTCAATGTTTTTTTTAAATTTCCGATCTCTGAGTAGCACATTTTCTGACTAATTATAATTTCTTACTCTGTCACAAATTCGAAAAATAATTTTATTTTCTTGAAGGAATTAACGGCAACAATTCAACATCGGAAAATGGTCACAAAGAGGTTTTTCTTTTCTTTTAATTTTCTCTTCAAAAAATTTTATTTCTAGCAACCTTTTGGCCGTCCTGAATGGGAATTGTTGCAAAAACGTTTGGCAGTCTTATACGACAATGTGAGAGCTTATCATACAAATTTACAACAATTGTTGGCTGATGCAAAGCAAGCGAAAGGAAATCGATGAATTTTAATTTTGTGGTTAAGTGGGTTAAAATTTGGTTGTTGAGGGGGGAAAGTTCGACTCCTTTGAGTTTAAAAAATAAAATATATAAGTGTTATTATTTTAAAAAATCGTCAAAACATATTTATCCCTGATATAAATTATTTAAATTGAATTACATGAACAAAATAAGTATAGGTAATTGGGCACTACTGAAGAATTGGCTTTTTGCGGACTTTTTCCTTGTTTATCTTTTATTATAATTTAATTTTCTTTTTTATATTATTTATTATTCTGATTTTTGTGCATCAAAATTTTAATTAAGATGGGGAGGGTGGCATTCCTTTAAGCATGGCGGCATCTGACATTTTAGAAGGAAACAGGGAAAGATTCGGATATACTTTAGCCGGTGGCCCACTCAGAAACCTCTCGATATGTATACCATTCGATTCGTCTCGGTGAGCTGAGTCGAATGGTACTATTCTTTTCTTGCGGAAATGCCTACAAGCCGAGATATAGGTCCCCGAAAATCGAAAAACCATAGGGGGAGTAAGCTTAATTTTAGGGTGAAAAATTCGATTTTTTGATTGATAGCTCATTCGAAAGAGCTCGACGAGCTGAGTCGAATGACACCAAGATCACAGTGATTGAACAAATTTAGACAAAGTTACAACACAAAAAACTAGCAACATAAACCTATGAGGCGTCGGCGAGGCGCTTGTGCAAAACCCCGCGCTTCGCGCGGGGTTTTGCGGCACGCGCCTCGCAGGGAGTCTACGGGTGCTGGGTCTGGGCTCGTAACATAAACCTATTCCTATTTCCCTTGCTCTGGACGTATTTGTGGCCTCCGTATCAGCGAAAATCTCCACAGATGCCATAGGTAAGGACTAAAATAAAAGATCATAACTTTGTCCAATCAATTCGGATTTCGTTGATTTTGGTGTCATTCGACTCAGGTCGACGAGCTCTTTCAAATGAGCTATTATTTGCATATTCGAATTTTTCACCCCAAAAATGTGCTTGGTCCCCCCTATGGTTTTTCGGTTTTTAAGGACCTATATCTCGGCTCGCAGGAATTTCCGCAAAAAAAGAGTGGTACCGTTCGACTCAGCTCGCCGAGACGAATCGAATGGTATATAATTTTACCCGTTTCTGAGTCGGCCACCGGCTAAAGTACAGCCAAAGATTCCGTTGAAAAAGCAACTTTTATTCAATAGTGTCATATAGGTATTGACATTTTTATTATGAAATTTTTTTAAATGAGCAAATATGTGTAAAGGTTTTTGATGGAGACTCGCAATTCCCCATGAGTTTTAATTAGTTATGTACGATCAGCTTATTTAATTAGCACAATATTCCTCTATAATTTTATCTTTTATGTCCTGCGGAGGATCTTGACCCCATCCTGAACAGACCTGGGCGAAACTCCAAAATTTTTTTGGACGAAACGAAACGAAACAAAAATTTTTAAAAATCGTTTCGTTAACAAAACGAAACGAAACAGTGAAAATTTAACGAAACGAAACGAAACAAAACGAAACATTTTAATTTCCAAAAAAATCTCAAAAAACCTAATTATTTTATTAATTATTCAATTTTAAACATGTTAATTGGCCATTAATGACATTTATGCCATCATATAATTATGTGGGACCACAAATTGTGGTCCCATTAGCCATGGAGCAACAATTTGTGATCCCAATTTGTGTTTAGCCATTGCAAATCATTTTAAATGTTCATTTTTCTCTTAATTTCACCTAATTCCCTATATCGCCATCAGGCCCATGGCCAGGATTTTTTTGTGGGGATAAAGGGAGGAAAATTTACTGCACCAAATTTTCGGCGCCGCTGAAAATTATGATTTTCAGCGGCGCAGGCAAAAATTTTGAAAATTTTAGAAGGCTGTAGACCAAAAAATTCCTTTTTTCTGCGCCGCAGGCGAAAATTTTTTTAAATTTGAAGGCTAATAGGCCAGATTTCTTTTTCAGATAAGGTAAAAAGGGCAAATACCTCCCAAATGAGCCTGGTACAAACTGAAACAGGGTGGTATGTACACTTGCCTCGATATCTCTTCCCACAAAATCCCTCGATATTACTATTAATCCCCCAATTTCTCCGATATCCCCATTAAGCATAAAAACGGGGATATCGGTGAATAAAACATAGTCGAGTATAGAACATAATATGAAGAATTTTTGAACAAAAACATATTGTCAATTGAAAAAATCAAAAATAATCTTGTAAATTATGCGCTGAAGACTCTTTAAATTCAGATTTCGGCGCCGCAGGCAAAAATTTTTTGAATTTCCATCACAAAAGTGGAAAATTTTTCAGTTTTTGAGTGATATTTTGGCTTAAAAAGTACCTAATGTTTCGTTAACGAAACACAGGTGTTTCGTTAACAAAACGAAACGAAACAAATTAAAAAGTGTTTCGTCACGAAACGAGACGAAACAGTAAAAAACATAACGAAACTAACGAAACAACGAAACGAAACGAAACGTTTCGCCCACGTCTGATCCTGAATATAGAATTTGTCCATAATCTGCGATATCTATGCTGCCAGTTTTACATTTTTCATTATAAGCTTCTTTCTTATCTTTATCAAGTAACACATAACGCCAAGCTGGACTGCCACCAGTGATGAATGAAAAATAACCACTAGAATTCTTACCACGTGCTAAATGAACCTAAAAATAATTAGTCAATTATTCCCCCAACCTCAATTATTCCCCCAACCTCAATTATTCCCCCAACTAAGAGTTTATCTTCTCCCTTCTTATTAGCTATACGAATGAATTCATATTCAATATTTCGTTGATGCGAAAGAGATAAACTACTATTCATTTCCAATTTTTTATAAAATTTAGCTTCAAATTTAGATGTAAATTTTTGTAAAAAAATTAAACAAATCTAAATAAAATAGAGAAAAAAAATGAAATGAATGTGTTAAACTTTTTATATTAAATGGAGAAGCGCTGAATTTTTTACATTACTAACTTTACATATTTATACGTTTTTTGAACTTTACACTATAATAATGATTCACATTTTCCCACATTTTCTTTTCTTTCATTTCCCCCCTAATTCTAATACATAATCGGGCAATGTGAATAATTTGGGAAATAAAATTTTAAAATTAAAATACTCTTGGGAATTTCGAGTTATCACATTTTTCCTATTTCCTTTATTTTTGTGCCATTGACAATCAAACAAATCAAAAAAATTTATTTGAGTTAAGTTCGATTTATCATTCCCGCTCGCTTGCGCTACCGCTGGTGTCTCTGTCTGAATCACAACATCCAATGAAACCAAATATTTTTATAAAATTTATTCCTGACAATTCTTCCTTTTCCATTATAATTTATAAAAAATATTTAATTATAATTATAAAGTACTCCACACAACTATACAGCCACTCAAATTTTTTAGTCTTCCACTCTAGCTTGTCAAAATATTAAAGATATAAATTAAAATATTGTTTACGACACCTGAAGCCCGAATATCAATAAAAAGCCTGAATCCAAAAAATCTACAAAAATTCCTGTAAACATATTTACTCCTTGTTTATTATATTTAAATGCTAAAATTTCCAAATTCCAATTTAAGCTAAAAAATTATGAAAAATTGAGTGGCCGTATATGTAGTTATGTGGACAATTTTTAATTTTCTTTTTTTTTTATTCTTTTCTTTCTTTAGCATCACTATTATTTCTTAAAAAATAAATTTAGAAAATAAAAAAATTTTTTTTCTCTACCTTGCTACAACCTCCATTAACTTTATCACAGCCAGTCTTACAGCAACTAAATATATATTTTTAATCAATTGATATGCATTTATACCTCTTTATAAAATACACTTACAATGACAACTGGCAAATGTCCAGTTGGCGTTCAATATATCCGCAAAAAGAATCCGCGGTATTAGTACCTTTAATGGTATTTAATGGGACTGATTAAAATCGGACTGCTTGAAAAAGAATGTAAAGAGCATATTCTCTTTGCGGACGGGTAGACCGCCAACTGGACATTTGCCATGATATCTTAGTTGACCCATAGAAAACTTTCGATTTACAGACGTTTTAAATGTCAAAGACATGCTACAGTGGCTAAAAATAGTTAAACTTTTGAGGTAAAAAATCATTTAACCTGCAACCAAATTTTTATTAAATGGACATTAGGTCTATTAGTGAGGGTCAATTTAGGTATTGTAAAGATCTTTGAGCTATCTTATAATTAAAAAAATTTACATAGTCGCATCATCTATGAATGCAGCTTTACTTTTAAAACAACAATGTTGTTTTAGTTGATCACATTTGCCCCCACATGAATCTAAGGGGCTAGCAGAAATTTCAAAAAATTCATTAGAAACGAGTAAGATTGAAAAAAGAATGCTGACAAAAATGAAAGATTTTGACATTTTTTGGAGGCAAAAAAAATTTTTTTAATCAAAATATTTAATTTTTAGGGTTATTTATATTAGACCAGAATAGGTATTTTATAATTATACGGCTAACTCCGTGGCAATTGTTTGGTAGAGGAGAGAGAGATTCAACTTTCTAGGATTTAAAACGTGGATTTATTAGAGAAAAAATCTCTGCGCTTTATTACATGAAGGTAATTTCCGACAGTCATTTCCGATCCAGCTCTGTGAGCACCTGAAACGTGGTGAGCGAAAGTGCCTGTCAATAACCGCCCTAGAAGGGAGCTGGCAACATACGCGAGTCCAATATACCGCAGAGCCTAGGAGGTTTAGAATCGATGCTTTCTACCTCTCTCTTACTTTCAAAAACCGTCAGCCAGCATTCAAAACAGGCACTCACTCACATATAAAACTTTAAATATTTACTCACATTTTAATTTTAAATGATTTTAATGAAAAGAGTTTTAAAAATCTTTAATCTTTTCTAAAAATAAAATTTTGTTGTTGGCAAAATTTAAGCATTGAATCTGTTTAACAGTGATCTTGGAAAGTTTGGGAATATAGTTGTTTAAATGGCAAAAAAATAAAAATAGGGGGAAAGCCGCTACAAAGGATTTTATATTATTGACCTTTAAAATAAACAATTCCTCCCAAACTTTCATTTTATTCTTTTAAATATTTATTTTGTCCATATTTATGAGTGGCTGTGAATTTCTATCTTCGTCCCATATTCTTCATTCATTTTAACTTTAATGTCTTGTGGAGGGTATTCTCCCCACCCTGAACACAAAACTTTTCCATATTCTGCCACATCCAAATTGCCCGTCTCGATATTTTCAAGAAAAGCTTCTTTCTTATCTTTATCAACCAACAAATAGTGCCAAGCACCGCCACGGGTGGCTGATGCAAAAAGATTTGAAGGATCCCTCCCTCGAACTATATAAATCTAGAAATAGTCAATTTTGTTCTTAGAGTAGGAAGTTTCTACTCGACTGTCCACCGTCTCTTGCAATGCGTAGCCACGACAAAGTTGAAAATTCACAGTGTCACCGACTTGGAAAGAGTCCAAAAGTGTAAGAACATCTTCCCTCCATGTGCCGAGAACACACTTTAAAATAATCTTTGATACTATGTAGTTTACACCCCATAAGCCACGCCCCTTTTCCTTTTTTTAGAAAATGACCACAAGCCCGGACCCAAATGGTAATTTTATAGAATGGCTATTTTATAGGAGTTTGCGAACATTTTTAAAGAAAAGAGGAAAAAAGGGGGCGGGGCTTATGGGGTGTAAACTACACAAGTAACGAATCTTTTTACAAAAATTAAGCTAAAGGAGAACCTCTTGCTTTATATAAACAATAATATCTCCAGGTAGAACACCACTAATATGGGCAGGACTTTCCGGAACAACTTCTGTAACCTTTAATTTAATTCACATTTTTAGGCCAATAAAATTAAAATACTTGAATAAATTCATTTTCTACACAAATTCCATTCATTCCAAAAATAAAAATACCAAATGTCGGATCTTTTTTTATCCTAACATTAATAATTTCTCCCTTCAATTCGGCTGGATATGGGGTGAAAATTGGCTAAAATTTGAATTCTAATTAAATATTCTTTAAGCAAATTACTTCGAGTTTTTTAGTCTCTTCAGACTTAGAAGGCATAATGTTTAAGGAAATTATATTTAGATCTGAATCAAATTAATGAGGAAATTTTTAAATAATAAAATTTATTGGAAAACCACCATAAATTAATTTAAACTTTTTTTTGTAACATGTATTTATAAGAAAAAATGTTGTATAAATAATTTGCATTAATATTTAAATAAGATTGCTTTTTACGAAATTTACTGCTTTATTGGAAGGCTTGGCAAGGATTTTTATAAATAAGAAATTTGAAATAAGAAATTTTTTTTTCTAAATGCATAACCGCTAATGCATAACCGCGACAAATTTGAAAATTCACAATGTCACCACTATCATCCTTACATTATTTTTAATTTCTACGCGTTATTTTTTTAAAAAAGGCACGCATATTTCGAAAAAAGCCACCTCATTTTTAATAGTACATAAATGATATCTTGATTTTTATTATAAGGCTAGACAAAAGTTTTTTAGGTTGGTAAATGGTTAATCTTATAATCAGGGCTAATCCCATATTCCTCAACCATTCTGTTTTTAATGTCTTTTGGAGGGTCTTTACCCAATCCTGAATATAAAACTTCCCCATATTCTTTGACTTGGTTAATATCAACATTGCCCGTCTTCCGTTTCTTAAGCAAAGCTTCTCTCTTATCCTTATCAACCAACAAATAACACCAAGCTGGACTACCCCCAGTGATGAACGAAAAATAACCGCTATAATCCTTACCACGAATTATTTGAATCTAAAGATAAAAAAGAAAAATTGGTAAAAAAAATCTTTGGTTTTCACGGTAAAAAGTGACTTTTACTGGTCCCAAGAGAAAAGGGTTTTTTCATTATTTTTGATATTTGTTAATCAAGTGTGCTGAGTCCAAATACGAGTTTAAATTCTGTTTATTTCGAAACCCGAATCCGAACTCGGCCAGGTCGAATTCGAGTTTCAAATCTTTGAACCTTTGAAATAGAGAACTTAATGGGAGGCAGATTTTGTTGTAGGTTTGTCGGTTATGAACCGAATTTGACCATACGAAGAAACGATTTTTCGGTGTGTTCTTCGATTGGATTAAGATTATCCGAAGAAGATTTTCAAATTAATTTTAAATTAAAAAAAATTCTTCACTCGAGTCTTTTGGAATGCATAACCACGACAAAGTTGAAAATTCACAATGTCACCAACAGAAAAAGAACACAAAATTTTACAAACATCGCCACTCCTTGCACCAAGAATACACTTTAAAAGAATTCTTTTTAAAAATATAAGGCAAATGAGAACCTCCTCATTTATATAAACAATAATATCCCCAGGCAGGACTCGCTTGAGATATTCAGGCCTTCCAAAAACTCTTTTTATCTAAAAATTTTGTTTTCACTTTTAAAGCTCCCAAATAAATTACTTGAATAAATTCATTCTGTATACGAGTTCCATTCATACCAGTCAAAGTAATGCCGAATGGAATGTCTAGGGGCTTTTCATTCTTTATGCGAACATTAATAATCTCTCCTTTTAGTTCAGCTGGATTTGTGGTAAAAATTGGCTAAAATTTTAAATTATAGTCTAAATTCATTATCGAGTAATCGTTATTACCTCCAATTTTTCAACCTCCTTTATTTCTTTGATTTCATCATTAACTACTGGCTTTATAACTTCCTTATTATCCGAAACGAGCTTCTTGTTAACTTCATAAATTCCTTTTCCCCTAAAAATATTAAGAAAAAATCCAAAATTAGGTACTCAATTAAAGATAAACGTTTTTTCTTAATTTGTTTGCCTAACGGGGAGAGATCCCTATTTTTAACTTTCTGATCTGCTCAATTTAGCTAAAAAAATGCTAAAATAAAGCTTTTTTTTATTTTTAAGATAATGCCCTACTTTTTGCCCTAGTTCTGACCGATTTTGCCCTGTTGAGTACAAAACAGAGCTTCATACTCTTAGCCTTATCCCAAAACCTCCTCCCATATTTCATTACCTAATTTTTTATATTCTAAACTACACACCATTGATTAATATTTGATAGAATTATATCCGTTAATTCTTCCACATTTTTGTTTTCTTTCATTTTTAAACCCAATTCATCAAGCATTTCTAAATTACCTTCTTCAGTCACAATATGAATAAATTGTGAATCTTTAAAAAAATTTTTGAAAATTTTCTAATAAAAATAGCATCAAAAACCGTCTAATTTTTTAATCATTCGAGGAATAATTTCAAAACTTGTTTTAACAAAAATTTGACAATTTTCTCGAATGCCGTCCAAGAAAAAGAAGAATTTCTTCCTTACATCTGACAAAATTTAAATTTTAAATAATTAATAAATTTAATTTTTACCAGTAATTTTCCTCAAAAATAGCAAACTATCCCTCATAACTAGATCACATTCTTCCAAATTAAATTTATTTTCAATTAATTTAAAAATTGCCTAAAAATTAAATAAAATTTTTATAAATAGACCATCACATTTTTAGATATCCCTTCGAGTTGATTGTTTACCTTATAATGAGGGGTAGCTTAAATTGAGAGCATAATCGTTTGAAGCTTCTCCTCCTTACATCAGCCAATACTCCTCCCTAATATGCCAGGGGCGTGCAGCGAAAAACGAAACGAAATACTAAAGGCTAAACAAGGTCGAAAGACCAAACCAGATTTATCCTCTTAAAATGAGTAGAGTTGCCAAAATGGACCGACTCGGACCGAAAGATCGAGTCAGGCCTCGATGTTTGGCCCGAAAAAGTCTCGTACCGGCCCGACTCGATAAAAACAAGCCCGAAAAAAATGCCTCGACCGTCGGCCCGACTCGAAAACGGCAACCCTAAAAATGAGGATTGAATGTTTAGTTCATTTTAACCAGACTTTTAGATAGATAAACCAAAAAATTATTATTTTGAGTCAAAAATTGCCCCAATTCCCCTTATAAAATTTAACAATTTCAAAAACACCTCAATTATTCCAGTTTTCCCAATTTTAATTTTTTCCTCTTCCCCCATCTTGCCAGTCATAAAAACAAGCATAGATACAACAGCTCGTTGAGTTAAAAGATCAGAACTGTTCATTTCCAAAAGTTTCAAAATTAAATTAATCATTTTAACATAATCTTCAATATTGACATCAAATTGTGAAAAGTCAATTTTTTGAAATTTAACAGGATGAAAAGTATTTTCTTCGTCCTCACTGTCACTATGGTCACTTAAATAAAATTTATTTAGAGTCCACCCCTGAAGACCTAAACACTTTAGACCCTAAATAACTGTTGAACCTGAAGAGCTACAACATTTGAAAAGGGAATATCAAAAGGGAATATCAGAAAATTTGATGGGATTGGAGGGAATATAGATCTCTACTCACCAAAAGTTAAGGTAACAATCACAAGTCGTCATCAACGACGGATCATAGGCTTTAAAATACAGCGTAATTAAATCCATACAGATATGGGTATTTATTCCCCTTAAATTCTCTTTCAAAATTTGTAGGCCTTTAGTTTCAATCTCTCCAAAATATGCATGTCTTCAGGGTTGACCCCCTTATTTTAAGCTTTAAAAATTCATTAAAAATCCAAACTTATCACTGAAAATGTTGTTATCAATATTTGCCAAATTTTCGCGAATATTTTCGAAATAACGAGAACCAATTTGTGGATGTGATAAATATTTTTCATAAATTGCTTTACCACCAGCCTCGTTGAAAAGTTTTCTATTTATTGGTGCTTCATCTAAAAAACAGAGGAAAGGATTTATAATCCCCAATTTCAATCTCTTCCCCTATCACTCTAATAAAAATATTTACCCATAACGGAAAACAAAAATGACCATCCAACTTCAATTATGGCATACCAACCACCCGCCATGAATTTATCGTCAACTAATTTTGTAATTACCTAAAATTTGTAAAAATATTTATTAATTATCAGGTCATTTCACAAAAAAAAGTTTGCATTGCAAAAACAGTTAAAGAATTGTTTAAAAACCCTAAAATAAACACCTCAATTACTCCAGTTTCTCCCATCCTAACTTTATTTTCCACATCCGCATGTTTAGCCATTAGAGCGAGAAATGACACAATACCACGTTCATCCAAATAATCATCACTATTATCTTCCATTTTTTCTACCAATAATTCAACGAGTTTTAACGTTAGTTTACTTGAACCTGCTTCAACGTTAGACTTGGAAAATTTAAAAAAATTTCCTTTTAATTTAAAAATTACCAATCTTTTTTGCTCTTTACAACCAAATTCCTCACCATTCACATCTTTTATATCCATTTGTTTAATCTCTTCAAGATCCCTCTTTTTCTGTTCATCTTCAAATCTGGATGACATACTGTTTCGGAAAGCTGTCTAAATCTAAATAATTTTTAAAAATATCTTCTTAGAAAGATATTTAAATGATAAAACATAATAGAGACTTGTCTATATTTTTATTCAGAAAATCTGATATTTTTATAAATGTGTGATCATAAAAATGAATAAATAATGAGCAATACATACATATAGTCTCTCTCTGACTTTTAGCACCAGAATTCAGCTCCCGGTCAATGCGTCAGTGGACAATCGGGCAGTAAAGTATATCGAATAAATAAAGAAATACGGCGTAATTTTAAGGGATTAAGAGGGATATTGAGGATTTGTGGGATTAAGAGCATTGTCAGATATATTGAGATCTGGGAGGACTAAATTTTCGAATATTCCACTGTAAAGATGTAAAGGATATGTAAGAATTAAGAAGATAACGGAGGATTTGTGGGGCTTAAGAGTTATATTAGAGGATAAAGATTGCATTTTTCAAATTATCTCTTTTGCGCACCCCCAGGTCCAAACCCTATGTATGAGGTTCAAGTCCATGAGACCCTATCCCTATCCAAATTCCTTGTATACGTTCAAATTCTCTATATACCTTATAATCACTCTTACTTTTAATCGTGTGAATGTAATCGTACCATATATACGCTATGATATCACTCTAATCTCTGATACGCCTTATAACACCCTTAATCCAACAAAATCAACTGATACATATCCACCTTAATCCTTCGATATCTCCTCAAAATCAGCTCAATCCCCACAAAACTTAAATATGCTCCTTAATCCCTCCAAATTACCCTTTGTGTCACACAATCTTCGCATATACTTTACTGACCGATAGTCACTGACGCATTGCCAGACATGCCAAAATTCTTCAATGTTTCTGAAAAAACAACTCTTATTTTCTGTAAAGTAATTGATATAATTGGATCAAACAAGTTTTCTATGGTTTGCGAAAGGGTATATACATGTTTAATCCCATATTCCTCAATCAATTTGTCAATAATGTCTTGTGGAGGATCTTTGCCCAATCCTGAATATAAAACTTCGCCATATTCTTTGAATTCTTTGATATCCATTGTGCCTGGCTTGACTTTTTCGAGCAGAACTTCTTTCTTATCTTCATCAAATAACAAATAACACCATGCTGGACTACCACCAGTGATGAATGAAAAATAACCGCTATAATCCTTACCACGAATTAGTTGAATCTAAAAATAAAATTTAGATTTTGGGATTAAATATGAGAATCTATTAAGATACGTGATCTATGAAAACAAGAACCGATGAGTCAAAACTATTAGGTTAGAAATTAGAGAAACTAAGAGCAGTAAAACAATAAGAGTAAGAAAAGAATCAGGTATCAATTTTATTTTTAAATGGAAAAAGACTTACTTTTTTCTTTTGCATTGCGTAACCACGACACAGTTGAAAATTGATAATAGCACTATCAGAAAAAGAATTCACACGTTTAAGATAATTTTTCAAAGTTGCGCCGAGCATACACTTAAAGAATTTATTTTTTTAAATAAAAGAACGGAAAAACCTCTCGATTAACATAAACAATGATATCTCCAGGTATAAAACCACTGATATGAGGAACAATACCTCCGAATGAATATCTCCGGGTAGGAAATCCGGGCAGAAAATCCTTGAAATCAGGAACAACATTTTCGACCTAAAACTTTATTTACAGTTTAAAGTCACTACATTTAAATACCTGAATAAATTCATCACGTGCACGAGTCCCATCCATACCATTATAAAAAATACCAGATAATTCAGCTTTATTTAGTCTAACATTAATAATCTCTCCTTTCAATTCAGCTGGATTTGCAGTGAAAATTGGCTAAGAATTAAATTTTAATTAAAAATTTTCTTTAAGCAAATCACCTCCAATTTTTTACCTTCTTTTGTTTTATTAGCCTCAACATTATCATTAGCAACAGGCTTTTTAATCTCCTCTTTATCCTTCGAAACGAGCTTCTTGTTAACCTGATGAATTCCTTTTCCCCTAAAAAATGATGAAATAATTTTTGGAAATTGTTTGGTCGTTGGTTGGGAAGATTAGAAAATCCTCATAATCAATGAGAGGTCCATAGGAAAAAAGGATTTAAAAAAATTAGACTTTCTGCCATTAATGTCCCTACTTATTTCTTATATTTTAAAATTTAAACCATTTATCAATACTTGTAAGAATCACATTCGTTACTTCTTCCACATCCTCGTTTTCTTCCAATTTTTCAGTTAATTCGGCAAGCATTTCTTCCCAACTTTCTTCCTTCATAACACAAAGATATTTTGGATCTTTAAATATTTTTTTAATTAAAAGAATATAAAAAACATTAAAAACCTCTTAGCTTTTTTATCATTCGAGGAAGAGAGTTTAAACTTGTTTTAACAAAAATTTCACAATTTTCTCGAATGCCATCTGTATGAAAAAAAAATTAGATTTTATTTAAAGAGAATTATGGATCGCAACAAGGTCAAAAATTAAATTTTGTAAAAAAAAGGGAAAAATTATAAACCGAAATTAATTTAAAAATTAGTCGTTTTTAATCCATTTATAAGCTAAAAATTCTAAGGATCCATTAATTTTAAAACAAAAAATTTTGAAAATTGTAGAAAATAATTGGTATTTTCTACGAAAAAATACTCGTGACTGTTCTGTGTCTGTGTGAAAAAAAAGTTAGGAAAGTAAAATTCGTTAAAGTTTTCCGCAGCTTTTTTAAAATATTTTCAAATTTCTTCTTTACATTTGTCAAAATTTTAATTTTTAACATTAAAATTTTTAAAAATTAATTTTTACCAGTAATTTTATTCAAAAATAACAATCCATCTTCCACAACAATATCATATTCTTCCATATTGAATTTATTTTCAATTAATTTAAAAATTGCCTAAAAAATGGGAAAATCCCCATATTACGTGTCCCAGGAACAAATATCAATTTTTGGCGCAAAAATTTTTTAATCCAACGAACGCAAAACCCAAAAATTATTTTTCTTTCAGCAATAGGGTCGATAACCTATTGCCGATTTTTTTTGACCTGACACCAAAATCGAAAAGTTATAGCAGATCAGTTTCAATTTTTAGAACCGCCAAAGGGTCTACAAAAAATCATATCCTGCTATACATTCAAAAATATTTTCAAAATCTTGAAAAATTTTTAATCAACATTGAAGAGCTAAAATAATCGAAAACCCCAAAAATTATATTTTTTGATTAAAAATTGAAACAAAATATTTTTAATTATCTAAACTCATAAAAAATTAAAACTAAAAACCTCAATTGCTCCACTTTTTCCAATTCCAATTTTATCCTCTTCCTCCGCATTTATAGCCATATTGGCAAATGTAGCTACAATAGCTCGTTGAGTCAAAAGATCAGAATTATTCATTTCCAAAACTTGTAAAAGTAAATTCCTCACTCTAACACAATCTCCACAAATCTCGTCTAACTGCAAAAATTAAGTTATTAATTGTCATATGATTATTTTTCTCCTTTATATGGGGTTTTTTCGAATGATTTTTTATTGATCAATTATTCCGAAATTATTTAATTATTCGTTTCCAAAATTTAGAATTAATCAAGACTGTCCGCAAAATAATTCTTGACTTGCGGATTCTGCATAAATTTTTTCGATTGCGGAAAACGCTGTTAATCGAGTATTTATAAATCAATTACGTAATATTAAAACATAAAAGAATGAGTAAAAATAATTTAAAATAAAAAACCTTGAAATATTTTTTGACAACTTTATCGATTATTTTTTGTGGAGGATCTTCACCCCAACCTGAATATAAAACTTTTCCATAATCTTTAACATCCATGCTGCCCGTCCTCGATTTTTCAAGAAAAGCTTCTTCCTTATCTTTATCAACCAACACATAATACCAAGCTGAACGGTCAGAATCCGTACCTCGTACTACATGAATAAAATCACTCAAATCTTGTGAAGCTTCTTTCAATGAAGCGGGGATTTTCTTGAAAAATGAAAAAATTTTGTCCAAATATTTAATTTATCACTCGTTTTAATAATTAACACAAAAAATACCTCAATCCTTTTAAATTCGACATGATGGGAATCGGTTTTCCCCTCGTTACTTTCACTTGTGATACAGTCACTAAAATAATTTAAAATATAAGAAAAATTATAGTTTATGGGGGGGGGGGCTATAAAAAACATTTGGCAAGGTTTTGTCTAGAAGGTTGATCCCAGAGGGCTAATTGAGTCAAGATTTCGGTTTTACTTTGGCATTCCGAACACAGGCGAAAATTTTTGAGCTTAAGAAGCCAGATACCCCCATAAAATAAAATTTAATCAAAATAGCGATAAATTAAACTAAAAAATTTTCAAAAACTAATTAAAAATCCAAACCTATCGCTAAAAATGTTATCAACATTTGCCAAATTTTTGCTAATATTTTTGAAATAACGAGAACCCAAGCGTGGATGTGATAAATATTTTTCATAAACAGCTTTGCCACCAGCCTCGTTGAAAAGTGTTTTATTTATTGGTGCTTCATCTAAAAATATTAAAGTTCAAATTTTATGTTTTTTGCTTAAAAATAAACTATCCTTTATAAAAATTAGATAAAAACCTCAATTACTCCAGTCTCCCCAATTTTAATTTTTTCTTCCAAATCAGCATGTTTAGCCATAAGAGCGAGTGAGGACACAATATTCCGTTCAGCTACAAGATGGGGACTATCCTGTTCCGGTTTTTGAACAAATAAATCAACGAGACCAGCCACAACTTTGCCAATATTAGCAATAAATATTTCAACGTCCGACTTAAAAAATAAAAAATTTTTTTTAATTGTAAAAAAATACCAATTGTTTTTGCTCTTCAAACTCCTTATTTTCATTTTTTATATACATTTGGTTCGTCTTTTCAGAAAACTTTTTTTCTTCTTCAACAAGAATATTTTGTACTTTAGATTGAAAATTAGTTCCATATTCCTCATTAATTATATCTTTTATGTCTTGTGGAGCATCTTTACCGAATCCTGAATATAGAATTTTTCCATAATCTGCGGCAAACATTGCACCCGTCTTTAATTTTTCAAAAAACGCTTCTTTCATATCTTCATCAAGTAACAAAAAATGCCATGCTTGACGGCCACAATACTCACTATGTAATAATTGAATCTAAAATGCTATACTGTAAATTAATAAAATTTATATTTCTACATGGTGACAAAAAGGTGATCGGGCAGCTTATTTCTGGCATAACTTTATTCAACTTAAAGGTAATGAGATGAATAACAAAATTCAAAATTGTAGGATCGTGGACGCCCTTGAATGGGTGATTTAACTCGACAAGCAGAATCTAACTATACCAGGGCGTCCCGGATTTGATAATTTTGAAAATAGTTATAGTTCTGCGGTAGCTTGGGCTTGTTACCATTATTAGGTACTAAATCAAATGAAAACTTTAACTGGGATTGAAATTGGCCAAATTTGAGATCGAACCCCCATAGGAGATAAGATTAAAAAAAATTTTACCCGACTCTCCAATGTCTCTTGCAATGCATAGCCACGACAAAGTTGGAAATTCACAACGTCACCGACAGAAAAACTGCCCAAAATTCCATGAACATCTTTCAACGTCGCACCAAGAACAGACTTTAAAAAATTTGTTGAAGAAAACAAATGGAAAACAACCTTATTATTGATGGAAACAATAATATCTTCAAGTAGAATACCGTTGATATGTGCAGGACTTTCAGAAACAACTTCTGTAATCTAAAATTTAGTCGTTTCAATTCTTGTCTAAATAGGATTCAATTTGGAAAAGAATTGAAATTGGACTGTGAAACATAAAAAAATCAAAATACTTGAATAAATTCATTTCGTGCACGAGTCCCATCCATGCCAGAAATAGTAATGCCAAATTTGGGATCTTTTTTCAATCGAACATTAATAATCTCTCCCTTCAATTCATCTGGATTTGTAGTGAAAATTGGCTAAAAATTAAATTTTAATTTAAATTCTCTTTAAGCAAATTACCTCCAATTTTTTAACCTCCTCAGATTTTATAGACATCTGAAAATTAATAAAATATAAATAATTGTGTAAATAAATAAATATTTAAATAATAAAATATATTGTGAAAAAGAAAACAATTAAACTCTGTTTATATTTATTTTAATAAACAGATAAATAATATGAGATCGATGAATCACAAAAAATAAACAAATTTCTCTTTTATTACACCATTTGACCGGGTACTACATATCGTTTTTTTCTTCTCCACACATTTTCCTTTCCTTCATTTCTTCTACTCCTTAATATCAGTCAAATGAAAAATTTTAATTTACTACAGCCATAAGGCCTAAAAAATATTTTTTAAAAGACAATTACACTGGTTTTCCGTTTATTTTTGGGGGTTTTTGAGATCTCGATGTTGGGAGTACATAAGTATTTTTATTTCTTTAATTCTGGATATTTCGGACAACCGGGAAAATAAAATTTGCTCTACTTTAGTACAAGAGCTTTAATCACTTTGACATCCAATTATAGAGTTTAACAAAAGTTTGGGGAGGAATCAAATCTGCAACCTTCTGAACTACATTTAAATGCTTTAAATGCTGCTTACTCCTTAATAACCCACTTATGTTAGGAGGAAGAAAGTTCATACATGAGCTTGTATGCGCCCCGATTGTGGGCACCTAATCATACCTCACCGTTAAAACTTTTTATATAAATTTATTCAAAAAAATAGTTGTATGATCATAAAAATAAATGTTAATGAGCAATCTCTCTCTTTGTACATTCTGACATCAAATCATATACCACTCAACATAATCCGCAACCCCATATTCCTTAAACATTTTGTCTTTAATATCTTTTGGAGCATCTTCACCCCATCCTGAATATAAAACTTTTCCATAATCTTCGACAACAATTTTGCTCGTCTTGGTCTTTTCAACAAAAGCTACTTCCTTATCTTTATCAACCAATACATAATACCAAGCTGGACCACCACCAGTGATGAAAGAGAAATAGCCTCTATAATTCTTTATGCAGACTTTGTAAATCTCTCCTTCTCTTTTCACTTCAAATAAAAGTGGGATGCGAAGTTGCTAGGAATTAAATTTAATTAAGGTTAAAATTTCTTCAAACAAATTACCACGAGTTTATCAACTACAATTTCCTTCTCAGTAAACTTTTTTCCTTCTTCACCTCCATATTTCTCTCTGATTTTATTTATAACTTTTTGTGGAAGTTCTTCACCATATGCTGAACATAAGATTTGAGCATAATCCTCAATACCACGAAAGCCCGTCTTGATTTTTTCAAAAAACTCTTCTTTCTTATCTTTGTCAATTATCATACAAGTCCATTGCCGATTGCCAATAATATCCGATCCGTATAATACAAAAAACTAAAAATAAAATCCAATGATTGAGAAAGTGATAGAGTGAAATTGGGAAAGGAAGAAAGTCCGAGCTCATATAAGGAAAAGGTCCGAGCTCATATAAGGAAAAGGTCCGAGCTCATATAAGGAAAAGGTCCGAGCTCATATAAGGAAAAACTTGGGGAAAAGAGAAGTGGGGCCCTAAACCTTAGTTTACCCTTTAAGGGTAAATTGGATATTTAATAAGCCCGTCGAGCTAGGTCAAATAGACTACACATAGGATTAAAATTTAACGACATATGGGATTTTCTGCATTGCGTATCCACGACAAAGTTGAATATCCACAACATCACCAACAGACAAGGAAGCAAAAATTCCATCAACATCATCAACCGTTACACCGAGAATACACTTTAAATAAATTTCAAATATAAGTAAAATAAGCCTGATCTGAAATGAGGTACGCTTTTATATTTCTCCTCCTTTCCTTGCAGTAAACTAGAAAGTGTTAAGTACTCACCAAGACCACTGGTCCCAAGCCCAGAAATAAGGCTCAGCTCAAAATTGACCCTTTTCAACTACTGCAAAGAAATAAGGATAAATATTAAGGTGCACCTCTTTCCATATAAGGCCAAAACCTTTTGATTTATACAAACAATAATATCTCCGGGTAGAATTCCATTTATATCTGCAGGACTTTCAGGATCAACTTCATCGACCTAAAATTTAATATTTAAATATAATATACATAAATTTAAATACTTGAGTAAATTTATCTTGCACTAAAGCCCCAGTCATTCCAATAAGATGAAAACCAAACTTCACACCTTTTTTCAAGCTAACATTAATAATCTCTCCCTTCAATTCAGCTGGATTGGTGGTGAAAGTTGGCTAAAATTGGAATTTTAATTGGAATTCTCTTTTAGAAAATCACCTCCAATTTTTTAACCTCCTCTGAATTCGATGTCATTTCTTTCACTTTCTATAATGTCTCAGACCTTATATTTAAATTGGTTGAACTCTCTCTAAAATTAATGAAAATCTAATTAAACTAACTCAAAGAAATGCGATTTTTCGATAATTTTAGAGGTTTGCATGAAGCTTAGAAATTTCAATTTTACTCGTACCCCTATTCGTACCACCCCTATTACTCGTACCAAAGTACGAGTAAAAGGAGTACAAATTTCACTCTTATTTCAAATAACGGGCCCGAATTCGACTTTAATTTTGAAGTTATAAGTTAAAATTTGAATCTAAACTGATAGTTTCTTCGAGCTCGAAGTCGGGATTTAAAATATGTAACTAGAATTTAACTCATATTATCCTAATCGTTTTCTAGGGAGATGAAAAATGAGGAAAAATGCGTTATATGTACAAAACTTATACAAAACTGACTTTTACCCAGACAAACTTCAAAGTAAGACAAAAAAATGAGTAAAAGAAGCTATTTATAAATGAGTATGATAAAGGCGGGAAGTAAAGAAGGGTTAAAAATATGTACTAGTTTGTGTATAAGGTTAAGGAAAAGGTTATTCGGAAAATATACATAAAGAGGAATTCAAATAATGTTTTGGGGGAATGTTGTAAAAATAATAAAAAGAAACATTTGAAATATGTTGTTGGGGGGAGGGGGGATAGTCTGAATAAAAGGGGCAAAAATTTAAATAAACAATGTGCGTCATCCCTTTTAAACCTACACTTTGAAGACCTATTGACCCTGAAGAGCTCTACTCTGGGTGATTCTATCCCTTTCGATCACTCCAAATCATCGATATCCTCACAATCCTTCGATATTCCCTTTCAAAATTTGTAGGTCTTCAGAGAATATATCTTTAGAGTGTAGATCTTAAGTAAACTCCTAAAAACTGAAAACGACGTTTTGAAAAATATTATCTTAAAATAATGGAGACTTAATAAATTCCTTTACTTCCAAAAATTACAATTGGAGAAAGGCGCCTAATTAAATAAAATTTTTGAACTGGTTTCAGTTCACTATCAATCGGTTCAGCCTTGGAAATAACTATAGTTCAGTTCAGAAACAAATATTTATTCAGAGCGTTAAAAGTTTATAATTATTTTATATTGAATTCAAAATAAGTTAAAGAGTTAAATTGCGGGGGAGTATTTATAGGGATTCTTACACAAACATAAATTGTTATTGAGAATAGCTAGGTCAAAAATTAATTATATAAAAGTGAATAACAAAATATATGATAAGGGGTTTTGGGTAAATATTTAGTCGGGAAAAATCCTAAATGCTTTTATGACATGGAAGGTCAAGAGTTTATCGGAGTTTATCATTTAATTATTTATTTCTATATTTCTTGGGAAAGGGCCATTTTTAGTTTGTTTGTTTGGTTAATTAGAGAGATGCAGCATCCCTTCCCTCTTTAAAAAGTCTATCAGTGATGATGACCGCCGCGAGGACGAAAACGTTTGCCAGAATTATTGCCACGGTGATTGTGTTGGTGACAGCGACAGTGACCGGACTGACGTTTCTCCTGTCGTGCTGCATAGAAGTAACGGGCTCGCTCGCGATTGTGACCGCGGTTATAGTAATTATTACGAGTACCACGTTGGCCACCAATCTCATTCCGGCCATTTTGATTTTCGTTTTGGTCAATCTGGGGGTTTGGGGATAATTCATTGTTATTATTATTTTCTCCCATATTTACCTGGATTTCAGGCTCTGGGGTGCCTCCCAGAGTCAATTCTTCCAAACTTTTGTTAGTAACAATTTCGTCTAGTTTCTCAGCAATTTTTATTATGCTGGCGGCCTGGTCGTTAATATTAGTTTCCATGTCTTTTAAACTCTCTTTTACAATTTTTTCAATGGTGGCAACAATTGAATCATGGAATTTTGGCAAAAGTTGCTTAATATATGCCTTTGTATTTTCGTGGCTTTCTTTAATAGTTTCAACAATAAATTTTTTGTTCTCCACTTTGGATGTGGGGTAAGTTTTAGTTTCTATTCCTTCCATAGCAGACTCCGACATTAAAAAATATTTTTAAAATTTAGAGGATGAAGCAATAATTTAAATAAATAGATTAGCTAAAATAAAAGATTAATTACTGAAAATGAGGGGGAGAAGTGGTTAACATATTGAAAAAATTTAAATAAAGGGGAATAATATAAAAATTTATTTTTACAAAGTATGTACACTCTTTTTTTTAAATTTTTACTCTTGATGAAGTTTTTGTGTGATGGGTCGAGAGGATGAACGGCGACTTTTTATATGGTCCAGGTGAATCATTTTCTCTTCCTCATTTATTTTGACGGCAAACATTCTATCTCCTATCAGTTGTATAATCGTTCCAGGTAGCCATTCTTTGTTTACCCACGCCCAAACAAGATCTCCATTTGAAAATGTTGGTGCTTTTCTCGGCGAGACTATTGTTTGTTTTCTTACGGTATGTCCTATTTTTCCCTGCCGGCGTCTCAGCTTATCAATTTGTGTATTCATTTCTCTTTTAAACATTCGGTGTGCCGGTGAATCTCCTATTTTAGGGATGGGTGTTGACCTATATTCTTTTAGGAATATTTTTATGGCTTCTTTTATTTCATATTTTTCTTCTAATAACTTTTTTAGTCCCTTTTTAAATGTTTGAACAGCTTTTTCGGCACATCCGTTAGAGGATGGGTGATAAATTGGGCTTGTCAGATGTTCAACTCCTTGCTCTATGAGAAAATTTTCTGTCTCCGTAGAGCAAAACTGTGTCCCATTATCTGTTATCAGGGTTTTTGGGTTGCCAAACAAACAAAATATGTCATTAAATGTTGATATTATTACTTTTGAAGTAATATTGTTTATTTGAAATGCCCAAATATATCTAGTGTATGCGTCTACTACTATTAAAAAATTTGTATTCCAAATAGGGCCTGCTAGGTCAGCATGGATTCTTTCCATGGGAAAACTCGCAATTGGCCATTTATTTTTTGGGTTTGATTTTGGTGGTTTATTTGAATTTCTTTGACATATCTCACACGCTTTTATGTAATTTTCTATGTCTTTTCCAAAATTAGGCCACCACAATAATTTTCTGCCTCTACATTTAGTTTTTTCGATACCAAAATGGGCTTTATGTAGGAGGTTTAATATTGGCTTTTTTAGACTCTCGGGGATAACAATTTGTGCTAAATTTTTCATAATTATATTACCTTCACAATATAATTCATCCTTTATTTTATAAAAGGGTTTTAATTCTTCATCTCCCGTTTCCTCATAATTTAACCAATTTTCTTTTATATTTTTCAAAATTATTTTTAGGTTTTTGTCTTTTAATGTTTCTATTTCGATTGTATTTCTATTTAAAGTTATTTCTTCTCCATTTAATATATATGGGATTTCTTCTCGGAAGTATTTTTCTTTTATTTTATTCCAATCTATTGCTGAATCTATTTTTACGCGCGACAATGCATCGGCCAATGAATTATTTTTGCCTTCTATATAACAAATTTTTGGGTTTATTTCTTGTATTTCCATTAGCCAGCGATTTAATTTTGCATTAACTTGGGCCTTTTCAAAAAGAAAGATTAGAGGTTTATGGTCTGTCATGATTAGGAGTTCAGACCCGTAGATTATAGGTCTAAATATATTCAGTGAGTGTACTATGGCGGCAAGTTCGCCATGTGTTGCTGGGTAATTGGATTCTGTCTTATTTAGAGTTTTACTGCAATAAGCTATGGCGCTTATTTTTTCATATTTTTTCTGCATTAATGCGCCAGCCCATGCAATATTTGACGCATCTGTATATAATATAAACGGGTAATTATAATCTGGTGGTGCGAGGCACGGTGGCTTTAATAACTCAGATTTTAATTTTTCAAAAGCTTGCTTCTGTTCCTCTTTCCATTCAAAATTTTCTTTTCCTCTCAAAAGTTTAGAAATTGGGGAAGCTTTTTCTGCAAAATTCCTTATAAATTTGCGGAAGAAGCCAACAAGTCCTAGGAATTGTTTAATTTGTTTACAAGTTTTTGGCTCAGGGAACTTTTTTATAATTTCGATATTTGAAGTTGCTGGTTTATATCCACTTTCATTTAAAATATGCCCTAAATAATTTATTGAATTTTTACAAAACTCGCATTTGCGGAAATTTAATTTTAGATTGTATTTATTCAGGCGCGAAAAAATAATTTCCAGAATTTTTAAATGCTCCTCCAATTGATTATGATAGATAATTATATCATCTATATATGCTATACAATTTGGGATACCTGTGAGCAATTCGTCCATAGTCCTCTGAAATATAGCTGGGCTATTTTTTAGACCGAATGGCAGTTTTAGCATTTCAAAAATTCCCTTTTCAGTTATAATACCACATTTATAGGTGCTTTCTGGATCCAACGGAATTTGCCAAAATCCGGATCTTAGATCAAGCGTGGTATAATATTTGTGACCAGAAATTTTATGTAATATTGTCTCCATTTTTGGTAGGGGGTATGGGTCAGTAATTGTTATTTTGTTCAATGCTCTAAAATCCACGCATGGTCGCAATTTATTATCAGCTTTCCTCACTAAGACCACTGGAGAAACCCAAGGAGTATTTGATTTTTTAATTACTCCTATTTTTAACATTTCTTCCAAATGTCTATTTAATTCTGTTTGATATTTTTCTGGGACTCGGTAAGGGCGACTTGTAACCGGAATTTCAGTATTTGTTAAAATTGGCGGGGCTATAATTTTACATTCCCCTAAATCATATTCGTGTTTTGAAAAAATTTCTTTATTTTTATTAAGACTGATTTTTAATTTTTCTTGCTCCTCCATAGTCAGATTTGAGCTTAAATTTATATTTTCTGTTTCAATTTTATAGCAGTATTTTTGTCCTGCATTATTAATTAATTGAGCCTTTTTAAAATCGAGATAAAGCGGGAGTTTTCTTAATGTATTTCTACCAATTATAACGTCATATTTGCCTGTAGTGCTTATTTCGTTTTCTAATATAACAATTGACGTGTATATCTCACAACCAGCGATTTTAAATTTAACTTCTACTTGACCAATAGTAGGTACTATTTTTTCTCCAATCCCTATTATGGCGTTTATTTCAGGGGAGTAAATTTTATTAATTTTTAAGTTTTCTGCCGTCTTTTTACCTAGCAATGATATGTGTGCTCCCGTATCTAATAGACAGGTTATTTCTTGACCGTTTATTTCACAATTTATTCGAAAACCATCATCGCATTGATTAGAAAAACAAGCGGCAATTTCAGCTATTTGTTTAATATCCACACTCGGCCAACGTTCAATTAATGGGGGGACCGGTTTATCCTTTTCTGCCATCTCAATTTCTTTAATTTCACGCCTTTTATTTTGGTAATTTTGCTTTAATTTTGTTAAACGATTATATGGCGTGCTTAAATTAATTATGAGGTTAAGGTATTGTATCAGTGCAGGTGGCAATAGTAATTGTATGGCAATAGAAGCTGTAACATAGCAACAAACAAAAAATATCCAGATTTGATTAAAAGATGGTATTCCACCTCTTAAAAATGAAAATAAGCCACTAGATACTATGTTTCCTGCGACTAATTCCGTTTTGCCATTTGATTCCCTCCAGGCACTGCTGCTGGGTCTAGTTAAACGCATTATTTCCTGACTAATTTCTGCTGCTTCTAAAGTTTCATTAAAATGTTCCGGTGAATATAACTCGGATAGATTGGCCAAAATTTTATTCCTAAAAATAGTTATTCCAATTTCGGGAAAATCTAAGCTTCCAAAACGGGCTAATGTGAAAATTGATTCAATTGGGATTTCATGTTCGTCTCCATTTATTTGGTTATATTGTATTATTTTTCCATTCATTTCAACGAAATGGGATTTAGCTGTTGCACATTCTATTTCTTTTGCTTCAGGGTATATAATTAAATTATTGGAATCTAGAAATCCATGTTTTTGTATCTCAAAAAGTTTAAAACTAATTGGTATTCTATTGAAACAACGGCCATTTTTCCAATTATAATGTATATCTCTAAAGTTTATAGGAAAGCAAGGTTTTATTTCCAACGTCCTATCTGTCACTAATCTCGCAGAAATAAATTTATTTTTCATAAAATGTCTAGCGAGAAGAGTGGGATTTGCAATAGCTAAGCTCAATGTTTGGTCTACTATTGATTGTAAGCTAGTACAAATTTGATGAGTGGATTCGGCAAATAAACGTTGTGTGTTATAGGTTATTTTTGCGCTAAGGGCAGTCATTTGCGCTGCGAGTTGCTGTGAATATACTATGCCAACATCTCTTTTAAATCTTTTTATTTCTTTATGTTCTTTTTCACTTTTCATTATCATTTCGTTATATTCATTTACAGGAACTGAGAAACCTTGATCTGAAATTGCATATTGCGTTCCCTCACAATCATTTTTAATTGTGGCATTTTCGAAACTAAGGGCAAATTCACTACTCTGGGTTATCCAAATTCTAGTTGAATATTCGCCTTCCCATCGGGCAACAAATATGAATGAGCATTGCTGCGATTTTTCCGGTTGCCAAATAAGGCTTCCTTGTGCACAGCGGCATGAACCCGAAGTGTAAAGGCAGCCTGGGCAAGTTCCTAAAGGTGTTGATACACCGCTCATTCCGTGGCGAGTAAAAATTACAGAGTCAAATGCGTAACAATTTGTTACTTCTTCTGTATACCACATGAGGCTAAAGGGCCAAATTCGCCATTCTTTTTCCAAAGTATTATTGGTTGCCTTAAAGGTGTTATTTCCATACATTTCTCCAGCAGGTGAATGAAAGAGGCTATGCATTCTATGGCAGGTTGAGGTTGGAATTTCAATATTTTCAGTATCTATAGTTTCGTATTTTGAGCCAAAAATTCCCATTCTTCGATTTATTATTGTTTTTACACATTTACAGACGGTTGTGGCCGTCTTATACTGTAGTGTATTTGCTCGGTATATAGATAAAGGCATCTGTACAGGCGGTTCCGTAGTTTTCCAATGTGGGCAGATAGGTTCTTCTGGTAATTTCCATAAACTACTAGGCGAATCAGCGAGGCAAATCATTGGGCTTTGTGGTCCATGGCTAGCTGTTGCAGGGCAAATTAGAGCAATAAGCGCCAAAAGTGCCAAGAAATAAGGACTTGCAATCCTTGGGCTAGCATTTATAGGACTCGCCGTACGACTCTCGCTAAACCTTACTCTTTTAGAATTAGAGTGTCCACTATAATCATTTCTAAAGTTACTCCGGTTTGGGCTACGGTAATTATTATATGAGCTTCTATTATTCCATTTTCCTCTATTAGAATTATTTCTATAATTTTGTGAATTTTCCCTATAATTATTATTGTATCTATTATTTCTTTGTTCATATCTATCCTTTTTATAGTCATTTTTGTATTCGCGAGGTCTATAATTATTTCTCGAACGATTTCGGCAATCTGCGATTACATGACCAGGTTTGTGGCAATAATAACATAAACGTCTATTATCCTTGGAGTTATTGATTGCTAAAGCTTCTACTTTCTCCGCTAATTCAACAAATTGATTATTTTGGTAATTGGGGCGTTTTTCAGCTAATAATAATTCAAAGTGTTCAGCTATTTCGAAAGCTTTAGAATAGTCCTCAGGGCGGGAAGCTTTAACTTCAAATTGTAATTCCGGTAAAAGCCGATCTAGGAATTCATCGAGCAGGCGTTGCTGTATTATATTCTCCTCATATCCTATCATTACGGCACGGACTGCATCGTTCAAACGTTGGGCAAATGCAAAGACTCTTTCGCCAGGAGCCTGTTTTACTATAGAGAGAGCTTGGCGCGCTACTGTTCGCGAATGTCCATTCACAAACCTTTCTTGCAAGAAATTTATGGCTTCTTGAAGAGTTTCAGGTTGTGGAATTACTGAATCCATTTCGGCGCGAGCTCGTCCTCCTAAACAAACTTTAAGACGATGTAATTTCTGAGCCTCAGTAAGCGGGGTTATTATTAAATTTATTGCGTCTAAGAATCGTTGCGACCATCGAGAGAATGAAATGGTTGGGTTTCCATCAAAAATTCCTACTGGTGTTCCCAAAACATTCAAAAATGGGTCTCCAACCATAATTTCGCAGTTTTCATCCCAATTAATTTTTTCATACTCTTCTGCATTTTTTTCCAACGATTTGGGTTTTTCAGTGTTATTTTTCTTTGGGTCATTTGATTTATCCACTCCGGCACTATCCCAGGAAAAACCAGATGTACGAGACGCGTTTTCGAGAACTTCGACTTTTGCTTCGATGCTTTCAATTTTTTCAATAATTATATGCGCATTTTTGTTTATTTTTTCAAAAATATTTTTATCTATTGTTTTAAATTTATCTTCAACGTTTATCATTCCCTCCTCTAAAATGTCTAAACGTTGGATGTGCATTATCTGCTCTTTTTCTAACTCCATATTTTTAGAGCGTAAAAATACCATTTCATTATTTATACCTTTATTTCTCAATTCTTCATCAAATTCGTTTATTTTCATTTTTGAAATTTCAGTATCTATCCCTAAATGAGTTATTTCATCATTTACAAATTTTTCAAGAATTTTAAATTGATTTTCCATAATTTTTAATTTTTCTTCTATTAAAGGATTATTTTCAGATGAGGACGAAGTTATTGGTAAAACTTGTCCATCTTTTATTCTTGCTTCAAGTTTTCTAAAAGATTTACAAACAGCTTCTTCAAAGCTTCGGAGACGAAATAAAAGATTATACCAATGTCTGCCTTCTTCTGGCGTAAAAAATTTAGCCGCGAAGTCAGATCCAGTTGGTTTAGGGCGGTTATCCATTTCTAATATACTCCAAAAAATATTTTCAGGAGCAGGAAAGCCCTTATATTCTTTTTCACTAAGCGGAAAGTCCAGTTTTTATTTAGGAATGCACCCAGCAATTTCCTATATTAACGAGCACAAAGCTGGCGGATTGAGCACCTAGCAGTCAACCGCGTTGAAAAAAAATCTTTAAATCACTCAAGGCTTTTAACCCGGATATAGTGGCACCAAAATGAACTGGTTTCAGTTCACTATCAATCGGTTCAGCCTTGGAAATAACTATAGTTCAGTTCAGAAACAAATATTTATTCAGAGCGTTAAAAGTTTATAATTATTTTATATTGAATTCAAAATAAGTTAAAGAGTTAAATTGCGGGGGAGTATTTATAGGGATTCTTACACAAACATAAATTGTTATTGAGAATAGCTAGGTCAAAAATTAATTATATAAAAGTGAATAACAAAATATATGATAAGGGGTTTTGGGTAAATATTTAGTCGGGAAAAATCCTAAATGCTTTTATGACATGGAAGGTCAAGAGTTTATCGGAGTTTATCATTTAATTATTTATTTCTATATTTCTTGGGAAAGGGCCATTTTTAGTTTGTTTGTTTGGTTAATTAGAGAGATGCAGCAATTTTAAAGTTAAAATAACTTTTTAATTTTTGACCATTATGAGTCTTTTTTTACTTTTACTGTAATTCCCTCTCCAACCTCTAATTCTATTCTGGACACTGCCAAAGAAAAATCTTTTCACGAGAAGCAGTAAGAATACAAGGGTCTTTTGGGTGTGTTGAAAGTGAGGGAACCTTAAAATTAATTTTTTAAATTTTTTGAGAAAGACAACAATTCTCTTACATATTTGAAACCTGCTGGATGTTCTAATTTGGCTAAAAAACAGGTAAAATATATAAAATAATTTAACCAAAAAATTAAACCTATCAAAGTGCTTTCGACCAAATCCCAAATATAAACTTTTCCGTCTTCAGAACCTGAAAAATTAAATATAATTTCTTTTAGATTTTTAGTGTGATTATTTTAAATAAATCTTACAAAGTTAAAAATTCTAAAGGATATATTGAACGATTCTCAAACGATTTCTCAAACTTTTATTAAATCCTCACCCAAGAGGGAAAATCTAGCAGGCTCTTATCTACCAAAATCCGGTTTTCCGCACCCCGGTTTACCATACTAGCCAGAGGGAACGTGTTGAAAAAAGTTGATTTGGGGCTCGGATCGGGGTTTCAAATAATTTTCTTCGGATCGTCTTGGATTTAAAAAACACAAGATTTCGCATACCGAGTAAACCATCACATCCCTGATACTTGCCCTACTACATAATAACTTTTCTTAAAGACCCACTTCAATAATTCAAAAAAAAATAAATCATGAAAAATGACAAAAATCCTATTTCCCAGTAAATAACCTATTTGCCTTGTAAAGCCTCAAAAACCCGAGAAAAAGATAGAAAAATTTTTTAACCTGTCAAAACTTCATTATTAGAAGCCAGAATTCCAGCTTCAATCCGAAAATCTCTGTTCTGATGTCCCTTATAACTTAAAAATAATTTTTTTTGAATTTATTTTCTAAAAAAATAAACCTCGCAAGTAATTGCCCATTACATTTCTCAAATAAACGAATAACACCGCTACCCATTGTGGCAACCAATAAACATTGCTGAAAGACGATAAAATTTAATTGAGAATTTTTTAAACAAGTGACGATTTTAAGAAAAGTCCGCATATAGTTTGCGGATAAAATTTGCGGATTTTCAACAAAAATATTTATTTGAGGAGTTTATCCCTCGGAAACGAAAAGTCCTCTTAATAGAAAAATTTAAAAAAATACATTGTCAGCAGTTAAATTAACTGAAGTCACTGGATCCTTGACAAAATCAACAAAAAGACGTCCTTCTCGAATGTCATATCTATTTAAAAAATTTCCTTTTATTAATAAAATTTGCTGACTTTTGGAAGAATAAATGAAAAAAATTTGATAAAAAATAAAACCTCCTAACATTTCCATCAGCTGAACCTGTAGCTATTTCGTAAGCATTAACATCTAAACAAAGAACACCATCTCTAGCTTCATCCAAAACCTTTTGAAAATTAAAAAATTATTGGAAGTTTTCTAATATATTTACTTGAAAGGGTGGTCCTCGAGAACGAACATCTAAAGATTAAAAAATTATTATTAAACAAATACTTTTTTAAATCAAGTATGGATTAGAAATATAAACATGAATTTATTTTGAAAAGAAAAGGAGGCTGATAGTGCAGTCGGGCACCTATGTATATGTGGTGAGTGAACTGTGCAAAAGGTAGAAAGATTAACACCTGTCTGGTGTTAATCTTTGACCCGCTTAATGATAAAAAAAAACCCCGACTTTTTCCTTGCTCCCACTCTGGATATCAATAAATCAAAAAACCACAGAAAATCTTAAAAATGCCTGAAAATTTTTCTAGCCGGTTATCGAGCAAAATTTAGCTCCAAACTATTCTCACAGTCATTATTAAAAATTTATACCATGTAAACAAACAAAACCGTCTTGGCCAGCAGAAATAGCCACAGAAGCATCTTCATTAAAAGCTACCTAAATTTCAATATTTATTCAAAATTTTTTCTCCAAAAAATCTTCCCCTTACAGCATTGACTGTTCCTCCATGCCCTCTCCATCTTTTCAAAGTTTTTCCTGTTTCAACATCAAAAATGGTTGGTTGTTTGTCTCGACCTCCTGCCAAAATGAGTGAATTATCTGAAGAGCCACAACAGTCAAGAACTTCATTCCCCGACCTAATTAAAAACAAAAATTTTCTAAAATTAGGTACCAAAAGTTGACCAATTTGTCAGTCTTATAAGTCAACCCAACAAAATTTTAACTAAAATATTTTAACATTAAAAATTCCAAACCTATAGGTATTCAAATGTATGCGTTTATACGGATTCCAAAGTTTTACTGATTTGTCCGATCCAGCTGTCATGCAATAATTTCCATCGACTTTAAAAAACAGAATTACTAAAAGAAAATTAAAATTTGCGGACGTCCGCAAATCCAACAAACCCCATTAAATCGCCTATCATTTAAATTTTAAATTAAACCATTAAATCTAACAGCTCTAACAGTTCCCTGTCTACAATCATGTTGAACAGAAAGCAAAGTAGGTAGTCTTGCTGAGGATTGTATGTCCATTTTCACCTTCAATTTTATTTCGCACCAAAAGCTTTAAAAATACTAGAAAAATATTTTTTAAATAAAAAATAAAATAATAAACAGTTAATTAACTATAATTTCAAAACAAAATTAATAATGACTATTTAAATTTATCCACAAAAATTAAAAAATAATTGACAAAAATTAAAAGGATATTTTTCTCTATTAAAAAGGCAATGTAAATTTAAAATAAAGTTTAACCTCACTTTTAAAATGCCCCTTATTGGGTTGAAAAAATCATAACGTATAATGGGGAGTACCTCAAGTTCCAGGGAATAAGCGAATTCTGAGTCGAACATTCTTTTTTTAAATAAAGGTTAACCCGCAACACGGTGTTGTAAACACTAGAGATCGGCCTGGGACTGGACCAAGGCCTGGGTTTTTCCTGTACCCAGAGTCCGGGCCGAGGCATTTATGACCTTCCTAAGTTTTTCTTGGACTACTGACCCAGGATCCGGCCTAGGTCACCAAAGCCCAGGAGCAGGCCCAGGCATTTCAAAGATACCGATCTCTAATAAACACAGAGTTTTTCTTATTCGAGTAAAAGAACCTAGCAAAATCCTATCCCGTTTTTATAATATCGCCCTATTTTCCTTAAGTTTATCTTAATAGCGAGGCCAAACTATAATACATATTTTGTTTACAAAAAATTTAAAAAAAAGTCAAAAAATTATCAAAATATACTCTCTTTCCTGTCGCATCTGTTAAAAATTTTCATTTCAAATCAATCCAAAGCAATACTTGATCGATCCAATAAACACTGTTCCAAACTATTATTGTAGAGGATTTCACAAGCTGTGGGATCAGACACCATTGGATGGACTTTTTTGGATTCTTTACATTCACTTTAAAAATTTAATTTAAGAAAAATTTCTTTTAATAATTCAAAAAAACCTAAAATACTTTCCAGAAACACCAGCAACTTTTTTACTTAATGCCAAATAGAGAGGAGTTTGGGCGCCATCTTGTGACGTTTTCTGATTTTTTTTTATAATTAAAAAGAATCAAAAAATAATCAAAAATGCTGTAAAATACGTCTGCAAATTTTTTGCGGACATATTCTTATCAAAAAATATTTTTAGAACAGGTATTTTATCCGCAAAAAATTTTTGCGGACAAAAATATGTCCGCAAAAAATTTGCGGATATTTTTTTATAAAAAATTCCAACTAACCAAAAGAAACCAAATAATCGGAGAAACTAAAGCTTTTAGATATTTTTGATAAAATTCAGCTCTAAATAGAGAAGTATCAACACTTCCAGGATGGCAAGCATTAGCCGTTACTTTTGAAGCACTGTTAAATGAACGAATCCGACGGGTTAATTCAACACAATGCATTATCTAAAAATTATTTTTAAAATAAATATGCGGACAAAATTTGTGAAGATTAAGTTAGACTGAACGATCCAATTAAACTTTTTCGTCTTTTTTCCCCATTTCTTTACCTAAAACTAACGTTCATACTAAAAATTATATAACAATATTTAGGGAAAACCAAACTAATATCATGATTATGGTTATTGGTTCCTGGAAATTCTTCGGATATCCGAAATTGAACCAAAAAATCCTCGGTTCTTCGGTTCGGTCCAGAACCGACAACCTAATCATGATGGAAGGCTGAGTAAAACTCAAAAATTCGTATATAGTAAATACCATTTATGGAAAACGTGATTTTTTGAGTATAAAAACAAAATATAAAAATCAGTCTCTAATTTAAATAAAAAAAATTACGTTAGCCAATTTAGACCGAGCATAAGTTTTATTATTCCATCGCCCAAAATGCTGGGGAGAATCAACAATTTCTGGATCAACACTGTCTGCAAACAAATGCAAAGCGCTGCTTAAATTAATAATGCGGCCTCCTTCTTCAGAACGTTCAAGTTTGGGAAGTAATAATTCGGTTAGGAGGAAATGACCTGAGAAATGATGAAAATTTTTTGATTTTTACTGATACAATTAAAAATAAAATTTTTGTAGAAAAAATTTTTCTAGCGAAAATATTAAGAATTATAATTGAGGGAAAATTCCACTTCCTTTAAATGTAAGGTTATTTTTGCCTAAAGAATTCGATAGATAAGATTTCGAGTCGGACCGACGGTCGAGGCATTTTTTCGGGGTTGTATCGAGTAGGGCCGATATGAGTCACTTTCGGGCCAAATATCTTAACTAACAATAAGACCGAACCAATCGATCCGAGTCGGTCCATTTTGGCAACCCTAATTGTGAGAACGAGATTAGCATAAAGGTTCGAACTCGCGTGGGGTAATTAATTTTTAAAAATAGATTTTTCCATTTTTATGAAATTTGGTGCCAAAAAACTTCAAAAAATCTAAATTTTAAACCCCAAAAAAATCAATAAAAATACCCAAATGATTGCTCTGCCAGGTTAATTCATGCCCATCAACCGTCTTTTGGTATTTCGGATAGAACATAATTCCAGCATTATTAATTAATATATCCAACTTTTCTTCGTCTAAAATTAAAAAATAAAATAATTCTTAAAAGAAAAATAAAAAAAAACCTCTATTAAATTCCTCTACAAAGCGATGGACAGAACTAAAGTCTGCCAAATCAAGATGGCGAACAATCATTCGAGTCATATCACAGCCATACTAATTAAAATAAATTAATTTATTAGGAGGAGGAAAAAACGGCAATGGATTCAGTCTTAATTTGTTAAAATGGACATTTTGTCCCAAAAGTAGAAAAAATCTCATAAAATCAAAAAAGATGACATTTTGTCCCAAAATCCCCTAAAATCGAAAATGGACATTTCATCCCAAAAACTCCCGAAATCAATTTTAAAAAATTACCCGTGAAAATAATTCCCTCGCTGCTTCATTTCCACTTGACACACGTCTACAAGCCAAATAAACCTAAAGAAAAAGATCAAAAGTCAAAACTTGACAGAAAAGCCCTTACCTTAACATAACGCAAATTAAGTTCCCTAACTAATTGCATACCGATTCCAGAATTTGCTCCTTAAATTAACCACAAAATTCACAAAAAATTTCCCCAATAAAGAACCTGTTATAATAGCAACTCTTCCTCTAGCACTAATTTTCTCAGTAAATTGTGCTCCTTTAATCCATTGACGCAAAGCGTAAAGTATTACAAAAACAAAGAGAAAAATGCAAAGAATGGTTAACATATCGGGCATCCAACCACTATCTTCTTCGAGCATTCTAACTAGAAAAATGAATAAAAGGATGATAATTTGTTAAAAAATAACAGGACAAAATGTAAAAATTTGAGGGTTTGGGCGTTTTGACCGAGGATTTTATTTAGAGATTATGAAAAGAGAGAAGGGAAGAAAATCAAAACACCAAAATTGGCCGGTATTTAAAAATGGTCAGAAGACCAAATTTTGACATTTTGTCACAAAAATCTCGAAAAAATTTTATAGGTCAGCAAGCTTTAAAAATAAAAATTTTTCATAAAAAAATCAACAAGATCTCAACTCTCCTCACCTCCCCTTCCAACCAATTGTTTGTAACGATCCTTTCCAATAGCTTTTAAAATAGCTAATTTTTCTGTTGTCAAAAGGGAAAGATCATTAGCTAATAATTCAATTATAGCCCTAGCATAGGCAGGTACTTTCTCGTCGTTAATTAAATTTTTAATAAATTCGTCGTCCAAAGGTTGTTTTTGATTAGTAGAAGACGTAATTGATTGTTTTTCTGAAAAAATTTTTTTGAAGTTTAAAAAGGATTTTTTCCTATCGCCCCAAAAAATAGAGGGAAAATAATCTATTCGTCTATTAGAAAGAATTTTCTTTCTTCCTCTATTATTTTTTTCTTATTTCATCAGTTAAACGTGTAAATATTTATTTCTTAATCATTCATTGAAATTTTTTGATGACGTTAACTTTCTATTACTTATTTTTTATTAACAGCACTGACTAAATCCCCCTAACAACCAGCCGCAAGAAGTGTCATTTTTAGTTTAGCGGGAAAATGCTTAATTTCTAGTACAATGGTAGAGGGTTCGAATCCCTCACATGGAAAGTTATTTTATTAAAATTTTTAAAGGTTAGAGGTTCTTTTTAAAGGGTCCTCTTTGCATTAAAAAAAGTTTAAAAAAATTTATAAAGTAAAATTATTAATCCTTTAATAAATTAAATAATTATTTTAAATACCCACATTTTTATTTTATTCAACAAAAAAATAATAAATTATACACATTTCAAAAAACAAAAATAAATCTCAGCTCAAAAAAGGCATAATATACTCGTAATTATTGCATGGTCAAATTTTTTTGTAAGTAAAAAATAAACGAGAAAAATGCTTGATAGATAGGAATGGCACACATTAATAATATACAGAATAAACTCTTTAACGTCACTCCCTTCAACAATCACGCCCAGTCCAGTCCCGAAAAATATTTTTGCCCGATTTTACGTCCCCTCGTAAAATCGGGCATACTTCTCTTCTATCATTCCTACGCCTACAAAATTCGGAGATGATGTAATGGAGTCATCATCTCCAAATCCCGTCACGATCTCACAAGTGTTTGTGTGAGCGTGAGGGGATGTTTTTGGTCTGGTTTTACGTCCCCCTCCTACTTCCCTTTTTACGCCGGCAGAATTCGCTCCTCTGAGGGGGTGACGTATTAGAGAGATTCCATTTTATTTAAATTAAACTTTTCTTTAATAACAAACCATAAAAGGCAATAAATAAAAATTATTACTCCAAACTTTTTTAAACAAAATTTTATTTAAGTAACTAGTCCTCTAGCGCGCCTAGTAATATCCAAACCTTCAAGCAATGGATCTAACTTGCCTAGTGCTATCTGAAAAAGAAATTAAAGTTTTTGAGTCTTTCTTCAGAAAATATTCTAGCTTCCCCGCCCTTTATTCTTTTACAAAAAAATTTAATTTTGAAGGAAGGGGATTTTTGGTGAGTTTTCAAAAATAATCTCAATTTATTAAAAAAAATTACCAAATATCCGCTTAATTCGGAAACGGAAGTGTGGAGGTTGGGAAAGAGGAAGGCTAATATTTTTGGGGAAGATTAAGAAATTTTTTTAAATTTAGATTATTTAACTACCATCCCCCTTCGCCTAAAAAATTCGAATCCCTTTAGAAAGTCACCTTCGTTAACCTACCCCCTCTCACCCTAAAATCCCTTAAAAACCCACTAAACCCTCTGAAAAAAATTAAAAATAAAAAAACCTTTGATAAATGCCTAACTTCCAAATCATTATCATCTACTAACATTTGTTCAAGTCGTTTAATTACACTTGAACCGACATATTCTTCAAAACGGTTTAATTGAGCAATAAGACAAAAATATTGACGAACATTGGCTACATCTAAAATTTTTTTAGAAATTATTCTAATTAAAAAAATTAAAAAAAAACCGTCATCAGACAAGCACATAAAATCATGAAAGAATAAATAATAAAATTGAAGAGGGGTAAGTAAACAATGGCGAAGTAGAAGGTAAAGAAGATTGGCAAAACTTGAAAAAAATTTTTTTGAAGGAAAAAAATTTTTTTATTCAAAAAAACCTCTGTCTACGCCTCCAACTTCGTGTACGCCAAAATCCTGATCTAATTTCTGCTAATAATTCAAAAGTCAATGGAAGATTAATTGGTTCTTCATCGGTAAGCATAGAAGCATCAGAAGACTGAAATTTTTTTTTAATTCTAAAAAAAATTTTCCTCTCCCTTACAGTAACAGGAATGGCATCAGACATATGCTCTGTACGTCTTCTCCATAAATCTTTTTGATCCCTCCATTCAACTTGAATAAAAGTACTCAGGACGTTTGATAACATTTTAATTCCATTTGTTCGTACTTGGGATATTTTGTCTAAAAAAAGTAAAAAAAATTAAAGATTTGAATAGAGTTATGGAGAAGAGAGAGCGAGTGATTTAAATTAATTTCAGACAATAATCAATTATTTCTCGAGTTCAGAAAACTCAGTAAAAAAACTAGGTATGTTTAGGATTCTGAAGGGACTGAAAAACATGAGAGAATAAGCTAGAGGATGAAAATCATAAAAATGAAGAGGCAGAGCTGTCCGCAATCAGGAAAAAATTTTTGATATCCCCAAAATCAGCTATTCGATTTTAGATCTCGAAAGCTCTCTACAACTCACATTTTTATTTTTAAAAATCTAACATAAGACCAAAAACCATGGGATCTACCCAGTCTGGAATTCATTAATTGCGGACAGAACTGACAATGAAAAGCAGTTGATATTAAAAAGAACCCCGACAAAAATATATACCAGCAGAAAAAGTCAAAGCATATGCACACAAATATTTATTTACAAGCTCCATAGGAAGTATACCAACAAGTAAATCTAATTGACTAAAAAACAAATTAAAAAATAAATTTAATAGCAAACTTGGCAAACACAGCGCGTTGACGCCAACAACGAGCATCCATGTCAATAGAAAAGAGTTGACTTAAATCGCGTAAAACAATTTCACGGCTTTTTGGAGAAAGTACCTAAGAAATTAAAAGTCGGATAAAATTCTGAATTTATATGGCATGTGAGCATATAGGGACGAACATATTGTGATATTTCAATGTACGAACAGGCTACCCTACTAATTTCTGGATCTACGGCCTACAATTTTCTAGGAGTTTATCGCGCTTCAGCGCAGGGTTTCTTCAAACTGTCCCACCCTTAGTTCATAGTTGGGTTACAAGAGTAATTTCTTTTCAGCGTCATTCGTTCGATTCATGTCAGTTCTATCAACTCCTTTGAATCCGAACAGCGTAGCGTTCGCCTTACTTATAAGCGTTTTGTGGACCCAAACCATCTACTCTCTAAAATTAAAAAATTCCCCTCAAAAACCTTGCAAAAAGTAAATAATTGAGATAAAAGAGCATTTTGAACATCAGACGAATCACTCATATAACGTTGAAATGCTGGAAGTAATAATTCTTCTGAAGATTCTGTTCCAAGCAATTTAGCTGCTGGAGCAAGTAAAGTGACAAAATCAACGCGACATTTTGACTGAAAAAAATAAAATTAGGAAAAGTTATTATTTTAGTCTTAAGATTCATAAAAAGAATTCCAAAAGTGCTCATCTTGTCCCAAAAGTCATTTTTGCACCCAAAAATATATAAGTAAATTTTTTTTTAAAAATTCCTCCTAATTTTTTGGGACAAAATGTTTCCTTACATTTTGATCTTAGAATTTTCTAATTCAAAATCCCTAGACTAAATAAAAAGAAACCGTTTTCTGTAATAAAATAGAATCTCCAAAATAAAAACAAAGTTTAGGTAAAAACGTTTCCCGTATCCATTCTTGAGGAAGAAAATTTTTATTATCCTCCAATTTGCAAAAAACACAATAAAAAAGTCGAAAAATAAGAGAATGAGCCTGGAAATTAACAAAAAATTTATTTAAATAAAATTAAAAAAATTACACTATTCCAATTATAATTTAAATATATTGGGCATTGAAGTGAAAGAGCAACTTCTTCATCATTACTACCATCCTTAAAAATAATAACTTTTTATTTGAGTATTTTAAAAATATAAAAAGCTAAAAAAAGAGAGAGGGATTGCTATAAAAAAATAATTTTCCCTAATTTAAAAGTAAAATCCATTTTTAAAGGTGGCACCATTCTTGACTGTAAACTTATAACAAAAGTCTATTGAAAAAAGGATTTAATCATGCCCGTAACCAGGAGGGGGGGGGGGGGGGGGGAAGAAAAATTTGGCGCAGAAAAATTTCCCCACTTGCCCCCCCTGAATTGAATGGTAGCAAAATATCTCTATTAAATGGCAGCAAAAATACAACTTGTCCTAGTTCACTTTATTTTTCGGACGGGATATTGAACTTCAAATTTTGAAAAAAACCTAAAAGAAACTCCAAACTCCAATAGAAAATTTCAGGGCAAAATGTCCAATAACTTAAAACTCCCAAAAACCCTGAAAAATTGAAAAAAATCCTCAACCTCATTAATTTCCGAACTATGATATTGTTTAACAATTTCTTCTGATACTGACAAAAAGTCGAAGAGGCCAATAATGATAGTTTGAATAGCTACAATTTTAAAAATTGAAAAAATTAAAAAGAAAAACCCAAAAAAAACCTTCAATATTCAACAATTTTTGTTCAACAAGGTCATACAATGCATATAAGCTATTGACTTGACAAGCCTCTCTAGCATTAAAAATAGTTAATAATAATGAGGGAAAGTGTAGATTGAACTGAAAATTAAGGTATAAAAAATTTATTTTAAAAAATGCGGACAACAAAAACCCAAACAAAATTATTTTTCTGCGTCGGAGGCAAAAATTTTTTGAATTTGAAGGTCGTAAGCGAAAAAAATTTAACTCTTTCGATCATCTTTCTCCAAATATTTACGCTTCTCCTCCATTTCATGGAGTGGGGGAGGGTGGATTTAGCCCCCCCCCCCCAAATTAAAAGGCGGACCCAGCCTCGTATACAGATACTGCCCATAAACAAAAATTAAAAAACCTGTTCAAGTCTTTCAACATTTTTATTAATCAAAACATCCTGTGCAAGCTGATCAGCATAAGTTATAATTTGTTTGTAGGAATTTAAACCATATGAAAGTTGTTCAATTAATTTAAGGAATTCTCTGTAAAGTTTGTTCATTTCTGATGTTTTGGCACTTGAAAGAAACGAAACAGCTTTTAACACAACTGCTCTAAAAATAAAAAATTTTTTAGTTCTAAACAATTATAATAAAATTTTCTAATAACATTTTAATCTTCTGTTACTTTAGTTTTTCGAAGCTAAATTTAAAATCGCCCGTGAATATCTGTAAATCGTCCACAAACGAGTTAAGAATTATTTTCAGATGTTTAGTCATTAATCCTCAAACATTAACAGACAATCCTTAACTCGTTTACTGACAGCCGCAGTTTCTTACGGACAATCCAAAAACAAATTCGGATATCCTCAACCATTTCCGAATATTTGCAACCATTTACGGGAGACCCGCAAAAGATAAAAAATCAAAAACATTAAAAAAGAACCTCCAACAAGGGTCATCCGTTTCCACAAATTTTCGCCAAAAAATAAGATCCAAAGATGGTCCAAATTCCCTTTTGACATCATCTCCCGTATTTGTAAAATCCGTTTTTGAAGTCACAATTTGTGCATTTTCTGGTTTTTCCGAGTTATTTTGGTCTTCAATTGCCACATTCTCGTCAAAATGTTTTAACAAAACGTCATCTATTTGAAAAGATTTTTGAGGAGTTTGCAACAAATCAAAACAACTTGAAGAAGGTTGTGGTGGTCGTGGAGGATCGCCATCAAGAACGTTTATGTCCAATACCGGTGGGCGATATCTGCTGAGTTTGGCAATGAGAGCTGAACCCTTAAAATGATTGGGGGTAAAGCTTTGAGAGGGCCGAGTTTCGCCTCCCCCTTCCCCCCATTATTGTAAGACTCCCTTGATTCCTCAATTCCACTATTTCCCTATTACGTACAGGCCCGTAGCCAGGGGGGGGGGTAGGGGGGGGGGGAATTCCCCCCCCCCCCCCCCGAAATGGGAAAAAGGGAAAATTTTGGGGAAGGGCTGGGGCAAAAAAAAGTGAATTTTTTTGGCCTACGGCCTTCGAAATTTTCAAAATTTTCGCCTGCGGCGCTAAAAATGGAAGAAATCTGGCTTCTTGAGCTCCAAAATTCAAAAAATTTTCGCCTGCGGCGCTGAAAATCAAATTTTTGGCGCCTTCGGCGCCAAAAATTTGGCGCAAAAAAATTTCCCCCTTGGCCCCCCCCCCCCCGAAAAAAATCCTGGCTACGGGCCTGATTACGTACGTTATGGAAATGGGAGAGGGGCATAAAACTCGGCATTATCGGCTTTGAAAATGTTATGATGGAAAAGATAAAATAGCAATCATGGGGTGTCCCGGATTGAGAAGACTGGCTTTCAAAATATTTTCGAACCGGGTTGAAAAAGAAAGGTTTCGAGTAACTCGTGACATCCCTGCTAACTAGAAGAGGGATGGTAACATTTTTGAAAGGGATTCAGAAAAGAATAGTTTCATAAATTTAAATATTACATTACATAGCCCCACATCCCTCTCCTAAATCAAACTTTGGTTACGCCCTCTATACAAATTGGCTTTAGTAAAATAGAAAGATCTTAAAATTTTCAAATATTTCTCCTATATGGACCAAATAAGATGCAAAAACCAAAGAAAGTTAAATATCAAACCTTTTTCAAAAAGCCGGGTTGTCTCGAAGAAGCACCATCAGGACTTGAAGGTGAAGAATTACAAAGAAACTCAAGAGCCTCCTTATCTTCACGATGACTTACCATTATGAATTTGTCTACATAAATACGTTCTTTCACATTTTTCAATTTATCCGCCTCTTTTTTTTCTTTATTTATTCTTTCTTTTTCTGCAAGACCTAACAGTCGATCGATTGAGTCTCTTGACGAGCCTTTGTTTTTCCATCTTCTATCACATTCCCCTTCTCCCACTTCCTTAAAAAAAATTTTTATTAAAAAACCAAAAACTTGTCTTCAAAGGACAGAAAAATGGAAGGGGGCTATACCAAACTTTTACATTTTTCCCTACTTTTCCCCTCTTCTTACAAGGAAATGCGAATAGGGGGTAAACTGCAAGCACTAATTATCGAAAAAAACTTTAAAAAACCTCAACATTAATCGTGACCTTCTTGAACACTTTTTTGGAATCATCCGCATTTTTATCCGAACAGCTTTCATTTAGCTTTGCAGCCGATTCTGGACTCAAAACTTCTTCAGCTTCTTCATCCTCCTCCCCAATAACGCTTATTTCAAAGTCAATAAGCATTCTGTTGTGTTCTGAATGGCCGTCCTGTTTTAAAGGTTGGTGAGGTTGAAGCCATATATCTTCCGATTTTGTGGGGGAATTGACTGGGGATTTTAAAGTAGATGAAGATTCTTTATCCATTTATTTTATTGCTAGGCAAGTTTAAATTAATTGAATAAATCAGCAGAAAAAAATTTTTTTAATTTAAAAATTAAATGAAAAATGACTGGATGAGGGAAAGTCTCCTCAAAAAAGATGAAGCTTTGTCCAAAATGGTACACGACATAATGGTACAATGGGTAAAAAGGAACAAATGGCACAAAAGGAATTCAAGTTCGCTTTTTTAATGTACCATTTTGTCGTTTTATTCGAGAGAAAAAAACAAAAAAATAGTTTGTATTGACACTTGAACAAATAAGAGAAATTTAAATTAAATCTAAAAAAAGCAAAGCCAACATCAGAAAAAAATAAAAAAATAAATCAGAAAATATATTTACAAATTAGTGTAAAAAATAATTAATTTTTAATCGTTTTAATTTTAAATAAAATTGGTGAGAAAAATAATTAAATTAGAGAGAAAAAGAAAAAAGAAGAGGAAATTAATCTCAAAAATGGTACACGACATAATGGTACAAAGGATAAAAAAGGACAAATGGACCGTAATAATTTCCAGCATCGTCTTTCTTATGTACCATTTTGTCGTTTTTTATTCGTTGTACCATTTTGTCTTGTACTATTTTGTTATGACATTAAAAATTAAATTAGAGAAAAAAAGAAAAATAAACACTTTGCCAAATATTTTATTTTTAAATTAATTTTGAGAGGAACTTAAAAATGAGAGGAAATAATGAGAGAAATAAATTAAAAAGTTTTCTTCAAAGAAATTCAATCAAAAAAATAATTTGGAGAGTTGCGCAGATCAATATTTTTATTTTTCTTTCCTTTTTTAATTTAAGAAAAGAGAAGACCGCAATAATTTTTAACGCAAAAATAAATAATTTATTATTTTGTGGACGAAAAAAAGGAGGAATTCTATCATTTGTAGTCCACTGAAACTCCCAAAAATTCTTACCTAGTTTTAGACCCAGGAAATTAGAGTTTTTACCCCATCACAGGGAAAAATTAACCGGTCGGTTAACCGGCCATGTCCCACTCTACAAGAAATGTTTTAAGTCAATAACACGTTTTCAAGAGCATTTATCTTGAAAATAACTTTAATTTGTACTGGAAGGTTACGATTTAAGGAATTATAATTGTCCCATGCTACCTTGCCCAGGTCGTAACAAATTTTAAAAGTAGCTTAAAGGGAGCTTAAATTAATTAAATTAAAAAATAGTTTTTTGATGAATTTTTGAATAATTAATATCTTCATCAATTTAATGAGTAACCAAACTACCAATAATTCTTCCAATTCAACAACAACTTCATACTCAACAAACTCCACTGAAACTTCTTCAATTTATTCCGCCTGTACAGAAAATTTAACTCCTTGGACAACCATTTTAACTCTTACTTTGCTTTATTTTATTGCTATACTTTGGTTTTGCAAACGTTTAGAAATTTTTTTTAATTTAAGAAAATTTTAGGAAAATTTTTAAAAAATTTTTGAAAATTTTTTCCACTTTTTGAGAGTTTTATAAGTCAAGCTCACTCATTAAAAAATTCAAAACTCCTTCATTTTTCACATTTTTAGACGGCAAAAATGTTTGCCACCCAACTCCAGATTCTATTTTTCCATATATTGAAAGGCTACGATTTTTGAGGAGAGGTACTAGAATTTTCAAAAAAAATTTTTTTCAAGAAAATTTTCAGCCCTCGACGATTTTCTCGTTGACGACATGTAATTAATTAATTAAATTATACCCCCCATTAAAAATTCAATTTTAGAAATATTGAATTGACTGATATAAAATTAGGGCAGGGAGCAGTTGGCTTTGTTTTTAAAGGAGTAAATTAAATTTTAAAATTAAAAAAATATTTTTTTGAATTTTTAAAATTTTTTTTTAATTTTTTTGAATTTTTCTAGTATGTCGTTGCCAAGTCCCAGACGCGTTTTAGACAAAAAGTCTTCGCTGCAGTTAAAGTAAATTAATGAAAATAATTTTAAATAATTTTAAATACCTTAGAAAAGTTTTAAAAATTTCAAAAAATTTTTTCTAATTTTTTAACCTCCTAAAAATTAATTTTCCCCCATAAAATACCCAAAAACAAAATGAATGCCCCCTGAGAGGATCGATCTCCCGACCTTTGGTTTACAAGACCAACGCTCTACCACTGAGCTAAAGGGGCACGATATTCATTTTTATAAATATTTTCTTTTCTGCACGCTCATTTTCTAACGGAAAGAATTAAAGAGAGAATGATGTAAGCAATGGAAATGTGTGTAAATTATTCCACACGTGGCTAAATTTGTTTTTAAATATTTAATAAAGGGAAAAGAAAAAAAATAAATCAGAATTATTAAAACAAATATATTCAGAACAAATAATTCTGAAATTAAAATAAATACAAATAATTCTGAAATCAGAAAAATATAGAAAAACACATAATTTCAAGTGGAATGAAATACAGAATAATAATTCTGAAATTAAATTCTGATAAATTCTGGTAATATGCACTAGTAATTAGAAAAATACAAATAAATTCTGAAATAAAAGTAAAAATACAAAAAAAGTAGGTAATATTCTGCTTTTAATAAAAGAAAAAATACAGAAAATTCTGGTAATATTCAGAAATCAGAAAAATAAAAAAAAACACATAGCCGTAAATAAAAATAAAATACAAAATAAAAATTCTGAAATAAAATTCTGAAAATTTTAATTAAAGAAATACAAATTCTGGTATTTTACCCTTTCATTTAATTTCAGAATTATCGTCAGAATTTTTGTATTTTATTTATTACCAGAATTCTAAATAAAATTCTGAATTTAAATAAAAGAAAATAAAAAACCAGATAATATTCTTAAATTTTGATTTGACTTTAAATAAAGTACTTAGAGTACCGAGTAATTGGAAAAAAAATTTTAATAAAACTTTTAACCAAAATTTTGTCTTATTTTCCATTTTTTCCAGATGAGTTATCCAATGCCCCAAAAGAGTATAGGCCTTCTCGAAGAAGCCGCAAGGATGGCTAGACTTAACCACCCAAATATAGTCAAGCTTATTGCTGTCAGTAAATTGTGTAAATAATTAATTGGGATTAGTTTTTAAATGATTAAAAGGTCATTTACCGTCTTTCGTCCAATGTTGGCTATGGAATGGTTGGCTGGGGGAAGTCTGGCAGAATTTTTTAGAGAGGAAATTAGAGTGGGGAATTTTTTTGAATTCTGAAAAGTATGAAAAAAATTTTAATTCTGAAACTTTTTTAGAGAAAAGAGGAAAGGGAGCAAGTGAGAGTCTATGTCAAAGACATAGTCCACATTTTACTTCAGATTGTACACGCCCTCAAGTATGTTTAAAAAATTTTTTTGATCAGAAAAATTCAAAACTTAGATATTTGCACGAAAATCGAGATATTCAAGGAAATGATTTCACACATGGGGATGTTGCTGCTAGAAATATTTTGCTTAATGAACGGAATCTGGCTACGTGAGATCTTATACCTATTAAAAATCATCGTTTAGTGGAGCGAAGGGAACATCCTTGGTAGTGTGAGGGGAATGTTTTTATAGTATTGTGAGTGGAATCTTCGATAGCATGATAGTAGTAGTGGGAAATTAACACTTGGTAGTACGAAGGGTACGTTTCTGGTGTGCGAAAGGAATATCCTTTGAATTCTTGTTTGTGTGGAGAGGACATCTTTGTTTGGGCGTAAGGACATTCTTAGTAGCATGGAGGGAACCTCCTTTGTAGTGTGAAGCTTCATGGAATTAAGGGAATGCTTTCATACTGCCTTCCTAATTTAAATTCAACTATTAAAGATCTAATAAAATAGAATTTTTAAAGCTGTATTGCAAAACTAGGCGATTTTGGATTGCCTATAGATTTTGGGCCTCGGCTACCTATCCCCTGGTTGCCCCCAGAAATTGTTTGTTCATTAGATCAACAAAATACAAAACATCGACCGGAGAGTGATGTTTGGTATTTCTGATAGTTTAAGATCATTTTAAAATTATTTTAGGATGTTTGGAGTGCTTTGTTGGGAATGCGCTACACTAGGGGCTGAACCGTAATAAATTCAATTTAAAAACTCCAGAAAATTCCTGAAATTTTTAAAAAATTTTCTGATATCCAAAAATGTCAAAAATCATAATTTCGACATTTTAGACATTACCAAAGAACATTTGAAGAAATTTGTTTTGCTTTTGAACAGCCAGACCATGGTCTACCTTTACCTAGAAGTTGTCCTCAAGAATAGTTAAGTTTAAAATGTTTTTGCCCTATTATTTAAATACTGTCGGACCTTACTTTTAGATACCTATTGATCCTGAAAATTTTGGAGAGACATTCCTTTTTTAGGCTGAAAGGACCAAGTCCCTTTTGGATTAGAAAGTAGGCTGAAAGGACCAAGTCCCTTTCGGATTAGAAAGTAGGCTGAAAAACTTTCTTATTAGAAAGTAAGCTGGATGGAACATCCGGGACTCCATATCTCAATTTCCAACCAAATTTTCAAAGGTTTACTAAATAGAGGTGTATTGGGTGTATCTTATAGTGAAGTTCAACTTTAAAATTGTGATATTTCAGTGCAGATTTTGTTTATGATTGTCTATCCGAACAACATCGTCGCCCTCGATTTGCGGGACCTACAGACGTTTATTCTTCTGCTATTTTCCGTTTAACGCACATTCAGGATTTATATAAACATTCTAGAGGTAAGATTTAACTTTTTTAAAGTATCCCTCTTCCGGTTTAAAATTCTCTTAGTTTGAAATTCACCTCCCAGAAGTGTGAACATTTTCTTGGTTTCAAGTAGTGTGAAAGGAACATCCTTTGTAGGCTGAAGGGGATATCTTTGATATTGTAAACAAAACACATTTTTGGTAACGAGAAGGATGTTCCCTCTAGTGAAAGGAACATCCTAAAAAATAAAAGATCTATTGCAAACATTTTATATACATATAAATCCCATATTTCCAACCAGCTCGTTTCCGAATGGTCCAAAACGTTTCAAATTGTACTTGTGCCCAACACCGTTGTAGTGTGCCCATGCCAATGTTCTCCTTGCGCTGACGATGCTTTTTAAATTTTTAAAATAAATTGCCATAATATTTCTTGTTTTTATTGTTTTTTTTTCTTCGTCTAATTCTTCATGATTAAAATTTTACCTCTAAAAATGCCCTCTAAAATTAGAAAAAAATTTTAAAATAAAAATAAATCTTTTTTCCCTTTATTTTCCTCTTAATTACAAAAATGCCTTCATTTTCATCTTAAAAAATTTCTCCTTTAAAATTTTTTCCACTTACGACTTGTATAATAAATTATATACGCCTGCGCATTTGACAAATTGCCTAGCAAATTGGGTTTTTGAGGGTATTAAAATAATAAAAGGTTTTTTAATATTTTTTATTTTGCTATTAAATATTGGCGGAAAATAGCAAAGAATGGGAATAATTAAAATACGTATTTTTTAATTTATTATTTTTAAATATTTTTTTTTGCCAATTTTAGGCAAAATTTTGAAGATTAAAAAATGCTTATGTGTATGACTACAATTACTTCTGATTTTTATATTTTTCTGATTTTTGTTTTATTTAAATTCTGATTTTAATTCTATTTATTTTCTATTTGTATTTTTATCTTAGTTCTGATTTTATGATAATTCTGATTTTTTTCTTTTGTATTTTCTCTTCAATTCTGATTTTCTTTTTATTTGTATTTTTTCTTTTATATTCTCAATTACATTTCTTATGTGTTTTTTCATTTATTATTTCCTCATCATTTTACAATTATTTTCTGTTAAATTGTTTTGTATTTTTCCGCTTATTTTCTTTTTTATTAAATAACCGCCCAAAACTTTTATTTCTACGGTCAATTATGCAACATTTATTTATTACTACAACAGAAACATCTCTTGTAATTTGTTCTTTTTAAAAGGATTTTGCCGGTATCAAAACAAAAATAAAAGAGATAAATATTTTTGTTTCGTGATTTTTATGGCTTTATTGGTATCTACTCATTTCTTTTTATTTTAAAAAATTTTCCCAACTTTTTTCTCCTTTTCCAAATCATTTTTTATTATTTAACTGACACAATCGACAATAAATTATGATTTTCTTTTTATTTCTATTTTATTAATTCTGATATTTTTTCAAGTTATTTAGTACTTGTTAATAATTTTTAAATTCTCCTCTACTTTTTTTTCATTAAAATATTAGTAGTAATAATGTCTAAAAAAATTATTGTCATTTTGCATGTCAGCTGAAAATTGGAATTAAAAATGAGGAAAAATTTAATGAAAAATATTTTAGTGTTTTTAAATTAAAAATAATTTGTTTTAAAAAAAAAGAATGGGATAAAAGAAAAATTAAAAGAAAATCAGAATTAAAGGAAAAAAACACATATATGTAATTTCAACTTGAAATATGTAAATATTAAATCAGAATTTAGTTAAAAAAATACAAAGGGAAAAAATACAAATAAAAATCAGAATAATGAAATTATTAAAATCAGAATTAGAAAGAAAATACAAAAAATACAGAATAATTAATCAGAATTAAAGTCAGAATTTATATAAGAAGGATAGACAAATAAAAACTATCAGAAATACAAAAATCAGAATTTTAAAAAATACAAAGCATTAATTTACCCATTTAATTATAAGTAAGTTAGTAAAAATTTTCCTTAAAATTTTATTTTTTCTTTTAAAACTTCCAAAAAAATTAAATTAAATTATAGAATATATCTCTAAAAATTAATTTATCAAAATTTTCTCAATTTTTCTTTTGTTGCCAGCCGAAAATATTTTTTTGACGAATATACATATATTTATTCTACTTAAATAATATAATCCCTTAAGGCCCTCAAAACCTTTTTCTTTTATTTTAAAGCTTAAGCGCCGCCTTATGCATAATTTTCCAACTTAACAGGCGGGAAAATAAAGAATTAATAAGAATTAATATATTGTTGGGCGCGGGAATGTTTAGGCGCGGGATTAAATTTTAAATAAATTGGAAGACTTGGAGCTCTGAAATTTTTTATAGAGATACTTTATAGTCTTAAGCAACTTTCTTAAAGATTTCAAAATTTTTAATTAATTATTGCAAAAGTTGTGACCGAAAACTCTTAAGAACAGGTTATTTTCGCTCGAAAATTAACTTTCTTTGACCAGAATTTCTTAAATAATGTGCCAAAAATTCTGAATTTTTTGGAGAATGTATCTAAACATATTAACAATATTTATGTAAAATTTTGCGGTTCCAACTTTAATATTCGCCAGTTTACAAGCTTTTATCCATCGTCGTTTCTCCTTAAAGGCACCGCGCCCTAATGCCCTCGCAATCCTCAAAAAGAGGCAAAAGCATGCGATTAATCAAAAATCCTGTCAAATTATTCTATTTTATTTTGATGGAGGGGGAAGATGGAGGGGTAAACAAGGGAAAAATGTTTGTTACCAAATAAGTGACAAATCGAGACAATTCAAGAAATGAAGCAAGTAGGGGAAAAATAAATTGAAATAAACGAAAATAGACCCTTTAAACAAATCAAACAAATTACCAAAATTTCTGACCCTTAAAAAATTTTTTTAACCCAAGGGAAATTATTTATGGAATATTTGGAGATTGAATAAATATTAACTTTTATATACTTTATTTTAATTTTAAAAATTACTTTTATAGAGAAAAAATGTTTTTATGAAGGAAATAGAAAATAAAAATTCTGATTTTTATATTTTCTTTTTTTATAAAATTTAATTAAATTATTTTTTATTTGTTCTGGTTTTTGTTTAATAAGGTTTGAGGGTATTTTTCTGGTAAATTCTGATTTTTGTTTTATAATTAAGAAAGTCAAAATTTCTATTTTTTAAAATAAAATCAGAATTTCTTATTTCTGTTTTTAACCTAAAAATCAGAATTTAGTTCAGAATCACAAAAGAAGAAATACAAAAATCAGAAATTATACACATAATAAATATTTCTGATTTAAATTCTGATTTTTACTTCTCTTTAAATCTGGTTTAATCTAGTGTTTTCCTTTTGCATTTTTCGCTAATATTAAATTCAATTTCAATTATAATAAAAAAGGCGGGAAATAAGAAAAAGGGGCGTGGCTAAGAAAGATTAATATGAGTGGATAACCGCCGCAAGCCTAATATTGTATTTGTTTCTCTCATAATTATTCCTTCCTTAAAAAATTTATTTTATTCTTTAAAATTGCAGAAAAATTAATTTTCTAAGAATGGAAGATTTACCAGAATGTGAGACTTCATTAGCAACTTCATCATCTTCATTTCGTCATATTGACTCTCTTTTGGGAGGGGATGAAAAGGTAAAGAGAATTTAATAAGGATTTATTTCTGATTTTTATTTTTGAATTAAAAATCAGAAAAATCTGAATTTCTGTTTTTTTTGTTAAATTAAAAAATCAGAATTCTGAAAAAATTTCTTCAATAAAAAATTAATTTTAGCCTTCCATATACTCCCAAAATTCAACCAATAACAACAAAAAATCTCTTCATTTACCTAATTATTCTGATACTTTACTAAACCCAGAAAATAACAGAATTAATATAGACAACGAAAATTCTGTTAATTTAAATAATTTAAATAAACAAAAAAAATATTACAAAAAGCGTTTACAAAAGAAAAATTTAAAAGTTAATAGAGAAGAGAAAGAAGAAACAGAAGAAGAGGAATTGGAAAAATACAATGAAAATACAAATCAGAATATTTTAATTGAAATACAAAAGGAAAAACAATATCAGAATATTTACCAACAACATTTATTAAATAACGACAATCAGAATTTTCACAATCAGAATTTTTTATTTTATGAGAATTTGCCTACGCACTGTTCTGGTAAGTTTAAAGTTTAGTTTTAAATTCTGATTTTATTCTAATTCTGGTTTTTTATTTTTGTTTTTCTGATTTATATTTATTGTAAAATTCTGATTTTACACTTCTTTTATTGTTTTACAATTCGTAATTTCTGATTGTAATTTCAGATTTAAATTCTGATTTTGTTATTTTTAAAATTCTGATTTTACAATTATATTTACAATTTGCTAAATTCTGATTTAATTACAATTTGTAATTTATGGTTTTATTTTATACAATTTGTAAAATTCTGATTACAATTTCTGATCTACATAAATTCTGGTTTATGTATTTTCTAAAATTCTGATTTTACAATTATATTTACAATTTGTAAAATTTTGAGTTAATTACAATTTAAAATATTCTGATTTTATTTTTTACAATTTGTAAAATTCTGATTTTTATTTAACTACAATTTGTAATTTCTGATTACAATTTATAATTTAAATTCTGATTTTGGTATTTTTCAAGTTCAAATTGTAATTTCAATTTTATTTAAATTCTGATTTGTATTTTCTCTCCTATTCTCTCTCTTTGATTAATACAGTAACACACTTCTCGCTTAATAAAAACAAATAAAACGGCAAAAACACGCGCGACAAAATTAGTATTTTAATAAGAGAGTAACGAATTATTTTTTTGTTGTTTTGGGTTAATTGCCGTTTTTCGATCTTGCAAAAATAAAAATAAAAAATTACGCTTTTCTGGGGCAGCATTTAACGTTTTTTTTATTATTTTATTGCTTTAATTGATGGTAAATAAGCTTGTTAGTAGACAAGAAGCGAAGGTTTTGTTTTATGATAATAAATAGTTAAAAAATAAATTACTGTATTAATTTTAATATCTTTATTTTTTAGGTGGTCCTTCATAATGATTTAGATTTTAAATTCTTTTTTAAAAATTTTAATTCTGGTTTTTAATTCTGGTTTTTAAAATTCTGATTTTTTAAATTCTGATTTTTAAGATTCTGATTTTTAAAATTCTGATTTTTAAGATTCTGATTTTTAAAATTCTGATTTTTAAGATTCTGATTTTTTAAATTCTGATTTTTAAAATTCTGATTTTTTAAATTCTGATTTTTAAAATTCTGATTTTTAAAATTCTGATTATTGAAATTCTGATTTTTTAAATTCTGATTTTAAAATTCTGATTTTTTAAATTCTGATTTTTTAAATTCTGATTTTAAAATTCTGATTTTTAAAATTCTGATTTTTAAGATTTTGATTTTTAAAATTCTAATTTTTTAAATTCTGATTTTTAAATTCTGATTTTAAAATTCTGATTTTTTAAATTCTGATTTTTTAAATTCTGATTTTTTAAATTCTGATTTTAAAATTCTGATTTTAAAATTCTGATTTTTAAATTCTGATTTTAAAATTCTGATTTTAAAATTCTGATTTTTAAATTCTGATTTTTAAATTCTGATTTTAAAATTCTGATTTATAGTATTTTTAAATTTTTGAGATTAATTCTGATGTTTTTATTTATTTTTATTTTTTTAGATTCTGATTTTACATTTGCGTTTTATAATCCCCTCTTTTCTTTAAAATTCTGATTTTTGTATTTTATAAATTCCGATTTTTATTTAAGATGCAGCAGCAATGCGTCGCTACCGTACAGCATTTACTCGAGAACAAATTCGCTTGCTAGAACGTGAATTTATTGGAGAAAATTATGTTTCAAAAGTGAGAAGAGGTGAATTATCTGCAGAGTTGGGGCTTCCTGAGGCTACAATTAAAGTTTGGTTTCAGAATAGGCGAATGAAACAAAAAAGGTGTTCTGATTCGCTTAAATTAAAAAATAATTAATTTATAGACAAAGTATAACTTCAATGATGGGTGGGCTAGCAGCCGCAGCTGCCGCGGGATGGCCCCAATTTGAACAAATTTTGCTCAATGCAGCCAAGAGTGTTCAGACTGGATTGACTTCCGTAAAAAATATTTTTTGAGTCAAGAATATTTTTATTTGTCAGACCCCTTCTTCCTCAAATTCTAATCCTGCTGCTGCTTTACTTTTTGATTTTTGGCAAAACAAAAATGATCAAAATAAATTATGGCAACAAAATAATTATTTAAATAATCAACAGTCTTGTTCTTTTTTTAATTTTGAAAATAATAATTTTAATAAATCAACAATTAATAATAACCCTTATTTATTACAACAACCTAATTTTAATATTAAAAATAATATTAATAGTCAAGCTGGAGGTTTACCAACATTATTACCTTCAATTTGCGAGTTGTAAGTTTTTTAATTTGTAAATTCTGATTTTTAAAAATTTTGGGTTGTTTTTACAATTTCTGATTTATATATTTAAAAATTCTGATTTTTTACAATTTGTAATTTGTATAAAAACTTTTCCTACAAATTGTAATTTTAATCAAAACATTTTTTACAAATTGTAAAACTTTTTTCTACAATTTGTGAGAATTTTTTACAATATGTAAAACTTATTTTACAATTTGTAAAATTTCTTTAGAACTTTACAATTTGTAAAACCTCTTTTAAAAATTAAAAAACATTTTACAAATTGTAATTTCCTTGTTAAACTTAGTGTTATTTTTACAAATTTTAAAACTTTTTATTACAATTTCTGATTTTTGTATTTACAATTTCTAATTAATTTTCAATTTAAGTTTATCCAATTCCTCAACACGTTCATTGGAAGCGCCAAAAAATGAAGAGATTTGTTTTGAGTCTTCCCCATCTGTTCAAAGTGAAGAAAATAATTGTATAATTAATGAACAGAAGATTTAAAAAAATTATGAATATTAAAAATTTTTAATTTTTTTAAAATGGATCTTGTAAAATAAATATTCTCCAAATTTTGTGTTTTATTAATTCTGATTTTAGGCGATTTTTTTTATTTTTATTTAATTCTGACGCTAATTAGGTGTTTTTTTGTAATTCTGATTTAAATTCTGATTTTTGTATTTTCTCTTAATAAAAATAAATCTCATCAATATTATCTAAAAAACCTTCCTTCCCCTTATACATATTAAATCTAAAACAGAAAATATTATTAACCAACTCATTCTCAACACCGGCCTTTTCAATATTCATCTAAATAAATATTTATAAATTCTGCGGGAACTTCTATTATTCATCGATCGAACATAAATAATTCTTTATTAGTTTCTAATTAAATTATTTATTTACAAATTTAATTTTTAATTTCACATGATTTTTAGAAATTATCTAAAAAATAGGAAAGGAATAGTAATTTTTGGTCTTATTTTTTACACGATTTTTTCAGCCCAAAATAAATTAATTTGTTTATACAGGCCCTTTTCTGCCTTTAATTTCTCAATTTACTAGCAAATTTTTACTGGTAGAATTTTACTATTTCTATTTTTATAAAGTACAAATAGGCTTGAATAACTACTTTAGGGTTGTTCTGACGCGGTGCCTTGAGGCGCATGATTATATTAATAATTAATTTTTGTATTTTGATATGTATATGTATTTTTGTTTTAGGAAATTCTGATTTTTCAAATTTGTTTATTTTTCCGAATAAATACGATCTGTATGTGTTTTGTTATGTGTTTCTCTTTTTAATATTAATTCTGATTTTTGTATTTTTTTAATTTTGATTTTTTCTATTCCTTTGCATTAATTCTGATTTTGTATTTTTTTGTATTTTTGTTTTAGAATTCTGATGTTTGTATTTTTTTAATTCTAATTTTTATTATGTGTTCTATTCCTAAGTATTAATTCTGATTTTTATTAATTCTGATATTGTTGTCCTTTATTTTTTTCTAAATATTCTGATTTATTTACCTATATTTTGTTCGCGCCTAGACATCCCAGTCATTCTCGCCCAAAAAATGTTTATTAATTCTCTATAGATGAGTAAATACAAAAATAAAATATTGAGAAAAAGTTTGAACAAAATAATAAAAGAAAAAAGTTTTCTTTTCATGTAAGAGCTCACAAAAATATTTTTTGTTGCGCTCGACAAGTTCCCTCTCCTCTACCCCCACTTTCGTGTTTCCAAAATTCTTTTTTTTCATTCAATCTACTTTAAAATGATTTCACACAAATTCACTCACTCTACTAATAATTTCTAATTTTATTTTTTTAAATTTAATAACAAAATATTTTTTTAAATCACGTCTTTTTCTGGTTTTTATATGATTTTTGGGCTCTTGTCCAGTTCATGCGTCCCATGAAGATTTATGAGTCCCAAGAGAATTTATGAGTCCCATAAAAATTTATGCGTCCCAAAAACTATTTACGCGTCCCATAAAAATTCATGAGTCCCAAAAATAATTTATGCGTCCCATGAAATTAATTGAAAAAATATTCCAATATTAAAAAATAACATTTAACATTTATACTTACATACCGTATTTCCTAAAATAGTACTCCCGGAATACTATTTTTCAACCCTCCTCCAAAGGGGAGTAATATGTACTATTTAAGTAGGGAGTGCTAATTCAAGGGGTAGTACTATTGGATATCATTGATTTGGACTATTGGTACTATTGGATATTAGTATTTGGATATCTGGGTATTTTTGAATTAGAGGTAACGATATCCCCAAAATCCACTTTTGCCCCACCATTAATTGGATTTTATCCTTTAATCCTCGAAATATTTTATTGAAAAATCGAAAAATTAAGTGAAACCGACAACGCTATTTAGAATAAATAAAATAATTCAATAGTCTCTTATTATTTTTTCAAATATAGGGGAAAAATATTTTAGGGGGAGTACTATTTTGGGGGAGTACCAATTCAGGGAGTACTGTTTTTTAACCTTCCTCCAAAGGGGAGTATTATTTAAGGGATAGTAACAATTCAGGGGGGAGTACTATTTTTCAACCCTCCTCCAAAGGGGAGTATTATTTAAGAGGGTAGTACTAATTTAGGGGGGAGTATTATTTTAGGAAATACCGTATTTGATTAACAAAGAACAGTATTATTGATTAACAAAAAAGATTTTTCAATTTATTTCATGGGACGCATAAATTTTTATAGGACGCATAAATTATTTCTGGGACGCATAAATTATTATGGGACGCATAAATTATTTTTGGGACTCATAAATTTTCTTGGGACGCATAAATTTTTATGGGACTCATAAATCTTCATGGACTCATAAATCTTCATGGGACGCATAAATTTTCATGGGACGCATGAACTGGACAAGAGCCGATTTTTGTTCTATTTAAATTATGATTTTAGTATTTTCTCAACAGTATGATCCCTAACTTTTTAATAAAATTCTGAATTTAATACTTATAGTAAAATTCTGATCTTTATATTTTAATAATTCTGTTTTTTTGGTATTTTCTCATGTATATTAATTCTGATTTTAAATTCTGATTTTTAAATCAGAATTTTCAGACTTAAATTCTGTTAAAAAATTCTGGTTTTTCATTTTAAAAATTTTCTGATTTCTGATTTTAAAATTTATAATTTTAATAATTCTGTTTTTGTATTTATTTAATTTTAATTGACGCTTATCCAAGAATGGCCTTATTAAATTGCCAAAAAATTATAAAAAATATTTTTTTCAATTTTATTTTTCCAATAAATATATTTTTTATTTTATTACACTCTGCAATACACAAAAACATATCAAATTGCTTTTACTCATCACAAACTTGATGGGAAATTGAAAAAAAGTTAAAAGAGAGGGTGTTGTTTGTAGTAGTCATTTGTCAACAACTTTAAAATTAATATATTTTTTAAAAATTTATTTCCTGAACTAAATCTGTCTTTTTAAAGTTCAAATAATTATTTTATGATATAAAAAATATTTTTACTATATTTTCTAATTTAATTTTTGAATTTTTAAGGAGAAGGTTTCTGTGGGGACGTTGAAGGCTGTAGACAACGTCAGTTTCTGATGTTATAAAATTCTTTAATGAGAACCCAGCATTCTTAAAATTTTGTTAGACAATCCCAGAAGGATTTTTTAACTTGTATAAAAAGATCAAAAACTTCAATTTTGTATATGCAAGGTTATTGTTTCAAAACCACAAAAGAATATCATTTTGTGCGCTAATTCTGACACTTTGGTTCATAGATTCTGAAATACTTGCTCTAAAATTCTGAAATTTTGCACACACATTCTCAGAAGTATTACTTAGCTTGCCTAAAAGTTTCAGAATTTCAGGTTTTTTCTTCCAAAAGTTACTGTTGAAAACCTTCAAAAAGCAGGCGTTTTTCAGCATAATTTTGATATTTTCACTCATAAATTCTGAAATATTTAATTTTAAATTCTGAAATTTTACTTCAATTAAATTAACAGTATTGAGGATCACCATGCAAAATTTCAGAATTTTACGTGCTCTTTTGGCCATTTTATAATTTGATGACTTTTGCTCCCAAATCTTCACACCTTAACGACCTGACAATCATTTAAATTTTCATGCCTCAAAAATTTTTATTTTTAACAAAATTATTTTCTCAACAAATATTTATATTTTAACTAGCTATAGAGTATCATTTTACAATTTTCACGTCCTCCGCATATAGCGTGGGATCCGCCCCTTACCTCCACTTAAATTGTATCACGCGCAAAAATATAATAAGGGCATAATATTTCTTTGAAATAAACATCTTCAAAATGCCATCATTTTTATTTTTTAATGAAAAAAAAATTCTGAATTTTTTTCTAGATTTTTCAAATTTTGGCACTTTACGCAAGAGTGCCGGAAAAATATTTTTCCTCACTTCCTTAGATCGGTCACTTTTTCTAGTTTTTAATTTCTGTTGATGTTTGTCGTAAGATATTAGGCAAAAGGTTCACTATATTTCAATAATTTTTATGGGAATAAAGTGACCATAAGATTAGAAAACCCAGAGTTACCGGGAGTCTCGGGTCCCCATTATACAAAGTACAGCCTAAATTCTCATAAAATTAAAATTTTTTAAAGAAAAATTTTTTTATTTTTTTTTGCATAAAAATATTCCCTTTTCTATTTTTGGCCTTATTATTTTTCCAATTTATTTTTCCTCAATGCTAAATTTATTTTTATTTTTGTTTAATATTTATTTTCCTTCCACAAATGGTGCCAATTATTTTAACATTTTTTATGTTATTCTTTATTTTTATTTAATTAATTCTGTTTTTGTATTTCATTTTCTTTTATTTATATTTTTCTGTATTTCATAATTCTGATTTTTTATTTTAATTAAAATTTTGATTTTTTTAAAAATTAATTCTGATTAAAATTCTGATTTTTTAATTATAATACATATTTACATTGTATTTCCAAAATTCTGATTATTTCTGATCTCTTATTAAATTAATTCTGGTAATTAATTCTGACTTTTATTCTGGTATTTATTCTGATTTTTATTCTGGTACATATTTAATTCTGACTTTTATTCTGGTATTTAATTCTGATTTTTATTCTGGTACATATTTAATTCTGACTTTTATTCTGGTATTTAATTCTGATTTTTATTTATTAATTCTGATATTTTTTCAACCTAATTTAAACACCTTTCCAGCATTATTTGAACTGTATTTTCTAATTCTGATTTTAATTCTGATTCTGTATTTCTTTTCAGTTTATTCAACTGTCTGCTTTATTATTTAATTCTCCAACCTTTTAAGCTGCTTTAAAAATCGAAAGAATACTCCAAAATAATTTTTACTTTAAAAAAGCCGTTCCCTTTTTCTTAGTCAATTCACGTAAATAAAATTTCCTCCCAAATTTTATTTTAATCCAAAGAAATTGGGAGAAAAGAATTAAATAGGCGGGAAATGGGTGAAAATAAAAGAATTTGGAGGGTTAAGTCAATTTATTTTTTGGCTTATAGTTTATTCAAAAAGGGCAAAATTTTTGTCAAAACACGTAAAAATATGTCTATTAGAGATTTTAAAAATTTATTTTTTAATAGAAAATTATTTCAGAATTTTTTGGTAGGAAAAAGCTATTAAAAATCGAAATTTTATGCGAAAATTCTGATTTTTTGACTTTAAGTTCTGAAATTTTAATCAAAAATTCTGAAAATTTCATGGTGATTAAATAATAGTATTAGCTATGTTTTTACAGAATTTCACACTTCTAGCTTATCTCTTTCTATTTAAAAAATGCTCCCGAATACGTCTCTTGCGGTGACATCTCACTATAAAATTCTGATTTTCCGAAAATAAGTTCTGAAATTTTTAACCAAAAATTCTGAAAATTTCAGAATGATTAAATAACACTATTAGCTATATCCTTACAAAATTTCACATTTCTAACCAATCTCCTTCTATAAAAAATGCTCTCGAGCACATCCATCTCATGCACTTGACACTTCCCTAGACTACATAATTTAAATAGAATTTTTTCAGAAAAATATTTTTAAAAGCCAAAAATAATGAACAAAAAATTCCTTAAAAAATTTATTTTTTTAACATCCATTCCTTTATTTACATATTTGTTTTAGTACATGTTCTCATTTTCACTTAATTTTTAATGAGAATTGCTTATATGCACTCTTATTAGAGAAACAGAAAATAGCACTGAAAAATAAGAGAGACATTCTCTTTTTACACTTCTTTTGTTTTCTTTTACGCATTTTTAATTTCATTTCCGTTCTTCTAGACAAGGATGGATGCTTTTTCAATTTTTTGACTCTTATTTATTTATAATTTACTTTTGTATAAATTTTACTAGGAGATTTTGGCTTTCGTTTTGTAAGTAGCTTCTTGAGAGGATGTAAGAGTGCTCCTGAGTTAATAACTCAAATAAGGATGAACCGATTTTGATAATTTTGGTAGCATTCGATAGAGAATTAAATTTACTATAAATCACCAAAAAATTAAAATTTTGGATTCTCTGATAGAAAAGTTATGGTTAAAAAACGGACAGTTTTCGACAAAAATATGCATTTTTAGTAGTTTTTCGCCCAGAACTTTTCTTCCTTGTGTAATCTTTTTTTCCTTTTTGGCTTATTTTGTAGCAAATTCAATCTTCTATTGAATGGTACCAATATCATTTAAATCGGATAATTAGTTAAAAAGTTATTAAAGTGGAACTAAACTGAGGTTCTAGACACTTTAATCTATTTATTTTATTAAATTAAATTAATTTTAAAAATTGAAAAAAAAATTTTTTGGGGGTTTCTTTGTTTAAAAATTTATTATTTATATTTTCAAAAAATTGGGAAAACAACAAAAAAATTTAGATTAGAGAACAACTAAAAAAGAGCAAAAAATGTAAATTAAATATTAATTCTTTTTTGTGTATTTTTCTTTCTTATCTTTTACATAAAAATTAATTCTCTTTATTTAAATATTTATTTAATAAAAAAAATTTTTTTTAATGATAAAAGTTAATTGTTAATTTTATTTTTTTAAATATTTTTATTGTCAAAATTTTAATTTAAATTTGTTCCTAATTTATTTCTGGCATGTATTTTTAAATAATATTTATCCAGGGTACATCTCAACAGAGTCCCAACACAACTGAGTCCCGAACTCTATAACTTTTGAAGGGATGGTCTCATCTTTATGTTCTTGGTACCATTCAATGGAGCATTAAAAACGCTACAATATCCCAAAAATTCAACATTTATTTTATAAATCCTAAAAAGTTATGGTTGATAAAGTGGCAAAAAATCAGATTTTTTTGAAGAGCTAGTTTTTAGATCTTAACTTTTTTATCAATCAATCTAACGTTTTTATCTTTTGTATCTTGTAGTCAATTTAATGCTCTATCCATTGGTACCAAAAACATGGAGAAGTGGCCATCCCTTCTTGAGATATAGGGCCTTAACACAGTTGAAACGCTCCGATCTGTCCTCTCTCATCCTTTACCGCACTATTTCTCCTAAAATTTTTTTGTGATTTTTTTATCACTTTCCTCTACATACTATTTTAAATATTTTTATTAATTTTAAGAGTCTTCTAATACATTTTTAAATTCACTCCTCAACAAAAACAACAAACAAAAAATGTCTTCGTCACGACAACACCCCCAATCACCCCCTACAGCCCTTCCAACTTTATTAGCTGCTAATTACATTCCCCCACCAAAGTCGCCGTTGTGTATGAGTGCTTCATCGCCGCTTGTAGAGGCTATAGGTAGTTGATTTTTATAAATATACGAGACCCCTTAAGAAAGAAAAATCGGAAAGGGAGTAGTTCCTAGTGACCCTTAAAAATTTTTTTCTCATTTTTAGTCCCTCCAAAGTCTTCCTCTTCAAATTTACTGCAACCCCCACAACATGCCGCAACGGTTGCAATGCCTACACATTCACAGCCAAATTCGTCTTCTATAATAGCTAGGAGGAGAAGTAAGTTTATCAATTCTTAAATATCAAAATGTTCCGGAATGTGTCTCATACATATTCAGATACTTTTTAATTTATACTTTCTCAGACTCGTACTTTTAATTGTTTTTATTTTAGGATATAGTGTAGTTCACCGGAGTAAAAGTTCGGGACATGACATATGTCATTCGATTCGTCTCGGCGAGCTGAGTCGAACGGTACCACTCCCAATTTCAGGAAATGATTCTGGACCGAGTTATAGGTCCCGAAAAATTGAAAAACCATAGGGGGGAGTAAGCACTTTTTCCTCTATAACCTAAATAAGTCTATACTTATAATTTTTTAATTAAAAATTTTTAAAAATTTTCCCTTTATTTTTCCAGTCCCAACACCGCTTCCATTAATTTCTGTTCGCGAAATGCCAACAACTCCAAACCCAACAACAGTCCCAACACATTCCCCTTTGAGGGCTTTATTCTCCTCTTCTTCAAATAATTCTTCTTCCTATTATTCCCCTTCCTCCCCCTCACCTATTCGCTTCTCCCCAGCTTCTTTTTCTGGTTCAACTTCACAATTATTTATTTTATTAAATTCACCTAAAAACAACGTCTCCACTAGCAGTTCAACTTGTGCTTTGAGTCCGTTTTTAGGGGTGGGTGGATTTTTGAAAAAATATTTTTTTGGAAATTTTTTTGGGTATCCTTGAATTTATTATTCTAGTAATACTTTATAAAATGAAATTTTGGACATCTTGAAATATTTTTGTCTTGTTGACATTTAAAAAAAAATTTTTTTTATATTTTTTTAAATTACTAGATTAATAAATTCAACGATAGCCTTTCCAACTTTTAGTATGAATGCGCGGCGTTAATATTTTATTTAAAATTTTTTTTAATTTTTAAAATACACTTTGCCAATACAAAAATTTTAAAATTAAATTATTTAAATTTATTTTTATTTAATTATACTAATTTATTTATTTACAGGTTTTAATTATAATTAAATTTTTAGATAATATTTATTGAAAATTAATGGTTATTTTAAAGCTTTTCAGAAATAGCTTTAAAATTTTCGAAAAAATTTTTTCTCACATTTATTCATAATTTATTTTCTTTTCTGTCTATATCTATAAAAATTCTTGATATTTTTTAATAATTAAAAAAATTATTTTTTAATTTATTAAAATCATACACATATTTTTTTCATTATAATGTAGTATAGATTGTCTATATATTCTCTATCACTTATTCCGGAATTATCTATTTCTCTCCAGAATTTATTTTTTTAATTACAAAATAATTCTGATTTATAGTTTGAGAATAAAAATAATTCTGAAATTAATTCTGAAAATAATAATTCTGATATATATTAGAAAATAATTAATTCTGAAATTAATTCTGATTTTTTTCTCTTTTTCTTTTCCGGTATTTTTCTCTATCGCTTATTCCGGAATTCTTTATTTCTTTCCGGATTTTATTTTTTAAATTAATTCTTTATTTATTTTCCCTAACCGGAAAGTTTACTTTATTTTTATTTTCTATTGGACAAAATGCCTAAGGTTAAAAAATTTTGTTTAAAAATAAAAATAAAAATAAGGAAGTTTCATATTTCTTTTTTTTTGTTTAATTTTTAAAAAAATGTTAAGAAAGAACAACTGTTTTTTTTAATTTTTAGGGTTATATGGGGAATAAAAACGTGTGTGTGTGAATTTTTGGTGAGAATTGGAGGGGGATATTTATTTATTGCTAGTTTTTTTTCTTTTAATTTTTTCAATTTTTTTTTAAATTTTATATGTAATTTTTAATTTTTTTTGCTTATTTTAATTTTAAAATTCAGAAAAATTTTATTAAAATCCCTGTAATACCAGGAAAACTCTTCCGGAAAAACTTACTAATTTAAAATAATGGGAAAATTATTTTTAAAATAATGTATTTTTAATGAAATTTTAAAATAAATTTTTTCACATAAAATGTTTTATTTTTCAAAAAAAACTATTTTTAAAATATTTTCCGTATTTTCTGTTTTTCTTTTTCTGATATTCTATCTTTTCACTATTTTATTTATTCTTTTCCGGATTAATCCTTCCGGAAACTAAAAATGTGTGAGTTGTGTTATTCTGAAAATTCTGAAAATAATTCTGATTTTTTTCTCTTCTTCCTAAAATTATTTTTATTCTTTTCCGGAATTGTTTTCCGGAAACTATTTTTATATTTAAAGGTTATTAAATTCATTTATTTTTCTCTTTCTTTTTCCTGTCATTTCAGAACAATTTTCCGGAAATTAAAAAAATTATTATAAGGTAATTCTGATAATAAAAAATTCTTTTTCTGATTTTAGAAAAATAAAAAATTAAAACGGAAAACACTTTCTTCCTATAAAAAATAAATTTTATTTTCTTTTTCATTTTGATTATCTTCCGTTATTTTCTATAAATGTAACATAAAATAATAAATTCAAACTACAAAATATATTAAAATTTATTTTTTTATTCAAAAAATTTTTTTATTTATTTTTTTTTCAAAAATCGCACTAGGATTTTTCAAAACTAAATTTATTTTTAAAAAATTTTTTATTGCCCCCACCCACCCACTCACATATTTTTTTTCTTTAAAAATTTATTATTTTTCAAAAATTTTTTTCAATGCCAAAACAGGGCTTAATAAAAATAACAAGTAAAAACACAAAAATAAATCTTCCTTTTTAGTAGCTTATCTTCACTTTCCAATTTTTTAAAATTCTTTTAAAAGCTAATAAGAAGCCTTTGTTGTTTGTTGTTTTGTTAAAAAATAAATTTATTTTTGCTTTATATTATTTTTGTTTTTTCTTATTAAACTACAAAAATAAATAAAATTTATATTTTATATTTTTTTAAATTCAGATTTTTTATTTATTTTTTCTTTTGCTATATTAGGGATTCTCAACTTTTTTTAATAAAATTGTAAGTATTTCTTGCCAGATTCTTTTGGAATTTTTAATTAAAATATATCGGATACAGTTTTGAGAAAAGATTAAAATCCCTCTGTTTTCATTCTTTTAGTACAGTCAGATCTTGCTTATTTTTTTCTGGCTGAAAGTTGTCGTACAAGCAAAATTCGAACGCCACTTGTGCGATATCCTAAATTTAATTAAGCATTTTAACGTTAAATTTATTTTTGAATTTTTTCTTTCGATTTTCGAACTTTTTTGATTTTTAATTTTCAAATACATGAGAAGTCTGACTTTATATTTATTTTAAAAAATTTAAAAAAAGAGATGGAATTTTTAATTAAACTTTACGTGTTTTTGTCCCCTTAAAACGTCCTTTCTATTTATTTTAATTTTTAAGTACATCTCCCCTCTTTTTTAAAAAGCTATTTATTTTTAAAAATGCCAAAGTTAATTTTCAAAGTATTTATCTCTTCTTTTTTATTTTTTAATCTCTTTTTGACGCCATTAAATGCTTCTTTGCTTTCCACTTGACTTTTTTTCCTTAGACTAACAGGGGGGGGGGGGGAATATTTCTTTAAATATATATTTTTAATGGAAGTTTTGAAAAAAAATTCAAAAAAATTTTCATTAAAGAAACCTTTGCGCGTTATAATCAGACTTTAGGGCTTTTTAAAAATTTTTAATAAAATTTAATAAATATTAATTATTTTTTAAATCCAACCCTTTTTCTCGATTTTTTGACTTTTTTATCCTTAAAATTGGATTAAATAAAGGGGCTGTTTTACTAGAAATTTCGATTTTACTCATACTTCCTATCTAGAACCTAGTAAATTTTAGTGCTTTTTAAGGTTAGAGACCGCTTTAGGAGAGTTACGAGAATCTAGATAAATCTATGTATATCTCAAAAAATTCTGACCTCGATAACCAAAATTTTTGATTGGACCTCTAGGTCCGCTCTCTAATTGAGACAACCATTGATTTTAATCATGAGCTTTGATTTGAGACTATTCTTTGGGTATTTTCTGTTTTTGTTTTGAGGTTCAAGCTTGGTTTTAGACTGAGAAAATTTTTATTGGCTATTATATTTTTATCCTTCTAGTTTCATTTAATGTTTATATCAGGGATTAAACCAAACCGATTCCCAGAATTGATAATTATTTTTTATCTCTACTAGATCACTTGTATATATGTATTATTTAATAACGATCAGACGAGACTTTCTATCTCATTCATTTCTAAGTTAGAAAAAATAAAAATTTTTTTAGGGTTTCTAAGAAGGATTATGCAGACTCCTTTACTTTATCAAAATGCCAAAAACTTTTAAAAATAATTTTTATATTATTTTTTAAACTTTTTATTTTTCGTGCCTCCTTTTTACGTCAAACACACACCAACCATTATTTAAAAGTTTATATATTTAAAAACCCCCTTTTAATAATTATGCTTATTTTTATTTTTGTATTTCTTTACCAGCCCCTTATTTAACATTAAAAATAAAAACTTACATAACCTTAACCAAGCGGAATTATTTTTTATTTTTTTTCTGTCTAAACTTGTCTTAAAAGGCATATAAAAATACTCTATTAATAATTTAAAAAAGACTCGTGCCAAACACCTCAAAAAAAATTTTTTTTATTTTTTTCCTCTTATTTTTTTACCTTTTTTTAATCTTAATTGCATGTCCAAAGCAATATTTTTTTATTTTTTTTTAACTTTTTTTCTTTTAAAAGTTCCTCTCACATGACAAAAACGAGAGGTGTGAGGGGAATATATGGGTGTTAAATTGAGAAGACCTTCCTCCTTATTTTTTTAATTTTGTAAAAAATTGTGGAAATGAAGCCTTAAAAACACAAAAAGGAAGTCCTGAAAATTATCTATGGAAAATTTTTTTTGAAATTGTTACCTTTGAGAAGGCCCTCAACATTCTTATGGGAGTTATGGAGATTTTTAATAGCTATTACTTTTCTCTTGTAAGAAAAAATATGTTGAGGTGGGGGATGACGCCATTTTTAGATTGGAGGTATTAAATAATAATCTGGGTTAGGACAGATAAATTATCAACTTGCCTTAACCCCCAAGAAACGTGAAAAAAGGTCCTTGGAAACTTAATGTATGTCTCAACTCTTGAACACTTTTTAAAACAATTTTAAAATTATTTTACAGACGACGGATCTCGTTCTTAAATGTATACTTAGGGCTAAATCTTTATAAAAGGAAGGTTATGTAGGTAGGAGTGGAGGGGGGTATCATAGGTATGCCGAAACCCAAAAAAAGCAAAATTTGCGAAACGCGAAACTGGCACACCTCTGATATATATGAACGAGCTCTGACGTTAATAGTCACCCTAAACCAATTAAAATTTTGTTTATTTGTGTTAGTTCATTAATATCTAGTTCTCCCAAAAATTAAAAATATTTTCCAAAAATTTCCTTCTTCCCTCTTTTTCTTCCTTCCTCCTTTTTTATTTAAAACAACAGCTGTTTTAAACACACCAACATTTTATGTTTAACCTTTAATTTAAAAAAAATAATTAATTAAATTCAAATCACAATTGGTTAATCATTACTAACTACCTACTAATTATTTATTTATTTGTTAATTTAAAGTTTTTAAAGAATTCTAGGTGGGAGGAAAAGCCAATGCTTATTCATTATTTCCTCTTTAAAATTAATTAAAACTTTTTTTGTACTTTTCCCCCTCATTTTCTATTAATTTTTACTTAAAAATATTTAATTAATTTTTATTTAATAATATTTCCTCGTTTAAATTGCTATTTTAATGCCACTTTAATTATTTCGAAAATGAAGCTTCTTTGTTTATCTCGCGACATTTGCGAGCAGATAAAAGCCCGTCTCCAATATAAGCCCATTCCTATTAGTAACTCATCCTAACTCAATCCCATTTCCAATACAAGCCCAAGCTTTTACTGGGATTTTTATGGTATATTAAATAAAAAAAACTACCTCATTTATGTACAATCTACTTTACTCAAATCTTATCGTTTTTTTCATTTAATTGTCCACGGAAGGAGGAAATTGCCTATACCCCCTATTACGATACACCTACATATATACAAAAATTTTCGACCCTAAGGAAGTATACTATTTATAATAAGTAGAGCGAGTTTTTTTAGGTTTTTCTCTATTTTTTTGCGAACTAATTTTGATGAGAGAGGCACGAAAAACACTGTTTTGGGTCGAAATAATGAGTCTATATTGGACCTATTCGAACCTAAAAAACCTATTTCGGCATTTTTGGACCTAAAACCTATTTCCAACCTATTTCGGACTTTTTTGAACCTATTTTAGGTTTTTTGACAAAAAGCTCAAAAATTGCCTTTATTTTTGCAAATATTTTATATTTAAAGTCATTTTTTCGCTAAATCTCTAATTTTTAAGGAAAATTTTTTTATTTTTGGTATTTTTTATATATTTTTTCTCTATTGTTCTTTTTGATTTTGATATTTTTTCTTTTAAACAATTAGCGGTAAACTTGTTTTGAGGACAAAGACTGCGATATATTCGATATTTATGTCATTTGAAAGAGTTTTCAAAGATGGGAGACTAGTTCGAGAGCTCGTCTAGCTGAGTAGAATAACACCAAAATCAACGCGATCTAAATTCATAGGGCCGAGTTACATGCACCCAAAAATCGTAAAACCATACAGGGGAGTAGACATTTTTGAGGTGAAAAATTCGAATTATTGAATGATAGCTCATTCGAAAGAGCTCCTCGAGTTGAGTCGAATGACACCAAAATCAGCGCAATCTGACATGATATGGCTGAGTTACAGGCCCGTGAAAATTAAAAACCCATAAATTGAAGACTCAAAATTGAAAAAAATCTGAAAATTCAAACCTATTTGCTAAAAATTCGTACCTACATATTTTGCCACTTTTCGAACTTTTTTGAACCTATTTTAGCCTATTTTCGAACCTATTTAGGTACCTATTATCGGATTTTTTAAACCTAAAAAAACTCGCTCTAATAATAAGGTTATATTTTGATAATGAATTTTGGAAATACATATTAATTTTATAATATGTACAGGGTGCGGCAAATTAAGCGCGCGTTTGTTTTTTGCCATAACTTTCTTCAATTTTAATGAAAATTGATAATTCTTTTTTTGTTTTATTCCCAACACTTTAGGAAACTTACTGATACCAAAATTGCTTTTTAATTTTAAGTTTATTCTGAGTAAACTTCCCTCAAAGTTTGAGCAGAATTTTTTGGATAAAAATTGGCCTAGATAAAAGGCTGAGATTCTAATATTGGAAATGTTTATATCATTCGAATCAGCTCTTCATTCTGATTCGAATGACATAAAAATCATGGGGCTACGACAAAAATCGAATGAGATACGGTCCTCTGAATTATAAATTAAAATAATTTTGATAAAAATAAAATTTTTGTGTAAAATTTTCAAAAATGAGATTATAAGCTATTTCGATGCTCCTGGACGAGATGAGTCGTTTAGTACCAAAATCATTTGTATTGAACGATTTTGAACGAAGTTATGATCAATTAAACTTTGGCATAAAAAATGTTTTTAAATTTTTCAGACGTCCGAACTCGATTATCTTTGCCAACAGTGAACCAAATTTTTAATATTTGGTATCATCAAGTTTCCTAACGTGTTGGGAATAAAACAAAAAAAGAATTATCAATTTTCATTAAAATTGAAGAAAGTTATGGCAAAAAACAAACGCGCGCTTAATTTGCCGCACCCTGTATTTTAAGAAGCTTAATAGGTGTCCGCAAATGTCTTCCCTCAAATGTCTCCCCGCAAATGTCGCCTTATCCCTTTTTCGGCTTTTTAATTTAATTTTATCACGAAAAACGTTATGTTACTTGTCTTCTTAAATTTTCTATCTAATTTGAAAGATGTACTTTTAAAAATTCTTTCTAAAAACTGTTCTATTTTTAGAATTTTTTACTGGATTTTTTAAAACTTTTTTCTTTTCAATTTTTTCCTATAAAAATGCACTTTTATGTCCAATTTTGTGAATGTTGGTTTTTATGATTTAGAATTCGAGGGTGTGTCAAAAAGGATTTAATCATGACAGGTAAAAAAACGGAAAACGAAATTAAATTTAAAGACCCGAAAAGTAGAGTTGAGCGAGATGGGGATCCCGACATGAAATCGGGATCGGGATTTTGGAATGACATCCCCGATCCCGAATCGGGACCGGGATTGAAAAATCGGGAGGGATAATCCCGCCCGATCCCGACCGGGATCCCGATCCCGCTAAACCCTACCGAATAGACAAAAATACGCGAAAAACAAAGCTCGAAATGAACCATACCTTTTTCGAAATTTCGCCTTTCGATTTCCAATTTTCGAATATTTTTTTCTATTTCGAAACACCTCTAACTAGCACATAAGCCTTTTAATATTCCTATTTGGACGTTAAAGTTCACTAAATATTCATCATCCTCAATTTATCTTCTTCATAAAATACACATACACTTTCCCTTACTTTTTTTGTACCCATCTGTGCCTATCATATAAATTAATTATACTAATGCATTTATGCCAAAAAAATTTTTTGAGGAAAAAACAGACAGACATTCTCACAACACATTTTACTTGTATTTTTCTATTTTTTTAAAACAATTTTCTAATTTTATATGTTGGACACTTATCGGTGACGGACAGGGAAGGGGGGATATATGTAAAATTGAATTAAGGACTCCTTTTCCTTTTTTAATGAATTTTCTTTGTAAAAATTTTGATAATTCTAAAAATTAAATCAATTATGCCTCTTAAATATTGACATTTTAAAATTCGATCCAAATCGAAATTCGAAACCAAAATCGAAATTGACCGAAATTAAATATTTCCATTACTGACCATTTTGTAACTTTTCTGAGGTTTAAATGTTCGAAACTTGTAAAATGTCATTTTCGACAACAAAAGAGAACGAGAGTAAATAAAAAAGAAAATAAATTAGTAGCTTCGAAAAAAAATCTCTTTTTTTCCTCCCCTTCCGTTTGGCAGCATCCACAAAAACGTTAAATAAATAATAGCTACATAGGAGAAAGGGAGAGAGAGGAGAAAGAAAAGCGGTTTTGGCATTCGTTTTTCTTTTAAATATTTTTTTGTCTAAATAGGGGTAAAAGAGGGGAGAAGGGTTGCCAGCTGCATTTTTTTTTGAATTTCTAAAATTACTTGGATTTTTCTCAAATACGTACAGTCGAAGCTCATTATAAGCTACCTAATCCCCTTAAGGTAGAAAAGATATTACCTTATAATAAGGGATACATAAAATGGAGGGAGTATAACTCTATTAATAAAACACACTTGAGTCTCGATATAAAAAAGATCCCCTTAAGTTTGAAAAAATTTTGCACTTTATAATGGGGGGTATTTTGAATGGGGGCTTAGATAACTGCCCTCCTCCCCTCTCCCCCCCCCCCCCCCATAGCCAGCCTTATTTCAAAAAATCCTAAATTGAATTTTGCTGTAATATATATATGTATATATGTTGATATTGACCCAACTTGAATCCTTTCCACTTCTGATCATTTTTCAAAATAAATAATCGGTGAAATGTTGCCATTATTTTTTTTCACTCTCTCTCAAATTTTAAAAATTATTTTATACTATTATTATTTACAGGAAGTTGAAAAAAATAAAAAAATCTAGGCAACATTTTTATTATTATTTTACTAATTTATTTTTTCCTTTTTGCACACACGTTTTTCCCCAGAGGGTAAACGTCATTATAATTTTATTTATTTATTATTATTTTATTATTATTGTTCTACACTATCCAATTAAAAAATGTTACAAATTTTTGTTTTTAAAAAATATTTTGAAAAAAAAATCGTTTTTTTTTCACTCTAGTTGAATACATTACCGAACTGTAAAGATCAAAGGGAGAGAGAGAAAGACGATTTTTTCTACCCAAGAAGTGACTACAATACCTTAAAGAAATCTCTCTAAAAAACAAATCTCTCGGATCTGACAAAGGAGAGAGATGTGTTAAACGAGATTTTAGACTTTTAATTGTAAAATTCTGTGAAAAAATTTTTTTGCGTTTTTACATAGTACATACTAGTGATGTTCGAGAGTCAAAAAATCCCGAGAGTCGAGAGTCGAGACCGAGACCGAGAATCAACCCCGAGACCGAGACCAAAACGAGAGTCGAGAGTCGAGACCGAGAGTCGAGACCGAGAGATTAAGAGGGATATCACTTGATGTCCCTCCTAATCCCCAAAAATCCCTTGATATACCTCAAAATCCCCATACTCGCTTGAATCCACTTGTCCACAATATATATTCAATGATATTCACATTAATCTCTTAAAATCCCCTCATATCCTTCCATATCCCTACAAATCCAACAATATCTTTTTGATCCATCGATGCACCCATCCCTTGATATTAAATTTTATCCTTCAGAATCCACAGTATCTAATATACCACAAACCACAAAATCTAATCCTTTAATCTTATTAAATTCAAATTTTTGCTGCATTTTTGGCGCCGCAGGCGAAAATTTTTTGAATTTTGGAGCTCAAGAAGCCAAATTTCCTCCATTTTCAGCGCCGCAGGCGAAAATTTTGAGAATTTTGGAGCTCAAGAAGCCAGATTTCTTCCATTTTTCAGCGCCGCAGGCAAAATTTTGGGAATTTTGGAGACTTTTCCTTAAAAATTTTAATATCAAAGTACGCAAGGTCCGAGTAAAGTTCAAAAAATTTCCGTCATTAGGGGTGTAAATTTAGTCTCGTTTTCCGAGACCAAAACACCGAGACCGAGACCGAGACCGAGAGCTCAAAAAACCCGAGAAATTTCTCGACTCGAGAGTCGAGACCGAGAGTCTCGAACATCACTAGTACATACAATATTTGAACTTCAATTGTAGTATGTCACTTCTTGAGTAGAAAAAAATCCCCGGCTTCATTGCTACTTCCCAGAACTAACTTTAAGTCCAACATGTATGTATATAATTTCCACTCTTAACTATCATAAAATATACTTTTTTAAAAAAGTACATGTCATTTGCTGTCATATTAATTAATTTAAAAAATTATTTGTCACCTAAATACATTTGATAAGAATTTTTCATTGGAGTGCTACACGGTTCAAAAAGAGCTTTAAAACAATTAGTTTCTCGGTTAGATGTCACTCTCTTACACTCTCTAATTGTACGTACATTCTAGTTTATTTTGTTTGGCTACTAGAGAGCTCTGTTTAAACAACTCAGACTTCTCTAATCCCCCCCCTTACCCTTTACTCAGAATTAAGCACTTTTATATATACCTAGCCCCCCAACCTCTTCTGATCTCAAAGGGGCAGAGAGCAATTTCCAAAAGGTTTTGTCAAGTTCTTTTCTTCAACCCCCCCCCCCTATCCTTCTTTGGAAAAATATTTTTAAAATTCTTCTCAGACTCCAAGGTCCCCTCTTTTTGACTTTCCTATTTTTTGTCTCACGCGAGAGTTTATATCCCCATATTAAAGGGTGTAAATGGAAGCTTATATTTATGGATTTTGTTTATGCCAAACCCTTTTGGCATTTTTCCGCTCAAAAATTTTTTTTCCATGTATTTATATATAAAAATGATTGATTGACTAAGCTTATGTAGTATATTATTATTTATTTTTACATATATTTTATACCAGCTGCTTTTTCTCTCTCTCTTTCAATTTTACCACTAAATATTTAATAATTCGTTTTTTTTTGCCAAAATTGAGAAAAAAGTGGTTTAACTCCTTTAATTTTTAACGAAAGAAAAAAATGCTGGGAGAGGGGGGGGGGTGAGGGGAGAATTTTTCTAAATTTAATTTTAAAAAATAATTTTTCCCTCCCTCTTCCAAAGATTTAAAAGCACATTAGAATTCTAAGCATGGCTTTAGACTCGAGTTATTTGAATCTAATACCCTTATAAATTACCGTATTTTTATTGAAAATCTGCCTCTATTTGAAACCTTCCAATTGAATGGCCCTTTTTTTTATTGAAAAGTAGAATGGCCCATTCAAAATTAGGATCAATAGGATTTTAATTGATCTTCTTAGACTCTAGTGTCACCTAAAAAAATTTTGAGTCAAGATTTCAAAATAGTCAATAGCTCAAAATGCCCACTAACTAAAATTATTTATGTTTGAGAAAAAATTGTTTAAAAAATTTTCAAAATTTTTTTCCTAAAATAGAGTTTAAGTAACTCTATTATCTTCGAGAATATTTAATTTTTAAAAGGAGTTGGTGGGGGGAATGAGTAAAAAATAAGAGAGAAATAATAACAATACCTTTTTTAATCTTTAGTTTTTTGCTTTTAAATAAGAAAATTATTTTTTATTTTTGCAGAATTTTTTTAAGAAATTTTTTTTGGGCTTTAAATATTTATTTTTGTATATATTTTGTAATTAATTAATAATTATTAAAAATAAATATGTAGGTAATTATTAAATTGTCTCTCTTATATTTACACACTATTTTCTCTTTCTCTCTCTTCTAATAACCACTTTTAAATATTTTTTAAGAAAATTTTGACCAAAAAATTTTCCCTTCTTCAATTTGATAAAGATATAATTTAATGGAAAAATTACAAATAAACAGAACGCCAAACAAACAACAAAAATCGGAAATTGTTGGAGGATTAACTAAAGCAGCAACTACAGCTAGTAGTAGTCGAAGACCCTCAACTAGCGGGCAACAACAAACCCAACAAAAAATAATTTTAAAACCTCCAAGGCCTCCAGTCCCCCCACCTTTACCTGCTAGAAGAAGAAAATCTCTTTTATTAAATTCTACAGTAATTAATTCGAATATAAATGCTAATAATGATGGCAGAATAAGGGAGGAACAAGGTGTGGATTTTTAAATATAAGGGATATTCTGAAATTTTGAAATCAGAATTTTCTCTCAATTAGCATTCTAAAGCTCATAGTTATGGGTTTCGTAATTTTGGAAATTTTTTGACTGTTGGGTAAATTTGAAAATGTCCAAATTTTAAGTCCAGAACCAGAATGCTCAAATACCAAAATGTCCCAACGGCAAAAATGTCCACATTTCGAAGTGTTTAAATACCAAGATGAACATGTTTTAAGATGCCCATTTTTAAGAATACCCAATATCAAAATACCCACATTTCAAAATACAATCTAAAATGCTCATTTTTCAGCCTCAGACCAAATGGATTTTGGATTAATAAAGCAACCACCAACAACAACAACAGGAGGATTACCCTCAACCTCTCCACGTATGAGACGTTTTGCTGAAAGATTGGCAGTTATCCAAATTTCCCTCGACCCTCCAAGCCCTCCAGAATTTGCACTTCAATCGCCCGATGAAAATTCAGGAAGAGCTCCTGTCCCTTTTTGGGCACAGCCTGGATATGAAAATTATTTTAGGCCAATTGAGGATTCCTTGTTATTACAGGTGTGTATTGTGTAAAAAGGATGGGCTGGGTTGCTCAAAACTCGATACCCACAGAACTCGTCTAATTTTCGTTCCGAAACCCGATCCAAAACCCAACTCAAGAGATATTCTAGATCTCAATCCTCGTGACTTTGATATGATGGTTGGCAATCTAGGAAAAATCAAAAAAAACTTTCGAGTAGTGCCTTTAACGTCACTCTGGATCCATGAAGAATCAAGGAAATCCGATCTTTATGTATATATCCAATATACCCCGAGGGCATTTCATTAACGAGATAGCCTAATGACATGCTTCTAATCTATAATTAAATACTCTCATAAACTGCCTCCAATATTTCAACACAATTTCTTTAAGGTCCCCAGAGTTTTGGACCAGGACGATGCCGACCCAATGCGTGAATGTTCTCCCCCACCTCGACGATGTTCTTACGCCTCTACAGTTAGCGAAAACTCTTCAATTTCATTAAATACTTCTTATCAATCCCTCCTATTTTCTCCCCTAATTTGTTGTCCAGATCAATGCGTTTCTGTTAGATCAAGGTGTGAATATATATTTCCCCTTTTCACTGGAAAGGGAAAAATCACCCATTTCCCTTTTTCAGGTCCAGCACTTGTTGCTCAGAATGCGAAGCAGATACTCCACCAACAAACGAATCAGAATTTGTTTTTTCTCAACAACAGCAACAAAATAAAGGGCAAGATGAAAATCACCGTTCTAAACGTGTCAGTGTTTGTCACTGTAACTGTCAACAATTATTAATTCAACAAAAAAGGCAACAAAGACAACGCCGTTCACACAGTGCTGTGGTAGGCTAGAATTTTTAAAAATAATTTTAAAATTGGTAAAAAATGTGTTGGCAAAGTGTATTTTTTATTTAAAAATTTTTTAAGAGAAAAAATTAAATTTTTAAAATTAAAAAAATTATGCGCGCTCGTATTAAAATTCCTAAGACTTTAATGTTTAATTGAAATAATCCAACTTATTAAGCATTTTTTAAAAACTTATTTTTCCAACTTGTTTAAGTTTTACATTTTTTCAGCCTTTCCAACTTATTAAGCATTTTGCAACTTGTTCAAACTTTTTAAAACTTATTCAACCTTTTCCAACTTGTTTTTACTATTATCAACCTTTTCCAACTTTTTTACAACTTTATTAATTTTTAAGATCAATCTTAAGTTTTATTTTCAAGTTTGAGTTTTCAAGCCTACATATATTACTATTTCTCATTTTTCTTTTTACAATTCTTTTTCATTTTATAATCTATTCAGAAAAATTTTCTTTTATTTCCCCAAACATTTAAATTATTTAAATATTTAATATTATTAAAGCAGCTTCGAAATATGGCGTCATTTCTTTTCTCTCTCTAAATTTTTTATTCCCCCTTTTTTTAAGCGTGGGGGAAATGTGCACTATTGTTTCAATTGTTTACTTAATTCGCACGCAAGCTTATTTTCTTTTTTTCTATTAAAATAATTTTCGAGTAAATTGAGGAAAATAAATGTGAATAAAAAAAGGAGGAAGTTTTTTTTCTAAAATTTTATTTTAGTTCCACCTTCCTATGCAGAAAATAATTTTAAGAATAATTATAATTAGGGTGTTATAAACAAGCTTTTTTCTAGATAATTTTTAGATTTTACTAAAAAGTCTTTTAATTATTTTTTAAATTTTTTTTTAAGATTTTCCTTCATAAGACTCTAATGTTTCCTTAAAATATTCCAACTTATATCCTTAAAATATATCCTTAAAATATATCCTTACTTATCCTTAAAATATATCCTTACTATATCCTTAAAATATTCCTTTTCCTCAACTTTTTCCCAACTTTTTTCCAACTTTTTTCCAACTTTTTCCCAACTTTTTTCCAACTTGTTCCCAACTTTTTCCCAACTTGTTTCCAACTTGTTCCCAACTTGTTTTCTCAACTTTTTCCAACTTGTTCCCAACTTGTTTCCAACTTGTTCCCAACTTGTTTCTCAACTTTTTTTCCAACTTGCAACTTTTTTTCCAACTTGTTTCCTCAACTTTTCCCCAACTTTTTTTCCAACTTATTACCAACTTGTTTGCTTCTAAAATTTGTTTTATTGACTTTTTGCTATTTGTTCTTTTCCCATTAACTACTAGAGAGCGACTGAAGGCCAATTTTCTTTTTTATTTTCATGCATTTCCTTTAACTTTTGAAGTGTTATGCACTTCGATTATTATTTTTATTTACTTTACTTATTGTTATTTTTTTATTTTATTTCCCTGACAATTTTTATTTAAAAAATTTTTTTCCCATTTCTCACATCAGTTTTAATTTTTTTTACTTTAAATTAATGAAAAAAATTTTTCCTTGATGGACAATTTTTAAATAAATTTTTTATCATTCGTTTTTCTACCTAAAAGATTTTTTCCTTTACTTCTCTTTTTTCCAGACTTGATTTTTAAAAAATTGGAAAGAATTAAATTCTTTTAAATTTAATTTCTACTTGTACATATAAATTTCTATTTTTAAATATTTAATTTAAAATTATTAAGTTATTTGATACCAATTTATAATATACGTAATTTACTGTTTCTATTTTCTAATTTTACTTTATAAACCCTCCTCAAGTTTTTTTGTTTTCTCTTTAGCGTAAACTTAAATCTTTAAGTTCATGCTTAAGTTACCTTTCCAAGCTTATTTTCAAGCCATATTTAAACTTACATTTTTAAGATCAATCTTAAAAGTTTAATTTTTAACGCAAACTTATTTTTCAAGTTCAAGCTTAAAAAAGTTTTAAAGCTACAATTCAAGTTTCTTTTCAAGTTTTCAAGTTCAAACTTTAAGTTTTAGAATTGTTTTATTAATTCTCAAGTTTTATAAACTTTTCACGTTTTTCAACTCAACAATTAAATATTCTCGTTATTATAACAATTAGAAACCAATAGCAACCTATTAAAATTGCTATAAAATTCTCAGTTAAAATTTTTTGTCAATTAATTGGCTTAAAAATCATTTTTTAATTTTTATTTTTCTTTTATTTTTTGCACTTTCTATTTTATTTTTCTAGACATTTTTTTTAAATGTAAACAGTTTTACTATGCTTATTTAATTTTCTGGCGCATCTTTCTGTGAATAATATTCTCATAATCTGAATTTATTTACTTTTAATTTTTTAATAATTTTTAATAATATTAATGCTAATCCCTTATTTACTATACTGAAATTAATTTATTTTATAAAACCTTTCAAGTGAAATTTAAAACTTGCTTACTTAAAATTATTTAAAACTTAGGCAAAATAAACTTGAAAAAACAAAATAAAACTTGAAATAAACAAGTTTAATTAATAATTCTGCTGGGATTTTCTATTAATTAAACTTGTTTATTTCAAGTTTTATTTTGTTTTTTTAATATTTTCCAAGTTCAATCTTAAAAACTTGTTTACTTAAAATTAAAGTTTATTTTCTCTGTTAAACAAAGTTTGACTAAAAAAAATTTTAAGATTGATCTTGGAAATTATTAAAAATAAAGGCACTTAAAAGATGTAAAAGTTTTAAGCTTGAACTTAAAAGCAAAGTTTATTTTCTCTATTAAATGAAAGGTTTAAGTTCAAGCTCAAAACTTGTATTTTTAAGTTCAAGCTTAAGATTATTACAATTTTAAGTTGAAGCTTTCACGTTCCATTTTTCAAGCTTAATCTTTAATTTTTCTTTTTCTTTTTAATTTCCTAAGTTCAAAAATTTTCTGTTGTAATTTAAGAGGCTATTTTCTTTTTTAACTAAAAAGTCCAACTCAATTTCTTTTATTTTTTCCCATTTTCCAGATGCATTAGAGAGACATTTTACTTTAAATACTTAAATGTGTTTTTAAAATTTTTTAAAAAACTCATGGGATTTTCTATTTATTTTTTAATGGGTTGTTTGTCTCTTTTTTGAACTAAAAAATACTTTTTTTCTACTAAAAAGAAATTGGACCTTCTCAAATTTTCGACTTCAGTTAAAAAAATTCATCCTCCTCCATCTCCTATTTTAAAATTCGGGAATTTAAATTGCTGAGGTACTCGCACATTAATTTACGTAGATCCTTGGGGTTGAAAATTCTATCTAAAATCGAGATTATTTATTGTTTAGAGTACTCAACGGCCAATTTAATTAAAATATAACTTCATTTTGTGAGTTATTTACTTACGTATGGACACGTATAATCGAAATTCGGTAATAGTCGGTTTCGTACCCCGCACTTTTTTTCCTTTTTAATAGTATTAGAAATGGTCAGTCAGTCTTATGTTATAGAACTCGTCGAGTTGTGTCGAATGACACCAAAATCAACCCCTGGTCTTAACTTTGGGCCATGATACAAACAAAAACCTTCGAAAAAGTAAGGTGATGCAAAAGCGTCTCACGACTAAAATACGATTTCTTTATATCATAACTTTGTCAAATCTCGTTCAATTATGTTGATTTTGATGTCATTCGAATCAGCTCGTCAAGCTCTTTCGAATGAGCTATAATTTGTTTAAAATGAGCTTGGTCCAAAAAATGAGCTTGGTCCACCCTTTTATTTTTCAAATTTCGGGGGTTCAGTATCTCGGCCCAATTAAGACCAGGTGTTGATTTTGGTGTCATTCGACACAGCTCGACGAGTTCTATAACCTAAGACTGACTGACCATTTTTTAATATTTTTAGAAAGGAAAAATAAGTGCGGGGTACGAAACCGACTATTACCCGAAATTCAACTGTCTATAAGTTCTGACAGTGAGGAAATCCGGATTTTCAAATTTTTTAATCTGATTCGGATATTCGTGAATTTCCCAGGATCCGCCAACTTTTCACATGGCTTAAGAATTTTCTTTGATTTGTTGGCCATGAGCCTTTTGACAAATTTTCAGTCTTGAACTTGTATTATTTTTTCATTAATTATTTTTAACTTAAAAATAAAAATTTAAAAATTTTTTTTCAATTTTTTTGTTTGTCCAGCTTTGCAGAAAAATAAATTGCATTTTTTTCTCCCTCCATTCTTCTTGCAATTTTTTGTTAGTAAAATTTGTTTTTCTCTCCCCTTTTTTGGCCATTTAATATTTTTATCATTTTTTCGATTTCTTTATGACTATACAATTAAAAAAATATTTTTTTTTCAACTAAAAATATTAACCAAAAATATATTTTTTTATTTTTCTTCTCGTCATTTACGGGAAAAAACCTTTCCTTTTTTCCTTAAAATTCTCTAGGGGATTTGGGGGGCTGCCACTCTCGTATATACAAACAACACCATCCCACATCATTCCTCCCTCCCTCAACTCCTTGAAAACTATACCAAGAAATATTGCCCTATTTTTTGAATAAAGTAAAAAATGTTTTTGACCTTATTTTGAATGTATAGAAGGACTTTTATTTTACTATTTTTTGGGATAAAAAAAATTTCTCTAAATTTTGGACTTATTTTTTGTTTACTTTTCTTTGAAAATTTATTTTTGTTATTGGACACTTGTATTCAGATCTCAAAAAAAGCCTAGCTTCATTAAAATACCCAAAAAATGTATCTTATATATGAGGGTTACCTAAAAAGAGGTATCACTATTAATAAAATGTAGTCGGATCTCGCTGCACCCCCTTAGACCTTATTAATAAGGTATATCTTAAATTGGGAGAATCGCTTAACTTAAATAGCTTCCCTAACCAGTGGCCAACCAAACTTTAAGAAACCGATCTTAAATTGAGGTTCTTATTTAGTTTTCGGGTTATCTAAAAATGAGGGGGAAATGAGGTTCGATTAGGGTTAAATAAGAAGAAATTAAAGGATTTAAATTCATCTTAAAGGATAAAAACACTCTAAACCCTGAAATAAAATCCTTTGTTTACCCAATTTTTTAAAAAACCGTCACAAACATTCATCGATTTTATCTCTTTCAATTATCCTATATTTTTCTAAAATATTTTTTATTTTAATTTTATTTAAAAAATTATTTTTTAGTCAATAATTAATTTTTATTTAAATCCGAAAAGAAAATCCAAAAAATTTAATTTTAAAATAAAAAAAATTTCAATTAATTTTCTCTAATTATTCTCTTAATTTTATCATTATTCTCACTCTATTACTACATATTTCCTGTCCTTTAAAACAACCTTTTTCTCTGTCAAAAACATTTAATGTCAGAAAAACATTTCTTTCTCTCTCTGTTTTGTTTAAGTTTTCCTCTTATACGCTCTTTCAAGTTTATTTAATTAAAACTTTGTTTTAAACATTTTACAACAGACATTTACAATTTGTAATTTAAATAAACTTGTTTTTAAGTTTAAGCTTAAATAAACTTATTTTCTAAGATTAAACTTAGAAAATGTTTTTAAGTTTAAGCTTGAACAATTAAATAAGTTTCAAGTTTATTTAAATTACAAATTGTAAATGTTTAAAACAAAGTTTTAATTAAATAAACTTGGAAAGAGTATAAAAGAGGTAAAAGCAATTAAAATAAACAAGTTTATTTTAATTGTTTTCTTGACAAAATTAAATGAAAAAAATAATTTTTTGATTAAAGATTAATTTTAAAAAGAATTTTAATTTGTTTTTGAGTGAAATAATTAAAAAAAATTTTTTTTAATTAATTTAATTTTCCCCTTGATTTTCCATTAAAATAAAAAAATTTTTTTTTGTCATTTTAAAGTGAAACCAAAAACTCTAAATAATATTTATTTTTTTCTTTTTTAACCCCCTACTATTTTCTATCTTTTAAAACAAAGCATTATTCACCCCCAAATTTTCATTGATTATAATGCAGCGCGACGTTTTATATAAAACCTTTTTTATATTTGTTCAGGAAATTTTAATAAAACTTTTTTTTAAATAAAACTTGAAAATGTAGAAAAGATTGAGAGGAAATTAAATTTAAAACTTGTTTTACAAACTTCAAAATATCAAGTTTTACAAAAAAAGTTTTATTAAAAATCCAAGTTTGTAAAAATCCAAGTTTTACAAAAAAGTTTTATTAATATTCAAGTTTTACAATATTAAAGTTTTTTTTATTAATTCAAGTTTGTAAAAATCCAAGTTTTATTAAAAATCTAAATAAAAATTCAAGTTCAAGTTTATTTTGAAGTTTTATAAAATCAAGATTGCAAAAAAAAAGTTTTATAAAAATTCAAGTTTGTAAAGTTTCAAGTTGTAAATAAAAAAAGTTTTAAATGAATTCAGGTTTTATTTAAGTTTATGTTTGTAGACTTTCAAGTTGAATATTTATAAAACTTTTTTGTAAATGTTATATTAATTCAAGTTTGTAAAAAATGTTTTTTTAATAATTCAAGTTTATTTAAACATTCTCTAGTATTTTGACTTTTTTTTTTAATTTTCATATGCTTTTCATTAAATTCAATACTAGACAGCCACTAAAATTAAATCAATTTTTTCAGTCATTTATTAATTAATTTTCCCTTTAATTTTTTTATATATTTAAATATACATTGCCCTTTTTTATTTCCATATTTTAATTTTTATTTATTTTTTAAATTTTATTTTTATTTTCCTTATTTTCTTCTCGACGTCGTTTCATCACAACGTCACAAAACATCAGATAACCACTTTTAAACTTGAAATTTTGCATAGACATTCTTAGGACTGTTAACTAAATTATATAAAAATTTCAGAATTTTTGGTTAAGTATTTGGAAAGTTATAATTAAAAAGACTGGTCGACCCTGACATTTTTTCGATATTATAAAGAACTTTCTGTCATAAGTTCTTTAATTTTTAATTGAATTTTTTGAATTTTTGAGTGTTTGTAGCTAACATTGTTAACGTTATATATGCAAAATTTCAAGGTTCTAACTGTTAAACTGATTGAGTTATATTGACCCACGCCGAAACAATACTCGCGCCGAAACAACTTTCTTTTACTCTTCTCCTCCTTCACTTAATTTCCTTTTTAGCCTAAAAATTTTTCAATATCCCTCAAAAGCCAAAATAAACCTCTTAATTTTATTTTTGGGTAGCTACTATAGTAGCATGCCGCTCTTTGGGAGCTCCCCCTTACTATTAAAATTACTTGGACAACAACAACAAAATAACCATCAACAATTAAACAATGAAAACAACAATATAATTGATAAAATCGAGAATTATTCTCCCCCTCCCCCTCCAAATAATTTTTCATCACCAACTTTACAAAAATCTAATAGTGGTTGTTTATGCCGTACTTGTACTTCTATGTTTACGAGGAGTGAAATACAGGCATGAATGAGAGAGAGAGATTTGATCCCACTTACTTTCTTTGGGGGGATTTTTACTCTTAAAAATCCATATTTAGATCGTCCTTAGTGTTTCATATCACTTTAAATAAAATTGTCGAAAGTTGAAAGAAAAAATTTTCCGGGAAAATATGTAGGTATGTTCCCTTCACACTACTATAGGGTGAAGGGAACATTTGTAATTGAAAACCTTGAAGCTTTATTATAATATCTTATAAATATTATGATTTTTAAGGTTGTCAAACCTCACTTATGTGAATCCTTTCCCCCCATTTTCTTGAAAATTAAAAAATTTAATTTTAGCATGTTCCCTTCACCCTACTATAGGGCGAAGGGAACATTTCTTAATTGCAAGCTTTAATAAATATGCGCATTAAAAAATATTTTTTGGCAAAAACTTGATAATTTTACTAAATAATTCCTCTAAATTTTTCTCAAATTTCCAGTCAACACCTTGCGAACCAGTCTCTCCATCCCCAACAGTACTTTTGTCTCCTGTTCTTCTATCACGTCCTATACGTTCACAGAGTGCTCATTCACCCAACTTTCTTCGTAATTTTGGGGCTGTAGGTGGTGGACAACAACAACAAATATTGCAACATTCTGATTCTGTAAGGAATTTTATGAAAAAGAAATTTTTGGGGAAAATTTTTCTTAAAAAAAAAGCTGAGACCTTAAGTCAGGCCATATTTGGAAATTTTAGTCACAAATAAGAACAGAATTTGGAACCGAGAGAAGAACTCGGAACTAAAAATTCATTACTATATCAGGACCTCATAATTTAATATTGACCATTTTTAACTCTGAGGATTTTTTCAGAAAATAATTTTAAAAATTGGGGGCTAGATTTCAGCATATATTGGGAAATCCCTAGATATCCGAAGAGGGATTCGATATCCGAACTTTTTTTTCGGACACGGGCATTCATATCCGACACCCTTCTAGAATAGCCCAGACAACTTCCCCAATTCTATTTTTCTTTTTATAAAAATAAAATTTTATTTAAAAATTGCCAATTTTCCTTCCCTTGATTAAAATCAATTTCCTTGTGATTAAAAATTAAAAAAATATTTTTTGCAGGATTCGGAGCCCTTAACAACCCCATGTTGCTCTCGAGGCCCTTCTCTACTCTCTCGTCAATCCCATTCACGCCTCTCCAATTCTCGCCTCTCTAATTGCTCGTCACCTCTTGCTGGCACTCCTCCACCTCTTGTTTGTAGCCCTCCGATAGGACTCGGTAGTGGTGGTGGCGGTAGTGGATGCAGAAATGTGACTAGATCGGGTGGGTCTCTTTTAAATATTACAAAAATTCTTTAAAAACTTTTTTGAAAGATTTTCAAAAAATTTTTTCTATTATTTTGTCTATTTTCTTCTCTTTTTTCCTTTTATTTCTTTCTCTATTGCCTGAAATTTTTGAAGTTTATTTTTAAATTAGTAAAAAAATAATTTTAAAAATTTTTAATTTTTGATTTTTTACAAATATTTTTAAATTTATTTTTAAAATCTTTCTAAAGCCTCTTCAATCATTTAAAATATAATTAGATATTTTGCTTGTCAAAAAAAGATTATTTTCCCCCTCTTCTATTTTATCTCCCCTTTATTTTTATTAAATATTTTCTGTTAGCTTTTCAACTTAAAAAAGTTTTTTTCAATTTAAAATTTTTTTCAAGTCTCTAAAATAATTTTAAAAAGTATATAAAGTAAAAACAATATATTTAAAAAGTAAAAACACACACATTCACTCTCCAGAATATTTTTTCTCAAAAAAAAGATTCAATTATATTTCCCCGGAAGTTAAAAATAGTAGTAGAAAAGAGGGCTTAAAACTGATTTGAAAAAAGAGCTTTACTAAATGATTGATTACTTGACGTTTTGAATTTTTTTAAATAGAGAGAGGCTTTGAACCGTGAAAAGAAAAAAATAAAAAATAAATAATTTATTTAAGGCTGCAAAAAAATTAAAAAAAAGTTTGTTTGTGTGTGTGTTTATGTTGAAAAGCTAGCAAAACCTCTTTAACATTTTCCTCAATAACTTTTTTTCTACTTGTCCTATTTTTATAAAATTTTGCAAATTTACTCTTAAAAGTGTTAAAAACTTGTAATAAAAATTTCAGAATTTTTCATTGAGTATTTTCAAAGATATGCCCAAAGAAAGCATTAAAACAACCAATTTTTCAGTTAAATTCTGATTTTCTGGCCATAAATTCTGAAATATTTGATCAGAAATTCTGAAATTTATATTCTTGTTGGATAACACTTTTGAGGAGATCTATGCAAATTTTCATGATTTTAGGTACGATAAGTGAGTTTTTATATGTTGTCGCGCCATAACATTACCGCGCCGAAGCGTCTTACTTTCTTTAATAATTTTTTAGAATTCCAAATTTTAAATTTTTCTAGCATGTTTATAGACTTAAAATATTTTTAAGCTGTTATTTTTGCAAAAAAATATTTATTTTTTTATAAATTTTTTTCCAGCTTTATCGACTGCTGTCAATAATGTTTTTAGGGGGAGAGGGGGGGGGGGAATAAAAGAGGAGGGGGAAATAAGAGGGGGAAAGGATGGGGAGAGAATTAAAATTAAAGCCTTTATTTCCCTTACGTGTTTATATATTTTTTTATTTTTCATTTCCTGCTTAAACAAAGGAAAAAAATATACCCCCCTCCTCCCTAGTGATTTGTTTTGCTGTTAAAAAAGGATTCTTTTTTGTTAAAAAATAATTTTTGTTTGACTTTATTAAAAAATAAAAACAAGGAAAATTGAAGAGGACATTGTTGTATAATATCATTATAATTTTTATTTTCCTTTTTTAATTGGTTAAAATAAAGTTTTAATTAGGCTAAGAAAAAAAATTTTTTTCTCTAACACTCTCTCATTTTTTCACATACTCTCTTACTCTTACATGTTTTTTTCAGTGCATATGTTAAAATATTCTGATTTTTAATCATTTTATTATTTGTTTATTCTGATTTAAGCTCTTCTTTGTTTCGATATTTCCTGCTTTTTTAAAGTCAACACATAAATACGCAATTAACTTTAAGCATCTAATTAAAAAATATTTTTTGTTATAATATTTTTATATGACGAAAAAAATAAGTCTTTTTTAAACAATAATTATTAAAAATTTTTAATTAAAAAGAACCTTTGTTTTTTAAAAAAAATTTTTTTTTGTTTTTAATTTATTGTCAATTTATTGGGTATTTGGTTCACTAAATACATATTTTCCTATTTTTTTCAAACGTCACACAAAATTTTTTCCCAATATTTTTTGAACTTTTTTTCTTTCTTCTTTTTTCAATTTTTAGTATTTCAAAATATAAGGAAATCTTTAGGTATCTGGAACCGATAACCGAAGATTTTCCAGGGACCCCCAACCTTAATAAATTAATAAGTATTCCCCGTTGCTTCTCGATGAGCCGAATCGAACAAAAATAGGACCCCCTGTCCTATTTTGGGAAAAAAAAAAGACTGATTTGGAATGTAACATTCTAAGAAAAAAGGATGTCTAAATGCCCCCCCCCCTCTAAAAATTTGTATTTTTTTTAATTTTTACGTAATTTTGTATTTTCTTTTTTCTATTTTAAGCTCATTTAAACAATAAAATTCTCCAATTTTAATTAATTTTATTTTTTTTCTGTTAAAAAATTCAACTAAAAAAATTTTTTTTTATTTTTTGCACGCAACGCCTATTTTTGTTTGGCTAATAAAATTTTGGAAAGAGATAGAGGAGAGAAGATATATTTTCCTTAATGGAATTTTAGGCAAAAAAATATTTTTGTGTGTGTGGGAATAACAACTAGCCCCAACAAACAGTCCTCGCATTTTTTGCCTTTCCTTCCGCCGCCTCGTGGCCCTTTTATTAAAGTGGCCCTTATTTTAAAGACTTTTTTTGGGCATTTTTTATTGAGTATATTATACACACAAATAAAAGTTTTTTTTCGTTTTTATATGACGTAAATGTAAATATTTTTGTTATTTTGTCCAAAATCTCTATCGTATTATGTATGTTCCCTTCACATTACGTGTGGGCTGGAAGGAACATCACCTTATTTAACTAATTCTATAGTTGTCTTGTAGGGGGACCTTTCTATTGGAGAGAAGTCTTCTATTAGATTGTTTGTTTTGTTAACATTCAACATCTTTGTGTATTATGTTCCTTTCACACTACTTGTGGGCTGAAAGTTCGTCCGGCGCCTAATTTTGGTGTCATTTGACTCAGCTCGACGGGCTCTTTCGAATGACATACCAATCGACCTATCGTCGTCTGTGTCGTATACCGAACTTTTTCCGAGAGCCTTTCTATTAAATATTCTTCTTTTTAACATCCAAAACCTTTCATGTTCCCTTCACACTACTTGTGGGCTGGAGGGAACAACATCTTATGTAATTTCGCTCCTGCTGAAAAAACTCCGTTTCCGAATTTTTGTTTTTGTTAACGGGCCTTCGAGAAAGCATTAAACTTAATTACGTAAATTTTCCTGTTAAAATAACAGGAAAATAAAAACAAAAAAATTGAGGGAATAAGGGAGGAGGGACATAAAATTAAGGTAAAGGGTAGAAGAGCACTTACTTCTTCTAAAAAAGAATATAAAATTATTAGGTGCGGACATAATTAGTGGCCGTTTTTTTCGATTGGATTTTTAGGGGTGTTATTTTACGTACATTCTTTTTTCTTATTAACCAACATAAAGATCTGAATCTCCTCTTCATTTTAATACCAGATATAGCTAAATACGGGTGATATTCATAAAGTTATGATTTTTTGAACTTCACTACCTCGTAGTGAAATTCATAAGCATTTACACCAAAAATTATAAATTACCAAAAATGGACACAAGAAGCAAAAAATCTTAATGATCTAGTTAATGGGATCGTTGTCTATGCTAGACAGCAAAAAATAGGGTTCTGGCTATACGAGGAATGCCGTAAGACCCTCAGAAGCAAACATGGTCGAGGGAGACGGCTGTCATTAAGAAAACGGTCCTGCTCGGCCAGTTTAGTCGAAATCGCGATATTTCCACTTCTTAAATGTCGAGGGATATCTGCTCTATACATACGGTCACGCTTGACTTAAAAGACGCAGGCTCCGCTTTAGGAAGGCAAGTCAAATGCCGACTGTACTCTCTTTTGCACAAATGGGAAAACGACATGACACTCCCCCAAAAAGTTGTTTCTTATAACTCAGCGTAAAATCATCCGATCAGGATGATCTAAACGGTTTTTTATATCCCACAGAGGGCTTATACTAAACCCAAAATACAAAGTCTGTAAATCGTGTCGAACCCGGAATTCGAATTTCGACCATTTTGAAAAATTTAGACCTTTAGGATTAAAAATTCGACATTGTGCCCGATGGATAGAGATTTTGAAGGGCTTTCGAATGATATATCACACTAACTATTATCATTACATATACTTGAGAAAATCTGATTTTCGATGATTTCGAAAATTTTGACATTTTCGATCAGAACTCCCTGAATACCTAACCAAAAATTTTCAAATTCTGGGATCCTTTAGAAAATACACTGACAAATGATTCGGTATAAAAATAAAAAATATTTTTAAGGAAATTAATTCTAAAAAACCAAATTAAAAAACGGCCACTAATTATGTCCGCACCTAATAGTTAAATATAAACAAGCCAATTTTCTCTTATTTTCTTCCTCAATTTTGTCGAATAGAAAGTTTTTTCTTTCAAATTTTTTTTTTCAATTTTTTGTCCTATAAACAACCTCTTCTATCTATTTTGTATTAGCACCTAAAGACTTTGTTTGTGTGTATTTGAATAATTGAGTTTGCGGGAAAGGAAGACGAGAGGAGGATGGAGAGCTTGAAGGCATTGTTAAATATTCCTCTTTGTTTTAGTCCTCGTCATTATTTATTCCAAATTTGGAAAGAAAAAAATTTTTTTGGGAAGGTTGTAAGTGGGAGAGGGGGGGGGGGTATTAGCAATAAATAGCTCTCCTTGAAATTATTTTTTTTATTTTTAAAGCTCAAATACCACATTTTTGTGCAAAAAATCCTCCTATCATTTCCGTTATTCTCAATTTTCTTTTTTGAATTTTTTTTTGGATAATAAAAAATATTTTGGGTGTAGATGACATTACTATAACATTCCATCTCGTTATAAAAATCATTTTGGACTGTTCCTTCATCTTATTTTTGTGGACAGAACGAGCATCATTTTCACTGGGTACAGCACAAAACAACGCGCGGCCATAAAAACGCAAAGCCATAACTGGCTGGAAATTTCTGGCCCCTATTAAATTCGGTACCAATCTC